TTGTGGTCGCTCCCTGGAAACTCAGAACCTACTAGCGTTGAAAGGGGGCTTATATTGTGGCAGAAGATTAAGTCTAGTACGTTATTACCTCTTGTGGGAGTAGTGACAGTTTGTTTCCAGCCAAGTATATCCAGTGTGCCTAAAAACTTATCAAATTTAGTTGGGCCTGTGGGTATATCCCAGTTGATTTCAGGTAAGTTAAAGTCCCCACATAGGATCTTATGGTCGTATTGTAAGTCGGATAATTGCTCCAGAGTATTAATAAGTTGGGTCTCGTAATTACTAAAGGTGCCAGGTGCTCTGTAGGTGCATCCAATTAATGCTGTTACGTTATTTAAGTGTACATTAACCCATAGAGTCTCAGGCATGTTAAGTGTACTACTTTCTAGCTGTGATACAGTAAGTGCATTCAGAAAGTACATGAGACAACCCCCTCCCTTACCACCTTCCCTGTCACACCGAAAGTGTGTGTAGTTATCTAAGCTTATTTCTTCATCCAAGATGTTCGAATGACACCAAGATTCAGTGATGACAATTACAGGGGGTTTGTATATTACTGTGAGTGCTCTGAGCATCGGCAATTTATTTAGAACAGATCTAGCATTTATGAGGATTAGGTAAAGATGAGAGTTGAAGTAGCATTTGAAGTATTTAAGTTCGTTAGTCAGCCCCGAATATGGTTCAGCACCCAGTAGTTCTGCTTGACATGATGATCCTATGTTAAGAGGAGTTTCAGCATCATGCTCACCTATGTCTATCGAGTTGGTGTGTGCTGTTTTCGGTGAAGAATTAAGATTTGGAGTACTGGATTTGCTATAGACCGAGGAATTTTTATTTTTAGTCAGGTTACAGAAGTGGGTAGGGTTCTTTATTTGACCTATATTTGTGCAGGTGTCAAGTGTGCCTAATGGATACGGGTGCACTAGACCGTTCCTGTTTTCATGCAAGGAGGGAGCCAGCTCTAGTGGTTTAGGAGTGTTAACATCCCTACCAGCTGTTTTTTCAACGCTGACAGGGACGCGGGGGATAAAAAATGATTGGATCCTTTGATGACCATGGCTTATTATTCCACCTATTGTTTGATGCTAGTTGTGTCCTTGTGTGGGTTTCATGTGTACTGCATTGTGGGTTAGTTCCCAGCAGACTTGTACCATATATCCGGTCAAAATTTGTTTGTGTGCCATACTCTGAAGACCCTGAGTTGTTGATAGCCGAGTTCTGACTATTACCACTTGTACTATTGAGGGTGACATTGTTGTGACATTGGATATCAGTGTGTGCCATGGTGCGATTTAGCACGTTGTGGGTGCTAGTACTATTGACCGTGGGAAGTGTGGGTTTATTTAAGCTGCCACTGTTTTTGTTTGTATGGTTTAGGGGCATATTTTCCTTACCTTTAGCAATGAAGTTATGGCTAGGAGAAGACAAAGTGGAATTTCGGGGGGTTTTGGCTTTTTTTCTGGGGTTATTTAATGGCATTTTAGATTCTGCGGTGATAGGTGGTATGGTTTTGTTATTTATTTGGTTACAGTCTAGTGGCCTTTCGGCTGGTGTTGCACTCTGATGGGATAATTCTGTGTGTTTTGAGAGGGGTGATGCGGTGGGGTCTACTGTATCTTTCACAGGGTTGGGAATAATGGCTGCTTGCAATGTCCTATTACCTATTTCACAATTAGTCTTAGCAAGATAGTTGTATGCGCGCCTTTCTATGACTGTTTTGTCCACCCCGACCTTTATATGTTTGTAGTTTCTGGCTTGCGATAGGGTGTGTTGGGAGTGGATGAATTTTCTGGTCTCTGCCGGTGTTTCGAACTGAAAACGAATAGGACAACACTTCTCATGTTGACTCTTCTTCAGCCTATAGCACTTAGTCTTGGAGTTAGGCATTTTCGCTTCACTAAGTAAGATGCGCTGTACCTTTTTTAGTGCCTCATTGTCCGGAACGTTGTAGACAATAGCACTCAGTTTTGCGTCGAGTCGTTTTGTTACTTCTGTGGTAACAAAATTAATGAGGTTATCTACCTTAGTTACCGATTCTGTGTCAAGCTTGTTAAGGTTTACAGTTTTCATGAGGATAGTTAGAGGTGTCAATTCACAGACCTGCGATCTGATATCGCTGATCTGATCTGATAATTTGGATATCTCGGCATCGGTTTCGATGTTTCCAGCATTTACTGACTTGCTGTTTTTTATTTCCCTTAACTCAGCCTTAAGTTCACCTATAGACAACTTTAGAAGTTCTATTTCTGAAGATAGTACTGAAGAGCTTGATGGCTGGAGTTTCTCGATAAGCACATAAGGTGAAGGGAGGGGTTCTGTATGAGCAGAGGGTACTGAATTTTTAGGAGTAGTGCTAATACTAGCTGTCAGTAACGTTTTATCCTCAGTTACAGCTCGACGCTTACGGCATACAAGTGAGTTATGTGACTCATTATAGCCGTTTGTAGGGGGTGTGTTGCTTGATGTAGCAATCAAGGACGTTAAATTAGACACCAGTTTTACAGGGGAATGGGTTCGTTGCTTTTTACTTTGACTAACCATAACTATTAGAAATGGAAGTTAGTGGTTACAAGTATGGATGTAGTATAGTACTTGTGCAAGTACTACAACAAGATAAATTTTATGTAACGAATCACGTAAAAATGTAACGCAAACGTTGAACGTACCGCGATACAGAGTGCCTAGTAGGTTTTACTTCCGGGGTAACTGGGATAGTAACCGCCGGTGTGATAACATTCATGATGGCACTTACTGCGTTATCTTCAGACGGGCAGTCCGTGTCACTCTTACTAGCCACGCTATCATCAGGAAGTTCCATGGCTTTGGGCAGCAGTTCGTGAGCCTCCCTTATTAAGGTCATCTTTGGGGAACAACACATTCTGCACATCCAGTGGGATGTTGGAGCAGTACAACGTTTGTATGCAGCTGGACGTAATCCAGTACACATTTTATGATACCACTTTTCACAGTTATTACACTGTATTCCATCATCTACCAAAAAGTAACACTCCGCCCTATTACATTTATGTGGTACTTTTGACATAATGAACTTCTACTGGAAACAGCCAAGACAATTTACCCAATATAGACAATATAGGTGGTTAAAATCAAAACTTAACAGACAAAAGTCAAGTTAAAGTTTTTTTTAAATGTTCTTGAAGTGAATAACACAACAAAACAGCGATTTGTCAAAAACGGGAAATACGTGAATAAAGCACTCCCTTTCAAACAGCGCGCAACTATTCAGTTCGCTGGGTTTCCTTCGAAACACCGAGATTCATATTTCGGCATTTTAAAATTCCTATTATCCCTAGGCAGCGAAACATGGACATCAATCTTATTATGCTTAACACCAAACACATCATTACATATAACAGGCAACTCGGCATTAATTATTTTATTGTCTGCTTCCAAAACTCTTTGTCTCTCCTTTGACCTAGGCATTACTGAACTTGACCAGACAATCCAGAAAAGTTCCAGATAACACTTGTCCAAAGAAGACGGGCAGACATGAGGAAAGGCGAACAGAAACTGTCAACTTCCAGCTCTTACTAGACTGAACCCCACGCTGTCCTTGGAAGACTTTCAGAAACTATGCGTAATAACTAACACGAAAAACCAAAACGCAATTTGTTGACTCAAGAACCGTTTATTCTTGCACCAATACAGAGCCAACCATTAGGTTACTACACCCAAGTCCAAGAATAAATGTTACAACAATAAATCACAATAACACTTCTGATAGTTTTCTCTCTTCCAACGAACAGCGAATGATGAGGCGATGACTCCCGCGAAAAATATGTGGTTGTGTTTAAGTAAACAACCATGAATTGATCGTTCAATCTTCAATATATTGACAGAGGTCGTTGCAAGGAAAAGACAAAACAGGATATCTGAGCCTTTTTCCCAGTTAATACTAATTGGGTACTTGGAGACATACTCAAAAAGCCTTTAAAATTTAGAATTGAGAAACAATGACAGGGAGCTTGTCATATTCATGTGTTTATATGAAAATGTACATTATTATTATTAAATGCGGTCAACACAGCAGGTATATAACTAACATTTAGCGCAGAGTAAACCTATCTCGTAACATGGCCTGTTTCAAGAACTTGCTTTTCCCAGCATGTGCCCCAGCTTCAAATGAAACTACCCTACCCTTCTGCTATCGAAGAGTATTTGTCAGTCAAGTGAGGTTTCCGGGGCATCACCTATCAGACTACTACTGTCGCGACAACTTATTCTGGCAGCTTGGAATATTTCTGCCACTCCTATGACTGTGTGAGATGTATGGTTGCATGGTTTCCGATGGTGTCAGAGCAGTGACTCTTAAAGTTAGGCAAACCATGATATTTAAAAACTGGTGAAGGGTTTGTGGTACTATGTTTGCTAATCTTCTTACGCACAATGTGTGCTCATCAGCTATTAAGTACCTTTAGGGACTAAATAAATTATTTTGGCAAATCTTATATATATCCCTTAACTAATCGAACCAGACCACATGTTTTAACGACATAATAATATATATATATTTCGTATAAACCTGTAAGCCTACATGGAATGCATGCCATTTTTACAGGCACGATCAATGTTTAAATCGGACAAGGAACTCATTTCATGAAAGAATGCTTGCGACCAACACTTCAGGAATCAAATGTTGGCAATGCATTCATACCGCGGAAGTTTACTAGAGGTGGCAAACCTATCCAGAAGCTCTCGAAATCTTGACGTGGAATTTTGGCTGGGAGTGGTCTTTGCCTGTGTAAATTTAAACTAGAAATACAAGTTGTTTCTAAGAAAAACAAGAGCTAAAAACTCCTCTGACATATTTTCGACATTATCAGGAGAAAATAAAAAAATTATCTTCACAAATGTGTCATTGACCTAAGTTTGTTTAATGTAATCAGTGCATATGACATTGACCAATCACGTTTAAACACATTTGATTGCTTTTCATTTAAGCGTCATTTCGCATTTTGTTTAGGACAATCAACCCAGTCATGGGTAGACCCTGGACTTTATCATTAGTTCCTGGTTTAATTATAGCCAGTAAGTTACATTAATTGTTCTCTATGTATTTGTAAAGCTGTGTTAGCTTGCGTCCTATGTGACCCATCATCATTACAGTCTGATGTCCCCATATCCAAACCAAATGAGGGACTGTCAACAGCTTCAGATACTTTAAACAAGTAGGTTGTGTGGGTTTTATATTTTAATGTGCGCTAGAGAGGCCGAAGCTATCAGTTTGGATGGTCTAAGCGTAGAACAGCTGAAACAGGCTCGCGAACAAGCTGAAAAAAGACAATTCGAGGCGGAAGTCGATCGTATGATGAAGATAATAGTCAATTCCTTGTATAAAAACAAAGAGGTAAAACTGTTGTTTCCTTTGACTTCGTAGATATTCCTCAGAGAACTTATATCAAATGCATCCGATGCGCTGGATAAAATACGTGTGCTTGCGTTAACGAATAGGGAAGTGCTAGATGAGGCTGATGAGATGAATATACGTATTAAAGTAAGTCCATTCTTGTTAATTAACATCTTCTGAAGGCTAACAAAGAAGCACGAACACTTCATATAATCGACACAGGAATAGGAATGACAAAAGCTGAGCTTACAGCTAATTTGGGGACCATTGCTAAGTCCGGTACTTCTGAGTTCCTGGCGAACATCACTCAAACTACATCAGCTGCGGAAAAGTCAGATCTTATTGGCCAGTTTGGCGTCGGGTTCTACTCTTCGTTTTTAGGTTTGTATAGCTTACTATTTTTCTACCTAAATCTTAGTTGCCAATAAAGTAATAGTGGTATCTAAAAGTGATACTGATGATCAGCACATCTGGGAATCCAATTCAACTTCGTTTACTGTATATAAAGACCCTCGCGGCAATACACTAAAGCGTGGGACTGAAATTATTCTCTACCTAACGGAGGAGGCTGAAGATTACTTACAACCTGAAACTCTAAAAGAAGTTGTAAAGAAATACAGTCAATTCATCAATTTCCCTATATACGTTTGGTCGAGTAGAGTTGAAAAACAAAATGTTGAATCTCAAGAGGAAACCAAGACAAGTGATTCTGAGGCTAGTGTAAGTTTACCATTCCATTTATATTATTCTTTAGGTTGAGGAAGAAAGTGTAAAAAGTGAAGGAAAAACGGTAGACAAAGTAGTCTGGGATTGGGTGCGCGTAAATGCTAACAAACCAATCTGGAGACGCAAACCGTCCGAAGTAACTGACAAAGAGTATAACGAACTCTTTCATGTATACTCCAAAGAATATGATGATCCTCTTGCCAGGATTCATTTCACTGGAGAGGGAGATGTGATATTTAATTCAATACTTTATATTCCTAAACGTTCTCCTTCCAACATATTTCAAATGCATAGTAGTCACAGTGACAGAATAAAAGTAAGTTGTGTTACGACATCCTAACTGTATTTTCTAGCTCTATGTTCGTCGAGTATATATTTCGGATGTAGCTGATGATCTGCTTCCTAAATATTTGGCATTCGTTGTGGGTATTGTTGACAGTGATGAACTTCCTCTAAATGTTTCTCGTGAGATGCTTCAGCAAAATAAATTGCTGAAGACAATAAAGAAAAGATTAGTCAAGAAAGTGATTGAGATGATTAACAAACTTAGCGAATCGGACTTTGAAAAGTTCTGGAATGAGTATTCTGTAAACATAAAGCTTGGTATTATTGACGACCATTCAAACCGTTCAAAGCTGTCTAAACTTCTTCGCTTCTGGACGTCAAATAGCACTGAAAAGCAGTCAAGTCTTGCGGATTACGTTTCAAGAATGAAAAAAGGACAAGAAGAAATATACTACATCACCGCGGCTTCTATAAATGAGGCAAAGCTGTCGCCATTTGCGGAAAGGCTGATTGAAAAGGGTTATGAGATTGTTTATATGGTAGATCCTGTAGATGAATATATGCTTCAGTCGCTAACTGAGTATGACAAGAAGAAATTAAGAAATGTTGCAAAAGGGACGATTGAATTAGATAAGTCGGAAGACGCCAAAAGTCGTAAAGAAGCTCTACAGAAAGAGTTTGAGCCTCTTTTGCAATGGTTCAAAGATGCTTTAAAAGAATATGTTGACCAAACCACTTTATCTGAAAGGCTGTCCAACACTCCATGTGCCTTAGTGGCGAATGAATTTGGTTGGTCCGGAAATATGGAGCGGATTATGTCTGCACAAGCTTATCAGCGAGGTGGGGATCCATCAACCAGTTACTATTCTTCTATGAAAAAGGTTTTTGAAATAAATCCGCGTCACCCAGTAATGAAAAAGCTGAACGTCCTCATAAAATCTAACAAAGATGATCCTACTATTAACCATACGGCAAGTTTATTGTTTGATGTTGCAGTTCTCCGATCAGGATTTTCTGTAAAAAACCCAGTTGCTTTTGCGGAGAGAGTCGAGACAGTTGTAAAGAAGAGCCTAGATATTGATCCAAGCGAAGAGGTGGAAAAAGAACCAGTTGAAATTTCCGACGATCAAGTAACTGAAACAGATGAGGAAATTGAAGAGGTAAGCTAGTATTTTATAAGTGCTTTACTTTTAGAAAACGGCTCCGATTGAAGGCTCGCCAGAAGATAAATTCGACGAACCCATACAAAGCAACGTAAGTTTAATCTGTCGTGCTTGGTATATTTGCATGTTAATCTACGGAATGCTAAACTTAGTTTTTTCATTTTTCATGGATAGGAAAACCAACCAAGTGCTCCAAAGGATGAGCTTTGAACGCATTTCTTATCTCGCCGGTCCTGTGTACTAACTTTTCTTGTTTTGGACCCCAAACTCTTCAAATTGTTCTCATATGCATGTAACTTGCATGTTTTGAGATGTATGAACCATTTGTTGTTTTTTTGCTTCGTTTACTTTTTGATTTTAGAAATATACTTTTGTATTTATTGACAGTTTTTTGTTTCCAAACGAGTACCGTCTTCGGCATAATATTAGATACTTACATTTTACACAGTTCTGGACGAAAACTCAGGGGTTATAGACTTCTAGTACCCAACTTATTGCTCACTGCATTTTAATTAGGGAAAACATGTCTCAACCCTTATTGGCTTCGGTTAGCAGATGTACTGGAATTGTTACTGCGCAAGAGGTGAACCCAGAATACTTCACTATATTGATAGCTTGATTATTCTGACGGACGAGAAGTCTGTACATTGAGTCTTGTCAAGGAGCAATTTTATTTACTGTATGGCACATGAAGTTGCTATTCCTCCTTTGTTCAGGAAGTCTGTAGCTCTTGAAATTTAGGTCTCACTCTGTCACACTCAAGTGTTTGAAGTGTGATTTTTCCTCTACCACCATCAGCCGATTGATTCTGTGTATGTGAGTCGAGTGTCGCTGTTAGTTTTCAATCTTCTGTGTTGCCCAAGTCCGCTAGCTTTTGCTGTAAGTTGTAATTATGAAAGCCTGTCTTGTTTATTTCTTGAGAGACAAACTTAATTGGATACAATAGCTGGTATTTTACTGATAGTGACTAATTTTGAAGTCAAGTTTAGACGGTTAGCTTAGGTTGTGTACAATCGAAGTCATAGGGTCGCAAAGCGATCTGGTCAGTAACAGTATTTCAAATGTCCACTTCAATTTAGTAGGTGTGAGCTCATAAAGCCTCCTATGACGTATACGGCGGAATATATTCTAGAATCACTGAACTGTGATGTACACTTTCCTGATATGATTTAGATCGTGGTTAGACGTTTGTTTGAGGAAAAATTAGATCGCCTTTTCTGTCACGTCACTCAGTTAATTATGGGAAAATGTGTACGGGGATTCGTGATTCCGTACTGTGTATTCTTCATTGAGCTAAGTAGTAAACTCTGGGAGCAATACTCTGTTTGCGTGAATTATTTACTGGACAGCAGTCAATGTTCTTATGTCATAATTACTGATTGTACACTTTCTTTATCACTCAGTTAAGTAACGTGACCATACACTGCTAAATTTTAATGTATATAGTCGACTTATAGGTGGCTTCTTGTCTCTGCTTCGTATTTGATGGAATTCGTTAGTGGTTAATTTTCTCAACCTTTCGGAAAATTAATGCAACTTTAAGATTGTGATTTGTGATCTGCTTCCTACTTCTTAATCACATATTCTGGAGATTGATTTTGTATATGTATACTTCTGGGTGACAAATTTCCGATTACATTTGTAAGACCTTGTACTTTTGCATGTGACAGATTGAATAATTTCACTGTTCTCAGTATCAGCATGTCAGTTCGCTTACATATTTATAAGTAGCTGTAAATGTATATTACTACGATTATATGTGAAGTGTTTGAAGCCTTTACTCACTTGACGGTGTATTTCTATAGGTTGAAACTTTTAAAATATCATTATTTACCAGATAATTATTTGTTTCCTTAACTACTCATTAATTTGAAGGAATTTAATTAATTTCAAGTGTTCTGCGTAATGAATTGACATCAACTGGATAATCAAGGAGCACTGAACGACTTTTTGTTCTAGTTAAGGTTCTGAAGGATGCCAAACTAAGATGACAACTTCCCAATGCACTTTCATTACCACTGGTTCATTGACTGATGTCAATTTCTGGGAAAGTTCATCTTGTATATCATTAGACTTTGATTTCTAGTTATGTTCATATATGATGAACATCTTTGATACGGTCTTGAGGTCAGTCAGTAAATTGATTTGTTGTCCATATTTACTGACGAAAATGTAACTTGGTAACTGGAAACCTATCCATTTACCTGCCTCTTAAACAACACCTTAAATCTGATTACACCTGATCAAAACAAAGACTTTGAATTCATGGACTTAGACAACAGAACCTTTGTAATGTACGTTTTAATGAATGAATCCCTCTGCACCGAATTCTCTCTGAATACCGAATAGCATAATTAGCTTTAGCTGACCAAGTGTAATTCACAGCGTATTACACAAGCCTGTGCTGACTATTTAAATTGTATTCATTCAGGTTTCAACTTCTGATCAATCAACAAGTGAAAATAAACAAAACCTGTAACACTAGTGTTTATGATCTCTTTTCCTGTAGTATTACCAGTCTTTTTATTTCAAATAACCTAATGTTAGATAATCACACATGGTAGGATGTATAATTTAGTACAAAAACATACAAAGTTGATCTATCCAGCTGATAAAACTCTGTAAATTCGCTTTCTGAAAATCTGTGTTCATTAAATCTGAAAATAAATATTTTGCATAGCCATCACGAATGCTTTAGCAGTAGCACATTTAACCCGGTTTTTGACATTATTTTTTTTTTACCACTGAAGAATACAAACTATAAAATTATCGATTTCATTCAGATATTCGTTCCAATATAATAGTGTATAGAAATGAGGTTTGAATAAAAGATTATGAACTTTGGTTGACTTCTGTTACTAAATACCTGATAGGAAGCAATTATGAAGCGCTAATTATCGCAAAAAGTTCATCTTTCGTCTAATCAGTAACTCTAAAATTAGACGTTAGTATCAAAGTGAGTTGCAGATAGTGCAATCTAAGAGTTTATAGAGCTTGTGTATATAATATATTCATGAACACCATTCTTAGAATGCAGATGTACCATGAAAATACCGTAAACTACTTTTTGTAAGTTCAACTGAAGACAAGTCTATAATTATTTATTTATTTAAGAAGTATACCCTCCTAAATAATACTATGGAATATATATACATTATTTCAATTTCCTAACTATAAACTATGCTCCATATTAGAAATTTAGTTGACATACGCCCTGATATCAAACTGGACAGTATACATATCATGTTTATCAGTGTATTTCAACCTCTAACCTCACATAAGGTCAACTGTATTATCAGATAGCGAATGAATCGATGAGGGTTGTAAAAACCTGATTCACTGGTGAAAAGTATGACATTTGATATTAACGGTTTAGCGATTGGAAATGATTATAAGTTTGCAGAACCTCTACATGTTAATTAATATTTATCCATTATCCTCTAGGAAGGTAAGATCACTTTATGAAACCAGAATTTTCTTAAGTAGTGGGATGAATACACAGGAGAAATTAATATGAATTTTGTTGATGTTAAAAGAAAAGACGCTGTCATGAATAATTGTCTAAAGGTGACTAAGTCTAAGCTATCTTAAAGATGAACGAATGTTTAGTCTTGATGTGGTTTTGTTCTCTAACCATCCAGCTCAGAGAACAAAACCACATCAAAATCACCCACCTGAGCTACAAATCTTCTCTATCATATCTGAATGTTTAGTCTCTTCACAGACTGAGTTTCCAAAGTGTGAATAGACTCATTAGGCCCATATAATACATAGAAGTTTAGGCAAATCCATGTAGAAAAAGACAACTTACACATTTAAAAATGAGATAAGAAACTTCCAGGTAATGGTTATGATTCATTCTGAAGCTACCATTGGTAGAAAATGCTTCATTATTGATTCACTAATCCTTCATATATTTTATGACTGACAGACCAGAACATATATTTACATAGTTACCGAATTAAATGTGTTATCAGTTAGTGGAAAATACACCTTTGTAGAAAAAATGATGTGAATAAAAAGTGAAATGCTCGCTCCCTAGAAATAGGTGATTCTGAGGTTAGAGACGTTAAGATAGATGGGTTACCTACCACTGGCTATAGAGATAATTGGTTTAGTTTCAAAAGTTTGAAGGAGTGTAGATTCAGAGACTACAGCGGCATTTCACTGACAAATACCAATATTCGAAGTTGGTAGTTCCTTTGGTCTTTCTTCAGCAACGTAAAGTCAAATAACATAAGCTGTGAAGAGGCAAATGACTACTCTTATAAATTTCTCTCATCGCATCAGTCCGTAATTTACATTAATGTAAGTGTAGAACTTGAGCACTGTGGTAGAATGTAATTCCATATTCGATAAGTTTATTTTAAATATCACACAGCGATGCAGTATTAACAAGTGGATGACGTTTCGAGAATAAACTATTGTTCATAACCATATCAGCTTTAGTCACAAGGTTTCATAATTTATCGTATGTATATTTTCTATCTCTCCAATTTCTCTTTGTTGTTTGTTGACACTTTCCATACATCCAGTATGGGCTTTGTTTCATTCTGATTGAGCGTATACGGTATTGAATCGATAAACAAAGCTTCAGTGAATTACGTAACTTACAATCTCATTGAATATGCTTTTATACAGTTCACATGTATATCTTTTTATCTAAACACTCTGATAATATAAACGTCCTCCATTCCTTCCGGAGTTATGTTTCTACTTGTGACAGGCATGCTTTACGATTCGACGAAGATTCGTAAAGACGATTAAGCAGAAGAAAGCTCTACAGGATAAATATACATTGATATAGAAGGTGAATGAATGTTAATCAACAATATAGGCTTATTAACCCAATATGAGTCGAGCTGACAAACTGCTTACTTACAAACTAATCAGTGTTGTAAAATTTAAATTAATCTTATCTTTATAATACACTGCAAAACACTATCAAAAATCCAACTTTTATTTCTATTACTTTGATTTCTATCAACGACATATATATTCCGCTATTTTTCAACAAATAATTTAGTTTTATTTCAGTAAGTAACTTTAAACTATTACTCAGTTATTTTAAAACCAAATTTAACTATTGATTTCCTGAAACCAGGGATTTACGGATACGCTGGAGGAGAATAGAACAGAAAGTACCAAATTATATTCATCAAATGAACTGGACAGTATATCAGAATATAATACAAGATTACATATGACCAGCTCTCCTGAAAGTGATATTATTCCTGATTTTGAAGTAAGTATTTTTTAAAAGAATTTATACTAATTAACTACTAACATTTGATTTGATAAGCTCAAAGATTATAAACATTTATTAGCATTATTCTACGTCCGTGAGTTTCAGGTATTTTTGACATTTCAAGATTCTATAGGAATCAGCTTAAAATAGCATTAGCAATGGTCATATGTCTAAGAAATAATCCACTGTCAATACGCTTGAATAAATAAACCGACTGGTTATTTAGGTTTAACTATCCTGAGTTTCAGTTATACTTGAATTGTGTCAACTAAACAGTATCTAATTTAAAGTTCTTCTAATCAGAGGTATCTTACCACGTATGTCCGAAATACTTACTATCTTGACGTGAGTAATAATCCTAATGACATACCTTCTTTATGTAATTATTTCTTTGACTTGTTATATTAGCGAAATGAATACCCATTATTATTATTATTTTTATTAGTTGCTGCTGTTATTAAAGTCAATCACTCATAATTTCACTAAAAACCAAAAGTTATTGATTAAAAAGTTAAAGACGGTTGAGAATAGCTAGAAGTTTAATGTCATAACAGTCGTGAACGCTCCACAAAGGGTTAAATGTCGAACTCATCTGTTTAGTGATACAAAGATAGTTTAACACTAACCTATAGCCATGAAACCAAATTTCTTTTTATATTTTGATTTACCACATGTATATACCTGTACATTGGTAGCACAGAGATTAGGACTGTCGCCAACCATGCACATGATCTGGGGTTCGATCCCCTGCCGATGCACACCTGATATCAATGGCTGGCCAGCAAAATTTGCGCTAACGGTATCACATGCTGAAAATTCCATGCTTGTACCAAAAATACGGCGTGGGATCAAACTATAATCAAAAATTATATATATATATATATATATATAAACCTCTTCCTAATAACACAAGTGTATCAGTTCTAGTTGAAATTCAACTAAAATGCTAAATAAAATATTAACTAAGGGAATAATAAAGCACCGTCCTGAACTTGAATTTATGTGCCTCAGAGCCACGATCTCATATGGTATTAAGAAGCTACGTGTTTAAGAATCGACTTTCAAAAAGTCTAATTATATTCAGAAAGTAGCCAACAAATAGTGATAATGTAATTATATTACTACGTTTAAGTCTGCATACGGTATAATCCATAATGTTTTCTTCAGGCATTTAATTATCAAAGGTATGCTGCCTTAACAGTTTTGACGTATTCATTATTTGCTGATACTCTGAGTGACCTTAAAGATCAAATAAAATGAGTTCTTTTCATGGCATTATATCATAACTTGAAATACGTCACCTATATTGGTGAATTATAACTAATTAGGCGAGATCTCGATTGTCACACAACTCAGTAACTGAAGACCTTAATAAGTATAAGAAAAAAAGGCCGTAATGTCCTTGTGTTTCTTCATCTTGATACAGTAGTGGTAGTGAAAGATTTCTGAATGAATTACTTCTTTTTCGACCACTCAGTTATCCTTTTTCCAATGTCTTTCTTAATGCCTTTATTATGGTGTCCGAATATTTTACTTGGTGCCTGCTTCGGTGCATGTATGCCACTAAATAAACGAGTAAACTAATCCCAGTAAAGGATGAAATAATAACTCAACAAGCTCATCGATTTTCCAATTCCAGGAAATGTAGCCGACTTCAGACATAGAGAACAAGAAAGGAAAGCATTTGGGAAAAAACTGGGTATGGTCACAAGTAAACATTACGTTGACTTGATTTCGGCTTTACGCAATGTAACTGAATGGAAATTAAACGACTCTGAATTTATTTACAACTACCTTGTTTACCTTAGAATGTAGATTTTTCTCTTAATACCCCCACATAATTGGGTGCATAATTCAATCATATTTTGAAATTACTCTAACAACGCTAATATTGAAAAGTAGATTTTACTGGAACTGATTTAATTTGAAATAAATATAGATAGAGAAAGAAAGACCAGATTTGCAGTATAAAATGGTATCATTCTATTTCACAGGTTCTGATCAGCTGCAAACTACCTGAAATTACATTGGTTATAAATAATAACATTTCATACTTCACTGTTTGAAAGCTAATAGAGAAAACATTTTAAGGTGAACGCATCCGGAATATAAGTATTATAATTTATAGTTTAAGTTACAATTAATTTATATACTATCAAACTATGAAAAACGAAAAAAAGGAGGGGTGTGAGAGAAGACAGAAAAATCTAATAAACAGTGTCAACATAGCCCTTCAAAAGGGTCAAATTTCATCAGTTTGAAGATACGATAAAAGAGGTTATGGTATAGAGCAAAATTATGTACACCTTATCTTCAACGCACCATTTGCATATGTATTCCGTGTTGTGCTACTTCTGCCCTTCATATTGTGTTTCTTTGTGTTCATTTCACGTATGAAATGTCTCTCCACAACGACGTATCATCTGCTCTCTCTGACATCAAATCTATCTCTCTGCTATTTGGTGCTATTTTGCCGATGGACGTCTCCTTATATACTACTGATAAGAGTTATCAGTAGTAGTAAGTGAAATACTGGATATTAGGGGTTGCTTATTTGATTTATATCCACGATCTAAACTCCTCCATAGATGAACGCTATCAATTTTATTTCGAACAGAATAAAAAATTCAGGGGCTTCAAGTAATACTCAGTCAGTCAGACTTTGCATGTTTATCTAGCAGTGCACATTAAGCAGGCAACTTACAGCTATTTTAATGTGAATTATTACTCAAGTTGTATGCATGGTCAAGACGTGTAGCTTGAAAACTTCATTTCATACGACACTGAGGAAGAATTTCAAAGCCGGATATGACAAGTCTTCGACTGTTTTGTTTTTCTCTGTATTTTATAATTCATAAAATGACGTTAGCTTGTGGTTTGTTTACCTGAATCTATAAATTATGTCTTAATAAAGTACTTTCAAATCATACGATGGCATATCAGAGACACACGATGATTTACAACATTAGAACTATTTATAATCTCCATTAGTTTTGTTTTTGTCTGTCTGTCTGTCTGTTTTCGACACAGAACTTTGCATATATGTGCGGTAGTTCGAGTCGCCACACTCCATATAGCACACAAAGCAAGAGAAGAAAGTAGAAACAATGCATAATAGAGACAGTAAACAGAGGTGTGAGACAAAGAAATAGTAATAACGAAGAAAAACATAGTTTCATTGGAAATCATAAGTTACAGGGACTGGATGCATCTGAGCCATTGAAAACGATTTTAAGCCATGTCACCAAGTGTTTCCGACCATTGGTTTTTACCGTCCCGAGGACCCCAACCAGGAAGTCTACACTTTCCTACGTGGCTGGCCGGCTTAAACTAACTGTTGTGGATTTCATTGACTGGCCGCATGTTTTGGTTTGACTTCCGCTAGCTCTTTTCCAGCCTGACCCTATGTCAGCTAACATTTCCCGTCGAGGAAGGCGATGACCAGGCATACGTAACACATGTTCTAGCCATCTCAGTTGATGTAATTTCACAGCCTCGTCGATTGATTTCCCCTCCTTACCTAGCACTCAACCGACGCCTAACCTCAATATTGCTCACCTTATTATACCAATTGTCTAGAATTAATTTAACTACCATGATTTTTAAAGACTTTGAGTTCAGTTTCTAGAGAAGAAAGAGTCATTTTTTTTGTTAGCCCATGTTAGTTGTCTTCTTATTTTTCTGATATCAATGATGAATTGATTCTTCGAGTTTCATCATTATTTAGTTTAAATTATATTACACTAGTTATCCTCCAGGATTCAGTCGATACAGTTATATGTCTTCTTCATTAGCGAAGTTTAGACAGACTGAGTAAAACTCAAAATGTGATCTTACTGGTTTAAAGTTGAATGCTTATATCACAATTAGTAATAACTTTGGAATAAAAATAGAATGAATAAATACATCAAAATGTTTTCAAATTCAAAGAAGTTGATCGTTGTGCATTGGTTTTAAATTTTTATTCGTTTGAAAGTGAAATTTTAACTGCTGTATTTTGTATATGCTTGAAATAAGTATGTGAAAAAGTTGAGACATCACAAACACTGGCCAAGTGATTTTTGATTTACTCTTCAAACAGTGATTAGCTGACTAAGATATACTTTTCAGGTCACAATGATTTACTGTGTTAGTTTTAGTTGCGATAGTTTTGGCAATGAATAAATTATTATTACTTCTTTTGAAGGTATACTTTCATATCATACACATTTTTAACAAAATCGACTACATTATGAATTGTGTAATTTGTGGTTTCTTGATTCAGACAGGTGACTTTCAAACACTTCGTTATGAGTTCGAGCTCCAGTCTTCCTGCTAAGTTGTTGGTAAACGTAATGGCAATAACGTTAGGTAGTGTCAGTTGGACTATCTAAGATAACCTTGATCCGATAGATTGATTTGAGTGTATACGAAGGATGACTGAAACTGGAAGGAGTCTGAGCCGCCACCACAGGACTCAAATCAATAACTTCATGTTTGACATCTGATTGTTTTTGACGCTTGCAGATTATTCGTAGTGGGATTATTACTAAGGCTGATATTGTCTCCACAAGTTTAATAGTCTATTGGAGTGTATTAGCATTCTGTATGATGTAAATTTCAGGGTTTGGTCAGTTTACAACTAAAATTCATGGAAGTCTGTCTACACGGTGAATAGTATTTCGGATATCCCTGAATATCTTTCCAAATAGAAGGATGTGAGAAGGAAAAGAAAAAAAGTAGGCTACATTTGTGACTTCAGCCTACTGAAAGTATCTTCATTTTCACATTGACAATGATGGATCACTTAAAAGCCATCGAAAACACACTAACTTTTCTTTTATGTTACTTTCTCTAGAAAATATACCACTGATCATTGTTCAGTGATCAACTAGAACGGCCGAGTTAGTCTTATGGAGGAGTAACCGATTCTAGAATAACTAACTGGTATATTTTTAATCGTAATACTAAGCTAAATAGATTGTAATTTTAAAAGACAAGTCGGTTCCTCTGTGTCTGAAGATATGACAAGCACGAAATCCCCATCAAGGCATAGTTTTAATTGTCTCACCCTATCTTGGATGCATTCCAGAGTCATTTTGAGTAACTTAGTTTGGTTATTCCACTATGAATCTGATCAATTGAATCTGATCAACATTTAAAGCCAAACATCATGATATTTGTTATTTGCTTGGCATTAGCCTCAAAATCTTACATAATTTTTGTTATATATCAGTTAGTTGTTAAATAAATCGATGGTATTCTGTCTTAATGGAAAGCTGAACAGATTTGATTTTATATTAGAGGCCAGCCAACTCTTAAATTTCATACTTGTTGACACTTTCCACCATAACATATCTGCAGTGTAATATTTCCCCGTAAATCCCAACTCATATTAATCACTATCGAAGTTAGATATTCAAGTACCAATCTGTTTAATGTTAAATATTAATTTACTGTCCGACGCAGTCATGACACTGCGATGAAATTTTTGAAGCATTTCAAAGGTAAACTGTATGTTTACAAAAAAATGTAAATTCATGTTTTTACGAGTTGATCACGGATTGATATTAGTTAGATAACCAAGGAAAACCAGGGAGTACTGGACAGCTGCTGTTTCATCCTAGTCTTAGGAATCATCGGCAGTACGCACCCACCACCAGGGTGGGATGGAACTTCTGTCCAGTACTCCCTGGCTGGTTTTCCTTGGTTCTCTAACTGATATCAATCCGCGATCAACTCGTAAAAACAAAACTAATCCTTACAAATCAACTATGGTAAATTCATGTAAAATAGTGGAAACAGTTTAGTGAATAGAGGAAGGTAAGTTTATTTGATATAGCATACAGTGATGCAATATTTCAAATAAACTCATGTAATATGGAATACTCTACTCTACTATGGTGCCCGAAGTCTACTCGTACATTAAAAGCCCTAATATTGTATGCTGTTTGTGTACCTGTGTCCTCTAAGCAAGTAAATTACATGACTTGTTGTGGTCTTCAAAGAGGCATTTCATTTCCACAATAAAATGTTATCTTTAACTAGTTTATACTATCAGAAGGACAATCATCAGGTCAGTAATCATAAAACAGCAGAAGGAATTCTACAAAATATCATACAGTACTTAATGACTTCCTATAGACATTTGAGTATCGTTTTAGCAGTAAACTTCTCTGTGTAGCTGAATGTGTATATTCTGCGTTATATAAACCTTGTTAAATGCATTGAAAAGTGCTTTGAACTTATCATTGGTGAAATGCACAATTCGACGGGAGAAATTGCCTCATTTTCCTTTGGATACCAAACATTTTCAGGCAACAATATGCGATCTACTTGATACTATTAATAGCAATCAGGATATTTTTAACTGTTTCGTCTGTCTAAGCTGAAATGAATAGGCTACACCTCCGGTGAGGTCGGCTTTAAAAGAGAGCAGCTGGCTAGTAAACACTACTGTTTAACATGGGTGGTCTCCTACTAGTCGCATTAATCAATCGATCAATCAGTGGCATATAGTATCATGTTCAAAATATTCTCATTTTTAGGTCAGACTGTACCCTGTATGATTTTAATGGTCGTGGACTGCTGTGACACAGAGAATAATATATAACAAAATTTAATTTTAAAGAATTAGTTTGTAGGGATTCTGTTTGTTTCAGGTGAAACCACGTATTAATATCACTTAGAGAACCAATGAGGACCGGAAGGTCCTCAATTAGAGCCCCCTGTAGTGGGTGCGTAATACCTATGATTCCCAAACTAGGGCGAAACAGATATCCAGTACTCACGGGTTCTTAATCGTTCTATAACTGATAACAATCCTTGGTCTAACGTGAAACATAGTTCAGTCCATCAAGGTATTTATGGACGCCTAGTTATATTATCATTAGGATTATTGGCTTTGCTATAAATTGAACCGTATGTTAAAACAAACAGTCACTTTCTCCAGCGTGGTATGTTGGTTAAAAGCAAATTTGTAATCAGATATAGAACTTGTTGGTAACTGAAAAATTTCAAGGTAGACTTAATCATGGAAAACTGTTGGAAACCGAGAAGCAATAGGTACAGATGGTTCATCCTTATTTATGAATAGTCAAGAAACTACAGACACAATCCTGTTTAGGACCCATCTCCTGACTGGTAAACTTCAGTATTCACTAACCATTATTCAATGCTGGATGTGCATCCTCCGGCCTGTGAGATCCTACTTCGTTCATTTCATGACATCACTTGAATGTCATATGTCACCTGTTAGCAATTGTTCCTCAAAAAGAGATTTGGTTAACTGTCACTATAAGATTGGTTGAAAACCTAAAAAGAAGGAAGACAGAACAGTGGAAGTGTTGATTTCCTAGAATTGTATCTTAGAACATGGCGTTAATTGAAAATTTTCTTTAGTGTTGGTTTGTAAGGGCTACTTATGCTTTTACGAGTTGATCACAGATTCATATCAGTCAGAGAACCATTGAAAACCAGGGAGTACTGGACAGCTGCTTTTTCGTCCTAGTTTGGGAGTCATCGGCAGAACGCACCCACCACCATGGTTAGAACCCAGGACCTTCCGGTTACAAGGCAAGCTGGCTCGTATACCATTCAGCCACTGGAACCCGATTCAATGGCCAGTCAGTGCATGAATTCTAACTTCTACCAATTCGTGATTTAGCGCGACCCCAACCATTATCGTTGGGGTCCATCCATCCATCCACACACGTGACATCTAATTGGACGTCACTGGTCACGACTTCTCACTGGAACTTAGGAAACTCCAACCTGTAGCAAGTCACTAGCGAGCATCAAATTGAAAAATTATTCGCTCAGCTGAATAAAGCAGAAATTCGACTGTTTATATTAAAGTAAAAAAAAATGGACACCTAGAGCGTATCTGAGTGTTGCGAGTCAGTTACTAGAACTTAAGTCTCATAGTCTACAAACTACTCGTTAAAATCAAGTTTACAAACCCGTTTAATCTTACCTGATGAAGTGAAAGTAATTCAACTAGTTGTATGCAATAATGCAGTTTTAAGTCATTGAAAAATCGTTAAGACAAATAAATTTTTAGTAGCGCTGACAGATAAATGAAATTCGCTGTGTAAAGTTCTGTTAGGAATAAAAGTGACAAGTATGGTACTGAAAACGCTTTAATATGAATAAATTGTATTTTCCTACAATTGATTAAGGTTCTGAATAGAAAATATTCTGTACATTTTCATAAAACTTATTTCATCTTCCCTTTTTTCCTCTCTAGGCATTAAACAATTGTCCAACATGTAGACGACTTTTAGAATGTAAATCTCATGGTCATCATCATTCTGCGAAAAATGTCAAGGACAACAATAATAACAAAGACCAAAAAACTCATCATAAGCAAATCGATACTGACGGTGAAGATGATGACGATGATAATCATCATCATCATCCCGATGATAACAGCGATATTGAAGACGATGATGATGATGATCTCGACTATAATCAAACAGATTCCGAAGAAAAAGAAGAGGACAATGATCAGGATTCTGGAATTGATTTAGGTGAGGAAATTTCCCAGTCAAATATTAAAACAACATTTAAGCATTTGCGTAAATTAGAAGAGTCTGTAGACGATAATGACGATGATGATGATGATGATGAAAAGGAGTATAATGAGTGTTTATCAGAGTGTACATTAAGGCATAGGAAAAAACAGTATTTAAGACATACTACTACCACTACTACTGATAGTAAGAACAATCAGGATGAGCGGGATGATCAGGAGAATGAGACAGAAGAAGACGAAGAAGAACAATTGATATCATTTTCAGCAGCAGCAGCAGTAGAAAGTAAAGTAATTCATAGTACTGTCAAAAAATCCCCTATTAGTAATGATATGAGTAGTGAATCAAAGAATAAACAACAAATAAATGAAGACAAAACAGTTAAAAACACGAAAGAGAACACTGAGTCTGAGTCATTCATTTCTAATGAATATGAAGATGATAATGACAGTGACAACCAGGGTGATGATGATGGTGAGGAGGATGAGGGCGATGATGATGATGATGATGATAATAATGATGAAGTAGATATTGATAATTCAGAAAATGAGAGAGAAGATGATGATAATGATGACAATGAGGATAATAGTGTACATAAACCAAATTGTAAGAAATCTGTCAGTAATGACAAATCATCATCTCCTATAAACAAGGACAACAATAAAGATAATAATGATAATGACGAAGACGATTATGATGATGATGATGATGTTGTTGACAGTGATGACGATGATGAAGGTGACGATGATGATGATGATGGCGAACACTATTCTGATAAAAATGAAAGTACTCCTAAACCAAAATTTGAAATTAATTCATCTAATCGTAAACAAACTAAAAGTACCAAAAATTCATATGAAGAACTTGACGGAGATGAACAAGACACTTACAACAATAATGAAACTGAAGATATTGAAGAAGAAAGAGAAGAAGACCAACCAGAAGATACAGGTTTAGAAATTTCCCATGAAGAAGGTTATGAAGATGTCGATGATCCAGATTTCAGTGATTGGATACAGGCTGATGATGAATTGAATCCTAACTGGCCTGGTAAGCTTAGTCGGAATGTGGAATGGTAGTAAGAACAGCATATGTGTATGCTGATTTTAAATATTAGTTACCTTCCAAGCTCATCTATAGTAAATATGCACGTTGGTTATCTCGTTCAAGTCAGCTTTAAATGCTAATTCGCTCGCTCATTCACACGCACGATCGCTCGCTCGCACGCACGCAAATAAGCAAACAAACGATCAATTAGCTGTGTATATTGAACATTCAACTTTTACACTATTAGTGTTTACAAGCAAGAACAGTCATTTGAAACCAACACGCTATAATGCAACTGATGAATGATGCATGCTGGTAAAATAGTTAGATGATATCATGTAGATTTTAGATATGTAGCTCTCTATTTTACTTGATAATTATATATTTATTACAATGTTATATTTACTTAGTAATTAAAAACAAACATTGCTTGTCTGAACTAACTTAATATGCATTTCTTTTTCAAAAATTAGCTTATCAGTAATGGTAAATTTTTTATTGAAAGTGTATTTATTTAGTATCTTTTTTAGTAATGCCATCAATTCGCTTAATTTACACTTTTGATATTCACTTGTATGTGGTGAAATCAGTTACACTAATTGTGTACATTAGCTTTTATCCAGAATCCAGTTTCTATGGCCTACCACATATTTTAAGTGCACGGATTTCATTCCAAAGTAAACAGAACCTTGGGAAAAGAAAACTATTTTGTCCTCTTTTTGCCTTAAAGAGGTTATTTAACATTGAAGAGTATTACATCACACTGACAAATATATTGTCGTCCTGACCGCTTAAACTTATTCACCTGCGTCATTGAACAATATCAGTGGCTTGCAATGTTTTACGTCAAGCTGTAGATTTCTTTAACCAAGTGGAAAGGGTAGACAGGCATTTCAGCAGTCCTGTATCGATTGGAATAGCTGCAAATTCAGCTTAAATATTGGAATGGTTTACAACAAGTCAACCAAGCTGGTTACTTTGAATGTACCATGAAATTTTCAAATCATTTAAACTTTGAGTGTTCTAAAGTGATTATTTCTTCCACCTGAGTAATATGAATAAGATTTTTTTTGATAGAACGCACTTTAGATTAGACTACAGACTAAAATCCTGGAGATATAATCCTCGTGAACTGAGGTAATAGGCTGTTGACTTTCTTTAAATCGACTTAATACTTTACTGAAATTATACAAACTATGAATAGGAATGCAGGGTTTACTGACTGATGTTCCTCTATTTTATATATATATATATATATATATATATATTTGTGCATTCAATTCAGCTTCAACTTTTATACTTGTCATTATGAACCAAGGCGGTGTCGGTGGTTCAGTGGTGGAGCACTCGCCAGCCACACACGTGGTTCGAGGTTAGATCCTCGACCAATGCACTCCTAAACCTCACTAAACCGGAAGTAAACCCGGTAAAGAGAGAAGGTTGGGCGTGAGGCTAACAACCACAACCCGTAAAAAACCCACTGCTACTGAAACTTCAAAGCTCTAGCTTAAAGCCCTATGTTCCAGTGGAAACGTAAAGGAATAAAATAAAATAATAACCAAAAATTAACATAGAAATTCATTCCCTGATCAGTAGTAATGAGAGGAGAAATACACTAAGCTATTTATGACTGGGTACTAACTTGAGTCCTAATCAGATGCAGTAAAATCAAAATTACCCATTGACAACATCTCAAAACTCATTTTTTATCTTCATGCAATCATGTTATTTTCTGAAGTTTGTGAGAACAGTACTCACATAGCATAGGAGAGATGTCTAAACTAATTTTATTCAAACATATAAGACAATAACTACTAAAAAGTGACACTCTTAGTAGATAGAATTCCATTTCAAAATTCTACTGGTGTATCGTGAAATTTGACGAAGTTTAAAGTGTTAGCCAGTAACCACTGACATCATCCCGGTTACAGAATGTCACTTCTCTACAAAGTGAACCCTGAAATGCAAGTGTGCTGACCGAATCTAGACTTGTTTTCAGCCTTATGCAAATGCACAACGCTTAACTGTATTTTCAGCTACTTTTTAGAATCATCAAAAGAGATAGCTTGAAAGAAAGCATACAGTCTTTCAAATAGATATGTTAATTTTGGAAAACATAATTTTTCTTAGGTCATTCTAGAGATTTGCAATTCAATCTGTCACATAAGGTCTTTCTATGAACTAAGAATAATACACTAGTCATTAGGTTGTTCGGTTTAAAGAGGACATAAATCCAACACTCAGCAATGATTAATCACTAATTTGTAAGTTCCCAGATATTGCGAACTATCTCCAATGTGCCATCATAAAACATTTTTTAGTGATATCTGTAAATGATATTATATTCTAGTTTTGACTTAGCCTATATAAATGTTGATTGTTTTAAATTACAGCATACTGTGTCATCCAGTAAACTGATAAAATTATTCGATCAATGTGTAGAATAACACAACAAAATAAATGGTTAGTATGTCAAAGTGAAGTGTTTGAATTAGGTTGCAAAGTCAATGATATCTGCTGATACCATTGAATCATATGTGGGAAAAGGCTAAACATGGTAAATATAAACATTCAAAGGTTTGTTGTATCTTATTACATATGACTTTTAAAGAAAGAAACATACACATAATGAACTAGTTAACTTGTATTTTAGCCTTAAATACTGTAATATATCGGTCATTGTTGTAAGGTCTTATCAAATAACTTGATTTTACTACAAACTAACAGTAGTCACGTGATTTCTTTCTTAATATACTTGAGGTATTGCTACTTGTGTACTTTTCAAAGCATATGATGCCGAAAAAGCCATTGAAATAAATTTAGTTTCGTAAAATTAATTTTAAATATTTACTTTTTTTGACAAAGAAAGAGTCCGTAGATATCTGTTAGATAATCATTTTCTATCTAGAAGAGATTCCCATTAATTCAAGTTGACAAGATGGTGGAGAACTGTTGCCACATTTGAGACGCTGATATTTAAATCTTTCTATCATGGGGGAGTATAAAACTCTGTTTCCAAATAAATTTTAAGTCCAGCGAATATGTTAAATTTGACGGTTTTGCTAACTAAGAAATAATTTAACATGTCATCATTCAATTGACTAGTTAGTGTTGAACTGTTTTCCACCGTGAATTAATCTCAGAACAGTTTGAGTATTTGTTTCTTCCAGATAGTAAACATCTTAACTACGTTTTTCACATAATACAAAAGAAGGATCTAAAATGATGTGCTCAATGATTGATTGTAACCACTGGTATATATATATATATATATATATATATATATATATATATATATATATATAAATTTATGTGTGCTATGAATAACCCCAACTTGCATTATCACCTCATATCTTGACAATTAAGACTAAATAATTGCAATAGAGGGGGTAACAATCATTGGGCAGTCTATGGTAATATTCTCCATACACTTCAGTCTTTCTGTTGAAGTGTTAGGTAATACTGCAGTGTAGAAGATGAAACTCTAGGCTCTATTTTTTGCATCTGTTAGGAGGTCATCAAGAAGACAAACCAACAAATTAGAAGATTAGAGAGAGAGAGAGACGGCGGGGGGAGAATCTGCTAATTATATTTCCCCTCTGACCATTAAAGATCTGATACGTATTCAGCCATCGTGTTTATAGTTGAGATTTCTAAACAGACCTCAACAATTATAACAATTAAGTCTATCAAGTTTCACTAATGGTCTTCAAATATAATATTATCATATCATATTTCATGATTATATAGATATTCTGAACTCCTGGATGAAAAGATGGTTTAATTTCTAGTATCTATTTTCCTTAACATAACACCCAATAGTGAAGTTAATTTTAATTCAAGTTTTGGTTTGCAGGGATTTGATCGGTTTCAGGATTTCATCATGGACTGACATTGGTTAGAGAACCACTAGATGAACTGGGAGTACTGCACAGCCGTTTCGTCCGAGTTTGAGACTCTTTACAGTGCGCACCTACAACCTAGGGTTGAAACTCAGTGGATGCGTACTGTTGACGAGTTCCAAACTAGAGCGAAACAGATGTCCAGCACTTTTTCTTGGTTTTCCAGTAGTCCTCTAACCGATGTCAGTTCATGATGAAATCCTGAAATTAATTTTAATTTTTGATTTCACGTTGTCCCTGCTTTACCTAGGGATTACCGTAAGCACTGGTATTCGAATATGATATACCGACATTTATACAAGAATAATTAACTATAAGGCCTAACTTTTTCTCTAGTAGTATCGTGTATACGAAGCGGAGTAAGTTCCCTTCAACCAAGTACTGTCAGCTGTTGATTTACAGGCCCAGGTATAGTATTCGATTCAATTTAAATTTTCCCATCGATTCATTGGACCGAAGTGCTTGGTCTCACGTTGATATGTCAGCTCCTTTTGCAGACACTTTGAAAATGTCTGGTCATGTAACTTGAGGTCAACTGGTAGATGGTGAATAGCACTGGAATCCAGGATACGCATTTCCTCCTATTTGGGACTCGTGAGACCAAGCACTTCGGTCCAATCAATCGACGGGGAAATCTAAATTGAATTGAATAATAACTGACACCTGTTGCACAAGAGGTGGCTCTCGTGGCCCAATTGACTTGGTGGATAACGCTTAGGTGTTTGAAAATATGGGTACTTGGTTGAAGCCTCGGTGGAAACATCATCACTCCCTGAGGAATGTAGGTACATCCAGCTGATGACGAGTCCCAAATAGGACGAAGTGCGCATCCTGGATTTCACTGTTAGTCACTGTCCACCAACTGACTATGTATGGTGTGTAAAATACGATTTTGAAAAGTATAATAAATTTGGAGAACATGTTGAATTACCTACTTTTAATTTATTAAAAATAAAATAACCTTATCGTGATTTAATAAAAACACATTTACAAATAACTTAGTAATTGATAAATTCTAATGTTAGCCCCAAAAAACATCTGAATCTTCTTTATTCGAATTTTTTTCTGTATATATTTAGTTGTCCAGATTAAATTTCATTCTGTTGAAGATCTGAAGCGACTTTTAAACGGCAAAAAACGGTATACGACAACTGTATTCTATTAATATTGATCATATCATGTATTAAAAGTTAAATGTATTAACAGCGTATCTACTTTTCTATTTGATTATATAGGTGGAAGAAAATTAATGGCAGTAAAGACACCATCTACTCCTTCACCAAAAACCAAAGTGAACTCCGAGTCTACATCTGGAAATGCAAAGAATAAGAAACCTTCAACAGTACCAACAGTGCAAAGTAAAGTAAATTCAAAAGCAGCAAATACAAAAACAGCTGAAAATGTAAAGTTTAAACAAAATAAAGAAAAATCTCCTCCTACGCATCATCAACACCAACAAGACAAACCGAAATCTCCACCATCAAAGCATACTGAGGATCATTCGAAAAAGGCTATGCCTAAATCTGTCCCTCAACCAGAGAAAGCAAAGAAACCAAATATGCCCAAATCAAAACATGTTCGAATTGTTGGAAATATAAACGATCATGACTGTGATGGTATACCAGATGATATTGACGAAGATATTGATAATGATGGTCTTCTGGATCGTACTCAAGATTCAGACTGGGATGGATTGTTGAATCATATTGACGAGGATGATGATAATGATGGTATGAAATGTTAACTGCCTTTTATCTCTATGAATTTTCAGTAATGTTCACCTTTTTATAGCCTGCCTTAACAAAAGTCGCCATAATAGACAAGAGCTACTTTCTATTAATTATTAAAACTAAAGTTTGTTTGCACTGAACCTCTTCTGACGGATAAATAAGTAGATAGAGGGATTACTGTTCTCCTTACATAAAATTTCTACCCACTCTTGTTAAGCCTACATAAAACTGATATATGCGTTGATACTCACAGGGTTCACAGTAAAAGCAAAGTTTACAAAACGACACTATCAGCCAGAGGAAGCGGAAAATGCTTATTTTAATAGTCTCACCTATATTATATGGTAGTGTTATGAATTCTTGTCAGTTAAATAAGTAAAAAAAAATTTTGCAGTGACAATATGTAGGTTGTAACTGTCTGCAAAGAAATTCAATAGCTTTTATTAATATTAATCTTCATCTATCACTCTATTATGTATGCGTATCGATAAAGACAAGCGTTTACGTCAAAAGCAATGTTCGAACCAACTTAATGACATAATATATCACACTGTAATATCTTAATCGTTGTTACTGATAACCAAGTTAGATACGTATTATTGAACATACACGTGAAATGTTGTCAACAATCAATGCTAAATTCTCAAATAACCAAGATAAATGGACACAGATTGTCATATAAACAGGTTTGGTAATCCTTTGCTCTTGTTAATATGATATAATAAAAAGAAAGGAGAAAATGAATTTTTATCAGATAATACCAATCAGTCTTCATGCTTTAAATGCTTGCCAAAAATTTTAGCACTATTCTTCCAACTGATGAGCGTCAAAGACATTCTTCAGTGCATATTCGTTCATCAATTACTCTTATTACAATGAAGAATTGTAGCTGATCTAAATTTTCTAATATCTTCTGATTCTGATTATATTTTTCAAAGTAATTCTTTCACCAAGTCTAGGACAGTTACTCCCCTGTAATATCAGATAGCAGTGATGCCACATCACAGTAAGAGAGAAATCAGAAGTCAGGGCGGTCACCTAAATGCGGCTTGCTTGAAAATCGCGCTACCAAAAACTTCCATCTCTCTATCGCACACATTTTCTCTTGTTCCCTTTGTTTTAATCGATTGAAATATGACCTCCAATAGTATTATCTACTCTTGTGTGCATTTAAAATGTTTACAAGCTTCTGATTCTCAAGTTGCTAGTAAACTTGAGAGAAGGCCCGATTGTGAGTGGCAGCGTGTTCCAATACATGAGGTAACTGTTCTTGAATTATGTTCTTGGGTCTCAAAATGTACTTCTGAACTTCTTACAATTGGCTTTCAACAAGATATTGTGAATTTCTTGAAAGAGACAAGGCAGATATTTTATAATAAAATGGTTTGTACTTCAGCTGAGAGACCATTGTGTCGCAGGATATATTTTCAATTAATATTTTTACTTCAGTAAACTGTACAAAGGGAAAATATCATGTAATAAACTCCGCTGAAAATTGTGTTCATGATATAAATACTGTCCAAAATAAAGCTATTATTATTAATATTATTATGAATGAACTTCAACCCAGTTGTCACTTGAAGAATATAGAATAGACTTTAAATGAGATGATGGATTCGTATTATTTAAGAATCTCAAAGTGAGATGCATTATAACTACTTGATACTTGATGATTTTCAATGGTTTTCCAGTCAATATCGGATGATGACGATATCTTGTCTGAAACACATTTATGTCTGTTACAGTTCATTCGAATACATCTTCATCTTGTGCCATTTATTTTAAAATTATAAAAATGCACCTTTTGAAAAGTTTTATTCCGCTAACTAGAAGTTTACTGAACGATACATCTACTCATAGTCATTTTTTAATCTGAAAACTCTGTCAATGTTTTGTTTTCGTTTTTATTAAACAGTTTATCTGCTTAAATGCTGATCACTCTAACGCTTAGATAACTTTTTGACGTTTTCTTTTAACACATTTGTTTATCTAAACTAAAATCTGGTATACATCTGAATACTGATTTTTAAAAATATGTGAGAAATTGAGTGAACAGAATGTTGTTTTAAAGATAACTCCTAGTCTTTAGTAAAATATCTGACAAACAATGTAAAATATTACACTAATTACATCTACATCTCCCATCATCAACCTGAATATGACTGTTAAGTGAGCTTTTACAAGATATTTTTTTCCTCTCTTAATTCAAAGGTATCCCTGATATTGAAGATGAAGATTCGAATGGTGACGGTATACCAGATTGTCGTTCTGATGTTTCAGATTTAAAATTAAAAATACGATATAAAAAGAAAATGAAAAAAATTGATAGTGACTTTGATGGTGTCCCTGATGATGTCGATGGTGACGATGATGATGACGGTATTCCAGATATTTTGGAAGATGAAGATAAAGATCAAATTCCTGATTACCTAGGACTTAGCCGCAATGATTGTAAGTCATTTTGTGAAAAAAAATTTTAAAAGTAGTTCTTTTACTGGGAACATCTTTCAGACTAACAGTGTGTTAGTAGTCATTGCAGTATAACTCTGACTGTCTAGATGGTTAAAAATCAATATTTCTTCTTTGCAATTCAATGTAATATTTGCTATGTGCAACCTTAGAAATGATAGAGAAGATTTGTTGTTCAAACTAATGACTTTGGTTTAGTCACGTTCTCTAGGTCGGATGGCTTTCATTGCCTTTCAAGGCAACATCTTCAGCTTCAAGGAGAAGTTAGTGTTGAAGAATTTATCTAGACAGACAATGCAAGTTTCGTGAATAAAAACTATGAAGTTGAGGAAACGCAACTACGCCAAAAGTGATTTTTCTGTTCGTCTTCCTAGTTGAACGCAAAATTACCTTTGGACACAGTTGTTAAATGTTGAAGTCAGTAATGGATTTCTAATACTCTTAATAAAAGTGCCTGATTTTAAAGGTTAACCAGATAGAAATCACCTTCATACGATCAAGCGTCATTACGAAGGCGTTTCATACGTTATACAATTATATATATATATATATATATATATATATATATATATATATATATATATATATATATATATATATATATATATATATATATATATATATATACGAATCTGAAGGTGACAGAATGAATTTGAAAAAATAATGAAAATAACAGGACAAAAAGCATTAGGAAGAAAAGGTTCAAATAAGGAAAACAGTCTCATTTTACAATTAAGATAAAAGTTAAATGTGAATGTATCTACCTCACCATTATGATTTTAAGTCATTTTGCATTAAGCATAGAATACTTCCATTACTAAAATTCCAATACTTTACACATCTTAAACAAATAAACAATGATGTTATTGATAGTTTAGCTTTCTTCATACTAAGCTTCATTATTGTTAACATTAAAGGTCTGATTGAACAGTGGTTGGAGTCATGTGACATAGAACTCAATCATCTATGATTCTGGAGGTGATTTTATTTCCTTGAATGGCACATCTCTTTCAGCATCTTCCCTCCACACTGGTAGAAGCGTGGTTCATCACGTAGTAGTAGTAGTAGAAGTGGATTAAATGTCATCGGTCAGAAATTTATGTTTAGTGATGATCACATTCCCCTAAAGAGGAAATGTTTAACACGATGAATTCTTTATTCATCTGAAATCTATTAAAGTTAAACACTCTCTACTATAAATTTAAAGAAGTATTACTTGCAAATAATCAAAGTGTGTGAGTTAGCATAGAAAATGTGCAACATCAAATTCGTCTTCTTGAAATCAGTATTCTTCCTAGATCACCAACTTATACATCAACTTATCTACAAAATGACAATAAAAGTTTTGTAAATAGCTAATTCAGCATAAGAAAGATAAAAAATATCACATATTGTATAATCTCCTTTTAAAAACACTACTGTTACACTGCTGCAATATCTGTGTATGTACAGATTATTTTTCAGAACAACTAATCTCAAAGATTGCTATAAGTACCGTGAATCATCATATTTTTGAATTTACCAGGGAGTAAAAAGTGTATCAGTGGTTAAATGATGGAATGCCTTTCCATCACTTTGGAGGCCCAGGTTTAATTCCTGGCTACCACTGTCGTAAACGCCGATTCATTTACTAGCCGACAGTTAGGCTGGGAAAGACAAGAGGTTGAGCTTTAGGCTGGCAACACTTCCTCGTTAAAACGATACCACTGTTATTGAAACTTCTAAGCTTGAAGCGCAGTGTTCCACTCAAAACGTAACGAATAAAATAAAATAAAGTATGTTGGTGAATAATTATAAATTAGAAGAAGAAGAAGAAGCATAACCACCATATTTTTTTCATCATAGTTTTCAAATGAAAACATATTTTGTTTTACTTGGTTACACATGAACTGCATACAACATGAAATCAAAGGATGCACCCTATCTGATTATCTTTACTTTAAAACTTTTGAATAACCCTCTTTTCAAATGTTCAGTGTTGAATTATTATCTAGTTACGCTTAAACACAAGATTTATGCAGTATGGTTTATAAGAGAGCACAGCTATAAGGTTATTGATTGGATAGATTCAGAATTTTCATAGTCAAATCTTATTTGTGGAACACAGTTTGACAAATATTGACTAATGATTTTATTATTGCTTGATAAAGGCTCTATAGATAACAAGGAATGAAATATCTACGAATATAAAAGACCTATGAGAAGAGTAAGAAAATTGGAAAGTATTTCCTTAAAAGTCACTAGATATCTGTAATATCAACTATTTAACAGTGAACACGAAAGTAACTGTTTCAGCACAACCTTAAAGTACATATAACAAATATTCTTATTCTTATTTCTTTTTTTTGTGAATACAAATTTAGAATCTTTTATTTTTTACTGTAATTTTTGTATGTCAGCTAACAGAGTTTTCTTTTTGCCTTTTTTCTATTCAGTATTCAGTTTTGTTTGCTTTACTTTGCAACTTCTCTTCACCTAGTAGTAATTGACGGTTTGTCTTCTTCTGCCCTACATCATAATCGATATGGTATGTATGTTGGTATGTATGTATGGATAACTACTTGATGATAGAATGGGCATAAAGTGTAATACCTTAGTTTACATGAAAACTATAGATGAATGGTGCAGGAACATACGTAGACACACGCACACACACACACACACAAATACACTGCACACAGATGCACATATACATCCAATACACATGAATATGTATGGAATTCATCTCTCAGAATCATATCCCACAGATTTTATTGATATTTTAGGTGAATGAAAGTAATGTTTTGAATGACACTGGTGATGGTAGTGGTGGTGCTGAAATAGTCAATACACTAAAACAGATGACCTTGAGTAACATTTACTGATGATTGGTTTAAATGATTCAATACCTTTGATCCTGTAAAGGTAAAAGAAAATACTGCTGGTGATATCATCCTCTTATGCATATATACCTCCTTTCTAGGCAAACAAATTTTGTTTCCACCTACTTATGCCAGTAAAATTTCAGCTATTCCAATTGAAACAGCAAAAATATAAGAACATTTAACCAAAAAGAAAAGAATAGTTTTCATCAAAGTGAAGGAGAGAAGAAAACAGAATCATCATTCCATTTGTCTACGTGTGGTATGATTTAGTAAGAGAGAAGCAGAAGCAAAAAGCAAAAAAACCTCTGTTACAAGTGAAGATCATACCACAGTTTAAGAGTGAACAAGAAAAAGATATTTTTGAAAAATAAAAAAGTAGTTTAGCATATGTGAAGTTGTTGATGGTGATGGTGATGACGGTGATTATGGTAAAGTGATAAACTGTTCAACAACACTGCACTAACTAAAAATGATTTGCATCTTAGTCTCTTTTTTTTTTAAAGAAAGAATAATTTATACACCTGAAGAATTAAATGAATTATCTAGTTAAATATGATACAAGATATTAGTAGGTGAAGAGACGAACAAAAGCCAATTCGCGTTTAAACATTTAACTTCTAACTGTTCAGCTTTACAACTGAAATCTACTTGATTCTGTATACACATTAGGAAAATCTGATTGCCGACGTAAAAACCTTTAATTTGAGCTAATATCATCATTCATTTATGCCTATGATGTTAATCAGTTCTGTCTGTCTGTCTATTTTCGACATAGAACTTTGCATATATGTGCGGCAGTTCAAGTCGCCACACTCCATGTAACACACAAACCAAGAGAAGAAAGTACAAGAAAAGCGTAATAGAGACAGTAAACAGAGGTGTGAGACAAAGGAAGGGTAATGAAGAAGAACAAAAGAGTTTCATTGGAAATCATAAGTCACAAGGAGTGGATGCATCTGAGCCATTGAGAACGATTTTGAGCCATGTCACCATGTTAATTAGTTATTGATGATTCAGTAGACTGGTGAAGAATGCTTTAGCGATTGAAACAACTGGTGCCATATTCATGTTTTAGCAAGGGTGCTTATTATTACTAACCGAAGCTGGTGGACTTTTAGTGCATCGGTGGCACAGAAGTTAGGATGCTCTCCGGGTTCGATCACCGGCTACCGACACACTCCATTACCTCGCTAAGCTAGTAATAAAGAAAAGTCTGGTAAAATAGGAAATATTGAACATGAAGCTAGCAATCCCATCCTGTAAAAATAAACACTGCTACAGAAACTTCAAGCCTGTAGCTTGAAACCCTATGTTCCAGTGGGAACATGAAGGAATAAAGAAAAAAGACCTGGTATGTTGGTATATCCAGCTCGTTAGCCCTTAACAGGATGATTCTTCAGTCCTTTATGTACTAATAGTCACTAATACATAAATAACATTGTATGGCAAGGCTTTTCAGTAAAAACAATTGCTTTCAGGTATTCTGTTCACTCTTAGGTAGTGCTCACAGTACAAATACAGAGTTTTAGCATTGTACAAATATTAGTTGTAGTAGTAAATAGATTAAAAATCGATGAAAATTACCATCAAAACCCTAAGAGAAATTCAAAGCCAGTTATAGTTGAATCATTTTCTTATACATCATCAGAACTGAGATTATTAGGTCACATAGTAACTACACTACACTTGAATTGCTGAGCTACATTTCAGCCAACCAACTTTCCAACTGACCGTTTGTCGTCATTGGCACAGGATGACGATAGACTTTTATCATGGCAGAATTTGGGTATTTTAGAACACTGTACTCTAAATGATGGCTTGATTAGAAGTGCACTACAAAAATGACCCGAGGATCACGAATTAGGCCATGTATAGTATCTCTCAGTGCGTCGGTGGTAAGGCGGTTAGGACGCTCGCCAACCATGCACATGGTCCGGGGTTCGATCTCCGGCCACGGACGCACTCCTTTACCTCGCTAAGCCAGAAATAATGCTGGTAAAGAGGAAAGGTTGGGCATGAGGCTAGCAACCCCATCCTGTAAACTAAACACTGCTTCAGAAACTTCAAGCCACCAGCTTGAAGCCCTATGTTCCACTGGGGAACGTAAATGAAAAAAATAGTATCTCTCATATCCACTAATGATGAGTCTTCAAATACAGATGAATCGCCTGATACTTCATCTTCATTTTCTGTTGTATTCCGATGTAGGTCAATGACAGGAAGTGCTCCGAAATCAAATAGTTTTAAGCAATTAGTGCAGACAAGTCTTTCACATAATTTCTAATTAAAATCATGATTATTTAGGTATTATTTACAACCTAAACTTTAAAAGGAGTATATTTACGGTAACCATCAATTCGTCAAAGTATACTGCTAGATTTCATCGATTTAAAGGTCTTTTTCCTTGATTGAAATAATTATAAGAGTTAAGAAACATAATTTTGAATTCGTTTGAATCAATAAAACGTTTTGTTGATGTTAGACAAACTGAACATCTATTGAAGTATTTGTTTTATAATATCTGAGTGTTATTTTTCCCCATGAGATTATCTTAATATTTATCTGATGGTAGCTACCAGTGAAGTAAAGAATTCGGTTTTCGTCCAGTCCCATAGTCATTAATTGAGTATGCATGCGTCTTAGTGAGTTACAGTGTTCTGAGAAATACTGTACTTTAGTATCCATTGTAGTAATAATAATAATATTAAAAACAGAATCGTTACCTACTAGGCGGTGAGCGAAGGCGACCGTCTCTTATAAAATGGTCTACTGGAGTTTTAAATGAACAAGATATTTAACTTGTATACAATTGGTGGATGGTGGCTGGCAGTGGAATCCAGGATGCACATTTCGTCCTATTTGGGACTCGTCATCCGGATGTACCTGCATTTCTCAGTGAGTGATGATGTTCCCACCGAGGCTCAAACCCAGCGCCCATAGTTTCAACCGCCAAAGCGTTATCCACTAGATTACTTGGGCCACGAGAGCCACCTATTGTGCAACGGGTCATATATTAATTATTGAATTGAATTTTTGATTTTCCCGTCGATTGACTGGACCGAAGTGCTCGGTCTCAGAAATTCAATTCAACATATTTAACTTCTTGATCATTTGGTAAGTGTTTAAATTTATGAAGAGTCCTAGTAAATAGACTGTTGGCTTTTGCAAATCTCATAGCTGCGAACGAAAACTTACCATCAGTTAATGAAATTCACAAAAGTTAGTTTAATCTACGTTGGGAGGTGTAGACTTCCTGGTTGAGGTCCTCAGGATGCTAAGAACCAAAGGCTCGAGACAATTGGTAATGTGGCTCAAAATCGTTCTCAACGGTGCAGATCCATTCACTCTTTTTGACTTATCATATCCAATATAACCTTATTCTTCTTCCATATTACTATTCTTTTTTCCTCACATTTCTGTTTATTATCTGCCTTTTGAACCTCCCTTTACTCTCTTTTGTTGTTCTGTGTGCTAAATGGAATGTGGCAATTAGAACTGCTGCACATCTGTGCAAAGTTCTAAATTGAAACCAGCCAGTCAATCATCCACTTGTCAACAGTTTCTAAATCATTTAGTCAATATTTTAAAATAGACCAGCAAGGCATGAGTATTAATCAGGTATTTATCAGTTTCATGAATGACTTTTATTTCAAAGTAATATAACTAGTTAACCTGTAAGTTAGAGTGTCCCTACGCTGTCTAATTGGAACAAAAATTGAATTAACATGAAAATTTCCGATTGAAAAGTTTATATGATGCATTTGTAAGTGAAAGCAAAACTGCTTTAACAGGATGAAAAGAGTGCTGGACAAGTAACCGCATGACTAAATGGTTTGACTCCGCGAAACATATTGGTTACTAACCCCACTTTGATCTATCATGTATAGCTAATATAGTCTGTCTAATTAGCTTACAGTTTAACTGTAAACCAAGTACAGTTAGTAGGGTTTTTAACCTTTTCAAATAAATATGACGTGTGAATATTTCTCTTTAAATATGAATGCGTTTTCTAATTGTTACTTTTTTTTAAATTAAATGTTTTTTAGTCTTAAAAGGTGTGAGTATTAAAGAATTGAACAAGCGAATGAATAAGCGTGGTTGGTTTGATCACGATTGTGATGGTATTCCAGATAATCTTGACCCCGATGATGATAATGATGGATACTTCGACGCAAAACAAGTAAGAATACGAAAGACAGTTTTGTTTTACTTTGTATTTAAATTTCAAAAGCATGAACAACAGCTGTTTTGATATTTATTGCTAAATATGAAAGCGTCGGTAGTTCGCTGATAGGATGCCTAGCAACACCATATTTGTCTCTCCATTTCTCTTTAACTTTAACATCGATGACATTCTGGAGTCAGCTCTGAAGGATGTGCGTGAAGGTGGTGTGGATATACTCCCCGGAGATAGACTTTTCTACCTAGAGTATGCAGACGATATCGTTTTACTGTGCTATAGCAAGCAGGCTGCCCAAATTGTCCAAATCAGTTGGCGATCAGTGTCTATAGGTATGGTATGTTCTGTACTCAGTTTAATTGCTTGGTACTGTTACAAGATTAGCAAGAGCCTGTACCTGCACCCACTCTCGCAAGTGAACCACTTGAAGTTGTCGATAAGTTTTTGTATATTGGTAATTGTGTATGTTGGCGGAGGGGTGACGGATGAGATTTTCAACGACGTTAGCCTGAATGTCAAAGGTTAAGTATACAATGCTTCGGTGCGGACTGTATTGCACTACGCCTGTGAAACCTGGCCTCTCCAAGCTGAGGATATGTTGCAACTCTGCGTATTCGATCATCACTATCTCCGAGGAATTGCTTGCGTTCGATAGCATCATCGCGTGAGTAGTTCTGAGGTTCGGCGGCGTGTGTTTGAACACAGTGGAGATGACCATTCGTTGAGTGTTGTCATCTAGAAACACCGGCTTTGGTGGCCTGGACATGTGCTGCAGATGTCATCCCAGGGACTTGCGTACAGGTCTCTGTTACCTAGCCCTGGGATGGAATGGAAATATTGGAGAGGTTGTCAGCCCATGACGTGGCGTCGTAGGATGAAGAATATTCGTGTTGGGTTAGCGTAGGTTGGTGCATCACGATTCCGCGGTTGGAGTCCGAGAGGTAGCTAGAAACGTTATCGGATATAGGCAGTGGCGAACGTGCTTCAATTTCCTTCTTTCTTCCCTTCCCGATGACAGTTGACGAATGCTGTTTGAACTTGTTAAGTATGACTGTTTTCTTCCCAGATAAAGTTCTTTATCTGTTTTTCACCTGTATTTTGTATTTTAATCTATGTTTTATTATTATTGTGTGGTGCATCTTCTTGGTGTCATATTGTAGCAAGTTTTCTGTGTTTAAATAATAATAATAATAGCCCCATATATGCTCTGAGTACAATTCACACCGGACAAACTCCTTGATCTCGTCTAGTCTACTGGCCGATAAAAAGTTCAAGAAAGAGAAACGTTTGGGGGAGAGACTAGCATTCCGATTCCGTCAAAAACAACAGCAATACTGAGGCCTCAAGGCATGAAGCCCGATGTTCCACTTGGAACCCAAAGGATGAAAAAAAAGGGAGAGAACTAAATAGGAAGAGTTTTAGAAGTTGACACTTATTTGGAAAATCTATTCTTTTGTTGTAGAAATCTTTGGACTTATATAACTTTTAGTTAGAATATTTCACTTGTTGTAAATCAGATCTACAGTATTTAATACCTATTTTATTTTATATCTTGTTCCCTTGGGTACCGAGTCGAGCATAGGGCTTCAAACTTGCCATTCTAAAGTTCCAGTAACAGTGGTGCTTTTCACTGGGTAGGGTTTTTAGCCTCACACTGAACCTTCTTTCCTTGCCATGTTTACAACCGGCAAGGTGAGATTTAAGAGCACATCGGCCGAGTATCGAACCCCAAACTATGCCCGTTGTTGGCGATGATTCTACCACTGAACCACCGACGCAGCATTTGCAACTTAGTAACCACTTAATATACTTAAATAAGGTAAAAAAATATTCAAGGTTAAGATAAAGATGTCTATTTTAAACTGATTAATTACAAGAAATAAAAACATTAAATGGGGAAAATTAATATCACGATAAAATGAGTGATAGAGCAAAAGTTTACAAACAGAAGTGAATTTGCATAGATGGATTGCCAGTACTTCCGCCACACTCAATTCTCAAAAGTATTCTCCTTCAAAATAATGTGAATGGAAGATCCTAAGACAGCTTTGTAAGCCTACTTGGCCAAATAATCAAGAATTAATAAACTGAAGACTGAAACAAATCCCCTCTTAGATAGGCATTTGGGATAATGGTGTAGAGGCAGTAATCCTCTGTTCTTGATATTCTGCCTTCCTTTTGCCTTTTAAAAGACTTTCCACAGATAAGCACCTAATATTTAGGATTTATTCTACTTTCTTGTGATATCAGTAGTAACAGTAGCAGAGCGTCAATTGACGTTAATCATCTTGTACGTAAGGCATAGTATTAACGTTTTCCAAGTCATCTGTTATGACAACGAAAAAACCCACCTTTTTACTTCTTTGAATAGGATAATAAGTATTCACACACGTCTAATTATGAATGAACTGGAATTTAGACACAGTTATCCCTAAATATTTGACTAGTTGAATAAGCTGACGGAAATCAGTTACCAATGATACAAGTATTGATGCAGTTATCTAGGTACAAAAGATTGATAGGTAAGTAGATATCGGAATAAACAGGTAAGATGGTGAGGTTGATAAATAAAGCCAATCAGTGATTTTTCCATTGACTTCATAATGTCTCCCCTACCAATTTGCTACTGTAAAGTGGGAATTTTCTGGTGACAGTGAATATGATATTTACATATTGAACTGTAGGAAGGACTGAAAACAACTAACATGCATCTTATTTCTGATAAACACAATAACTTTTACCATTGAAGGTGATAAATCAAATCAAAAAGTGTGTATCCATTAAACGTCAACATGATAAATTTACCTTTTCCTGTTCTAATTCCTTGAGATTTTAAGTTATTATTTTTCTTTCAGTGGTAAAGTTTTTGGAAACTTTACCTTAGATATTGATCGCGGTTATGGGATGACGACTGAAGGTGAAAATAAAATCTAAACTGTGGGGTGGTCTGAGGGGGATATTTTTGTATTCCGATGATGGTGCTATGTAATCCGAGTTGTGAAATCCAGCTCCTGACGGTGTTTCAAATAAATTTCAATTAGTTAGGCTTTTTTTCATCTATCAGTCATGTGAATGGGTGATAATTAACTGGTTATTTATGATCGTCAAATTAACTACCAGATCAAGCATTTTCACCTAAATTGGAAAGAAACGGAAAGTGCTCATTTGTTAGTTGGGTAATCTGTGATAACCATAGGTTGATGGATTGGTAATATTATATTGATGACTTAAGCTGAAACGCAAGTTTACCTTACTATTATATCCTAATAATTATAAAATTCTAAAGCAAAACCACGGGGTCGATTCCAGTGGGTGTATTGTGCAATGGAAATCAGTGCTTCTTTTTGATGTAGTTGTGTTCCCTGAGCTGTATAGTTTATTTGCGAAGCTCGTGGAGAAATCTAAAAGCTCACTTCAAATTGAAGTAGGCGCTGAAGATGTTGCCTAGTAGGGCGATGAAAGCTTCGCAAATAAACTATCCAGCTCAAAGAACACAACTACATCAAAATCATCCACCTTAGCTACAAATCTTTTCCATCATATCAGTACTTCTACATTTTAAGATAGAGATATTTTGTAGATAGTGTGAAATTAAGGGGGGGGTGATAACTTGATTCACACTCTAAACCGATATAACTGTAATCATGAAATGACCAGTAGTGGCTCACATTCAGTCTGAAAATCTTCACTAAAATGGAGCATTGACTTAGACCTTCATATGCCAGCCGATGAGCTACAAATTGCTTGATACAAATAAGTTACAAGTGAATGTATCGCAGAGCTACACAATTGTTCCCATTAAAGCTTAACACAATTGAAGGAATAGGGCGGGAAACAAATTATCAACACATACTTCTAAATTACGCAAACGAAATTACATTTATCCAACCGGAACTATTCACATATATTAGCTGAACATATAGTGGTTTAGTTCCAAACTAGTGTTGTCCGCATATCGATGGCTCATGAGTGCTGCAGAGTTATTGATGACAAATGAACAACTTTCTTTCAGATGTTTTAAAATGCAGTATAAATACCCCCATAAAAAGTCATTTAAAAGTAAGCTGAAAATACGATTTAGTAATCCATGTTGAAAAGTAGTTAGCTGAAACAGTTGGTAGTAAGCTATGAGAAACAGTTCACCTAGTTGCCAACTAGCCTTCACCTGTCCCCTTCTCAAATTCAGTTTAAATGTGACACTTTGCAAGTTGTCAAGCCTTTATTGAACTTAACAAGTCTATAATTCACCCAGAAACTACGTGTTATTCATCAATCCTTTAAACAGACAGTGAGACACCTGGACTCCAGGTGAGTAGAAGGAATTCAGTTAACTAAATAAAATCTACCACCAGTTCAATCAAAAAATAATAATATCCTTTGGAAAATTAGTATTCTTTTCAATATAAATAAAATCAATAGGAAAGGTAGTCAAGAGGCTGGAATGTACTAAATTATTATTACTGTTATTTTTTACATTGAAATGTCACCTGGATATGGGCACTTCCGCACACACACACACACACACACATGCGTGCAAATACTAAAATGCTGAAAACAACCCTTAATAACTACTAGTAATCATAGTGATCATCACATGGATGGTACTAATCGTCATTAACATTGACAGAAATTTTTGAAACATGACAACAAGGAAAGGTGATATCCTCTCCCCTTGCCCTCTTTCTCTCTCTGTGTGTGTGTCTTTCTTCATCTCTCTTGTTTTGCCTATACGTTTCACATTACAAGCTACGTGTTGCTGAACAGTTGTCTTTACCCATAAATACATAGTAGTACACGTACATTTTCTTCCCCTTTAGCCCACAGATGAATAATAACAGTTAATAAGCGAATTTGTCCTTAAATAACAAGTAACATTCATCATCACTATAAGCAATAGAGAATATACTAGTTGTATATATGTATACGAACTTTTCACTCTGAACTCATTAATCAAACTACTTTTTTAAAGTAGTATACATCTACTAAAAATTTAACGTTCAACTTAGTATGTTTTCTCTTTGAAATAGAACAATTTCAAAGTGATATTTAGTTCAAGTGTTGGTTTATAAGGATTTGATTGATTGGTTACAAGATTTCACCATGAGCTGACATTGGTTTAGAGAACCATTAGAAAACCTAGGAGTACTGGACAGCTGTCTAGTCCTGGTTTGGGACTCTTCATCAGTACGCACCCACCGGCGGGTTTCAAACCCAGGACCTTCTGGTTACAAGGCTAGCGAGTTCGTAGACCACTAAGTCACTGGCACCCGATCCAATGGCCAGCCAATTCATGACATAGCGCGTACGCTGACCAGTGTCTTCAGCGAGTATTTGTCCTCAATGAAGAATTTGAAGATGCCTAACAGCAATGAAGTTAGCTATTAGACATTAGTCAGAAGTCTACAGGAAGATATGCTTAATGACAACACTTGATTCAGCCTTATTTAGGATGAGATCGAGCACTTCGGTCTAATCAATCGACGGGAAAATCTAAAATTCAATTGAATGATTATGACCCGTTGAACAAGAGGTGGCTCTCGTGGCCCAAGTAATCTAGTGGATAACTCTTGGGCGTTTAAAACTATGATCAATGGGTTCGAGCCTCGGTGGGAACATCATTACTCACTAAGAAATACAGATACATCCAGATGACGAGTCCCAAGTAGGGCGAAGTGCGCATCCTGGATTCCACTGTTAGTCACCATCTATCAATTAAATATTATGTAGGCTGAATTATAACGAGGATAGTTTAAATGTTCTACTATGATTCCAACAAATACTAGAGTAAATTTAAATATGGCTTTCTGTTAATGCACTGTAAACCTTTAGCGTCAAAAGAAGTAATTCACATAGATTAGTGAATGGATTGGAAAGCTAGAGTTGTTCATCGAGTTTTGGATGTAACAAATGTCTCAAATGTCACTAATAGCAGAAATTACCACCTTTCCTAATATTGTGAGAATATTGTAGACGAATTATCTGTCTTATTAAATAAGGCTTAACCCAAATTATACATGATTACTATATGAATACAGCAAAAATTAACACAATCCCGCTGATAATTGTCACAGTTTTCATAATACTTTGTAGACTTTAGTTAGACGTATTTTATACCAACCACATGAGTGACCTTTTCTCAATGTGTTTAAAAATGAAATTAGAACTAAGGTGCCTAGTTTGTTATTCATGGAGAAAACAAAAAACTAGTCTTGAATACAATAGAGAGGGCGTTTACATTTACGACTGACAAATACAATAATAATAATAATAACAACAAAAACAGTTTGTAAACAGCTTGAAGTGTTCACATTTAATCATCTGTTGCTAGGCTTAACTTGTCTACGGTTGACTGAAATGTTTTAGAAAAACGACCCTGAATGAACTGACAATATAAGGTTGTCAAAAGAAACTTTCAGTTTTAATTATTTTATTTACTTATCTTTTTCCAAATATATTACTTTCCAGTAAGAAGATATAAACCAATGCGTTTCTTTAATTGAGACTGCGAATAAGACAGTATTATTATTAGTGTTCCCTTGGGTTCCGAGTGAAACATAGAGCTTCAGCAACACATCTTCACTTTGTTCGACTTTCTGCTGTCCTCTTTATCTGGACTGACGATTTCCGACAATCTCTCATCTCCTCTTCACACAATACCCTCTATTTCCCCCTGGAACGACCCACTCATCGTCCTCCATTGGGATTCCACTCGAGTGATGGCCTGCATTGCGCATGATGTCATTCGATGGCCTCCTTAACATATGCCCGATCCATCCCCATTTTCTCCTACATATTTACTGAACAATCGGCTCTTGGTTAATGCGTTACGCTGCAGAGTTTCTTGTTGCTAATTCTTCCTCGCCTAATCTTCAGTAGGGAATCAGCCAGCGAAAGCAGCTGTTGATAAAAGTTGGTAACCTGCTGGAAATGCTTTTCGTGACACGCAATGAAAGTTTCTGACTCATATAGAAGAACTACCTGACTTGACAATTGTTCTTTGAATTCCAATTCTTCTTCTTCTTCTTTATGCTGAGTGCAGAAGATTCGCAAACCGATTACAGATTGATGAGTGTCTGTCTTGCCTTTCCGATTCTGGCTTTGATATTTTCATCCGTTGTGCCTTTGGTTGACACGATGCTGCTTACAAATCTCCACCGTTGGTGGTGATTGGCGCTGTTCGTTGTTGCTGTTGGTCCGCAGAGTATCTTCATCACCTCCGTCTTCTGTATGTTCACCTGCATTCCTGTCTTCACTGCCAGCCCCTTCACCTAGTTTGTTGCTTTTCGCCTGAAATTCTTCGAGTCCGTACTACAATAAACATAAATCATCTGCGAAATCCAGATCTTCTAGAGTTTTTTTATCCATCCATCGTATTTCGGACAAGACAGTAGTAGGAGTTAACAGATGTGTTATACTTGAGTGAATAATTTACCACCTATTTACGATCCACAGCCAACGTTGGTAAAATTTCCCTCAAAATAGTTAGCAGTATTTCTGTTACCATTTTCTCAAGGATTCTCAGTTGGGTAAGTGTATTAAAACAATAGATTATTACTTCTAACATAATATTTCAAAACCCTGAGGTCTACCAATTTTTCCTGTGACTCATATCAAGGAATCTAAACATCTGAATAGGAAATTCAAAGTCTCCTGAAGTGGGAAACACTCGAGCAAATGGCAGAATGTTCTTACTATCTCTGTTATTCCTGTCACACAAACTTGTAAATACTGACGAGTAATGGCAGGGATGAAACTTACGTAGAACAGATCTTCTAACTAACCATTTTTCAACTTTTCCTAATTAGATTCTGATTAATTTTTAATATTTTACTATCTTCTTTTATGTATTTACCTAATTTGCTGTCTAGTAGAATACGTTATACTGTTAATTTAACTACTCATGCAAATACTTTTATTCAGGATAGCGATCGCGACGGTATTTTGAATGAATTCGATGATGACGACGATAACGATGGAATACCAGATAGAGATGATTCTGATTCTAATGGAGATGGTATACCAGACTGCATAGTGAAAGTAAGAAACAAACAAACTTTTTCAGGTTATTTTATCTCCTATGAAAACTTCATTTTTGACAAATTTCTGTACAGTTTCTTCCTAATGAGCTGAACTATCCAACCATGAAGGAAATGAGGTTTTTATATCTCACTTATCTGTCTTTTGAGGAAACTGTAATAAAAATGAGTGGTTAATCACTTGAAAATTTCGTCTGAATTTATCATGCATATTCCAATAAATTAGACACGTTTGCGAAAAATATGAGACTTAGATTGGAATGGAAGCACACATAGATGGAAAACGAGGGTAAAAAAGAATAGCAAACGCCATCTTTTCATAAATCCAAATAGGCTGAGGAAAAAAATTAGAGAAACAAGGAGAACTAAATGACTGATTTGCTTATATTTGCAGTTCTTACTTACAGTGTGTTGATCGTTGACCTCCTTCTACGACAGTTATGGTCTCTCATCGGAATACCATCTCATAATTCAAATAACTTTATTGCAATTGAGTTACTAGGTGTTACTTCGCGTCTGTATGTTTCATTCACATGTTTGACTGTGAAACCCATCGCTTAAAACTATAAATTCCGGAATACATTTCTATGATTTAATTGCTTCACCTCAAGTTAAACAGCGAATTTGCAAACGTCCAACCCTAAATTGATTCATTACAAACATGGAACATATTTTCCATACGTACTTAAGATAACTGTGAATACATAGTCTAGTCTAGTGTAGCCAGGCCGACACTTGAAGTTTGTCTAAGGACATCACATTAACAGATGTGCCACTCACCTGTATTAATCTATAATTAATGACCCCCCTTGATATAAACAAATATAACTTCAAAAACATGGTCACACATGTGACCACCTGCATGCACCCTTAATATGTTAATAACTTACATGCTAATTTTATTTATTCTTCCAGTTAATTGGCTAAGACATCAAATATGCTGTCTAGGCAATGCAAAACGGTGAAAGCTTAAACTTGTCAGTTAGTAATACTATGCCAATTCAGTATGACAAAACACATAAAATAAATTAGAAAGACATCTTAAAATAATTAAGACAAATCACTAGTCTTTTTGTAAAATAATGTTGAGTTGCATATTGGATCTGATCTGTGTATACGACTCCGTTAAAGAGATAAGCTGTGTGACTCATAATGTCATTTAAAAATTAAAAGTAGCTATCATATTTTAATCTAGGGCTTCAGCAGTGTATACTCGTAGATTTATCTGAGTTAAAGCCTATTCATCATATCATGTTAGCTATTGGTGATATATTCCAACACTTATCAATTCATTCATCAAACAGAGTGGTCATCATTCAATGTAGACAATGAGTAAATGTCTTTATTAGATGGATGGAGGCAACCGGTTAGCTCAGTAGTAACGTCTCTGACTGCACCACTGAGTGGTGCAGGTTCAAATCTCACAATGGACATGAGTCCCTTCAAGGTGTCAGATATGCCTTGATGACTAGTGAGTGCCAACTAGCACGGAACCTAGATCCAAGGGTTGTCCAATCATCCATATAACCAGCCAATATACTGGTATATGTTATCTGGTTCAATTCTGATATTTGTCAGTGACAAATTAGAGGAATACATACGAATTTCCGATGTACATCTGGCTTTTGTACAGCACAATTACATGTCGTTGTCGGCTGATTATAAGTTCATTTTCAATAAGCATTAATTAACCCCAAAGGTAATCTTGAGATCAGTATTTATTTATCTTACTAAATTGTTATTTTCCCATTAACAGGTTGCAAGATAAGAGATGTAAAAAGTTACCACTAAACAGTGATGATATTTATCAGAGGTAATCATTTAGTGATCACTGCTTGCCTAACATCATTGATGTTTAGTGAAACCATGAGGTGAAAAGGATTACTTCACGTATCGGGTTTCGGGCTTACGAAGTAAACCACGTCAGAAGTCTGAAGTTTATATTCGGTGAAATCACCTGAATACTTCTCAAACCTTTTTGTCAACACATATCATTACATACACTGTTCAAACCGTTAGGTGGTAATGAGTCAGAAAGCTTCTCAATTGAATACATAGACAGTGTTACTAAGACAGATTTCCGTGACTTTGACCTATAGCATAGAGGAAACAGACGATTAGGATAAGCAGTTGCCATGGTTCAAACCTACTCACGAATACTGCAAATAAAAATACAAGCATAGTCTACATTTTGTTCTTTTCAATTTTAATTCACCATACATGTCTTTCACAGTGATTTTGTTTCTCATTGGTTTCTGAGACCACTGTAACAGGTATACAATAACGGGTAAAGTTCTGTTAATATAGTTGGAATATGTTGTGATACCTGGTTGTGAGATCACAAAGCCGTCAATTTAAGCTTAACGATGAAAATCCTCACTCTGGAGGTATTTATTCATTCCCACATGTGTAGCTGCCTTCGTTCTTAGTTTATTTCCTCAATGAACGTGATAATAACACTTATCTAATTTTCCTTTTATTTTGGCACAAAAAGTGTCATCTAACTTGTTTTTAGACTTCTTTTCGAATAAAAGTTTTTTACCTCTATGTTGATCTGCGGTGATTTTGGGATTTGACTTGTTTTTAAATGTTTACCACTAAGAAATCAAGCTCAAATGATGATTCACCATGAACATCATAGTATTTCATAGTTACTTAATTATGAGATTCTTCTTCTTTTTATTAATTGTAATAACTGTTTAGGATTCTGACGGTGATCATATTCCTGATCATATTGACACAGATGATGACAATGATGGTATACCAGATCTACAGGATCCAGATCATCCAATGTTTGATTATTTCCGTGACTCTGACAAGGTAAGTTACTACCGTACTTTCAAAGCAAATAAATAATTTAAATATTATGCTAGTAAATTTTGAAAAACTGTCGCTTCAAGACTTATTCTATTCAAATGTTTTCAGCAGTCTAAGGCATTTTGTATCAGTAACTGAATTAAATTGACACAAATGAGATAAACTATGCAATAGATTGTCACGTTTGTCCTTTAAGGCATCGTTCGTCAGAGGCATAATTAAAATACTCTGTTAACATAGAAGTGTTACGGTAGCCTTGTTGAAAGAATCGGGATAATTAAGGTTCACTGAATGTGTTTCTTCAAGGAGAAATATGGTAAAGTTAAGAGAATGGTGGATTTGCAGTTTCCATCTTTCACTACTCTTAATGAACAAGAACAAAATTGGAATTAAAAAAATGAACAGCTACCATGTATTCATGGATTTTCAAATGGAATTTGGAAACTATAGTTTTTTTAAAAACGTAGGCATCATTTTAACCATAAATATTTATGGTGATTTTACACTACTACTCAAATAAGCTTGAATCATTGATAACCAGGAAGTGCTGGACAGATATTTCTGCTTAGTTCAAAACTTTTCATCAGTGAGTACCAATAAGCTTTCTGTGAATTCACTTCAGGTCTTCCAATGTATGAGTTGAGCATGTTGCCATTCAGCCAATTAGTGTGAAATCAGTCGCCTATGAATTCTAACTGGTATTAAATACTTTATTCAGAAGATATTTTAGAAATAACTAACTGTTTAAATCTAAACTATAAGTGATTTGTTTTTCAAATCAAACTGATGGATTCAAAACGGCCAAAAACCTAAATCGAAGTCTTCATACATACACCACAGAATTTTCTAAACATTATTTCTGTTATGTTGACCATTAAGTCACTGGGACCCGATCCAATGGCCAGCCTATGAATTCTAAATTCTGCCAATTCAAGACTTAGCATGACCACTTCTCAATATCTTCTTCGATGAGTCACTGCCTCACCTTTAACCTGCTGTATCCTACTAGTCACGGCCTCCCGCTAGAACCCCAGGTAACTACCTACCTGAATAGGGCCAGTAGCTAGTAAGCATGAGATCAATTTTCAAGTATTGGTTTTGTAGGGATTTTGTTTGATTGGTTGGAGGATTTTATCATGAGCTGAAATCAGCTGACAAAGGATGGGGTCCCAGTGGCTTAATGGATTAAGAAATCGGTAGCCTAGTAGTCTGGGTTTGAACGCCACCAGTGGGTGCGAACTGATGAAGAGTCCCAAACTAGGCTGACGAGCCTGCTGTCTAGTACTCCCAGGTAGTTTTTTACTGGTTCTCTAACTGATGTCAGCTCATGATGAAATCCTCCAACCAGTCAAACAAAATCCCTACAAAATATCAATACTTCAAAATAACATAGATTTCCTTCATTAAACGAATTCACAATTCTAGCAATAAGTTATACAAGGGACGCTATCCAGTTAACAATATGGTATGATTGTATAGTGTATTCAAAAAACTTTCTTAAAATTACCGTTTCCAAAGTTACACCTTCGTCTATACAAACAAAATCTACTTTATTTGGTCATCATCTGAAAAGAAACAATTATGAACCTATAGGATAAGAGCACGTATAATAAAAGCATATTGTGGCTTGTGATAATTGGTTAAAGATACCGTTTCTATAGTTACAGATATTTTAATTTATCTAGTCACTTTAATGCCGTCTTCTTTCTTTGTTTATTTGTTTGTTTAATAGAAATTTCTTAGTGCTACTAGTTTAGGTTATGAATACTTCAAGAGGGTAGGGGGGTTTTGTATAACAGTGAACAGTATTTTATACAGGTGTATTGAATAGCAGGTGAAGTGAATTAGTCGACATATACTACACCTGTATTGAAGTCGTGATAATGTAATGTGTATTATAATAACTACGAGTCATTCTTTGATGCTTTGGTATCTTGCATTTAGTGTCACATTTATGAGAAGGAGTTTAACATGAAGGCTATTTTGTATAGGGTTCTATCCTCTTTGCCAATCTACCAAATGGTGTATGTGTTGCCTTGGTAATACTGATGCTCACTTTTTAAAAAATAAACACATACACTAGTGTTTCAGTCAGAGAAAATGAGCTACAAGTGATGTTCTATAGGACTGTACTGAATTACCGTTGAAGGATAGACAGAAAACCAGTGTCCTGCTACCTATTTATCAATGATGTTCAAATTCATTTCAAGTTTACAATCTAAGTGACTTGATATTATGGTTCAATGTATTCACTATTGATTATCTGAAACTTTTTCTACTGGAAGCAGTAGACACTTAATATCTATATTATGACTATCAACATTTCCTCTTTATAACTTGTTGACCGACATCAATTAAAATTTCAAAATGATTAAGTACATATACTTCATTAGCTACTTTTAATAATCATCATACACAAGCTTTTCATTTTATCTTCAGAAATCTTTAACACCGGAAGTTTTAGTATAAATATTTATCTACATGAATTGTCTCATATTTTATGATCAAGCCGGCTATAACACCGTCTTTTGCAATCATTCACCTTCGTAGGGAATTGATGTTTTTCAGATTTTTCACTTTAGCCTATCAACTAATTATAAAAGAAAATACAAATGTTTAACTTTTCAATCAAAACTTTCAATATATTTTCCTAACGTTTTGGAAAATAAGTTCAGGGATGAAAAAAATAAGTATTAGTTTTGTAGCGACTCTGTTTTCTTGGTTAGATGATTTCACCATGAGCTGACATCAGTTAGAGGACCATTGAAAAACTTGGGAGTAGTGGATAGCTGTCTCATCCTAGTTTGGGACTCTTCAGCAGTACGCACCCAGCGGGGGTCGAACAAAGTGGTAGCATGCCATATCTTTCGTCTGTAAGATTTCAATACTATCTTCGACTCTAACAGATAAGCTGGTGAAGATACTTGGCTAAAACTGTTGATAAGAATGGTTTTTTCATTACTTTCCCAGTGGAATATAAGGCTTCAAGCTAGAGGTATTTATTTCTACGGGTTAGGGTGGCTAACCTCATGCCCAACCTTTCCTCTTTGACGGCTCAACCACCAGCTTAGCGAGGTTTGGGAATGAGTTGGCCGGGGATCGAACCCCGGACCACATGGGTCGTCAGCGAGCATCCTACAGCTGTGCCACCGAATCACTGATAAGAGTAGTACTAGATGATAATTAATGATACTATAAATCTCCAACCCTAACAAACTTATTTATCTTTAAAAAATGGGTTGAAAAGAAAGTAAAGAGAGGTCTGTATAACATTAATTTTGGTGAAATTTTACAATGTACAGAAAGATAACACTCCCGGACATTTAGAAAAGACTGTATACAAGTTGGTAAATCAAATTCACCATTACCAAATTGCAGTTTACACACTACGATTGGTGACATTTCACCCTGTAGTTTCCTTTGGAAACCAAGTTATTCCGACCATATATATCATCTGTTTGACACCACAAATGGTAATAAAAAAAACAAGCAAATCTGCATAAAACTATATATTACTGATTGAGTAAGACGAGTAGTAGCAAGCCAGAAAATGGATAGTTTTAACTGATTTGGGCTATTTTAGCTGAGCCAAATGGGGTACACCTCTAATGAGCTCGGTGCCAAACAAGCGAAAAGGCAGGCCAGTGTTCTGATCACTTGGATGTGACTAGCAAGCATTACTGGTTGATATGAGTGGTAAGCAACTACTCATCCCAATCAATCAGTAGTATGTTTTTGTCTGCGAGTTGACCAACTGAAGTTATTCGACATTCGCCGGCCTAATAAAATTTATCAAATTCCATCACGCTTAAGATGAGGACTACTCATAGCGGTTATATTTGACAGATGAATCTATAATTAAATTAATGGAAATGCACTATGCAGCTATCTGTGTCATTCTTTTGTGAAAATTAAAACTTGAACACTCCTGATCCAAATTCATCCAAGGTATTTCAATATTTTTCTCGTGCTTTGAAGTTTCTGTAGCCATTGGATGAATCTTCCAGGGTAGGGTAAACAGCCCCCTATCCAACCATCCCTCCTTCCCCTCCTCTGCTTGAAACCGGTTAGAAAACTGGCGAGCTAGAAAAAAACTAGGCGAGGTTATCGACGTCGTGTATTCACAGTGCAAAGAAATATGGTACTAATGTCAGTAAAAAGTTTGTACATTGTGGCATAGAACAAATTAATGATAATTATATTTCACTATTTTACGTATGATGATAATTTTTTTTCATTTTGGTAATATTTCGAGCAAAATTACTGCGCGTGTTCACACCAACTGTTGGAATTGTTTTTCTAATTCCAGATATTACTAAAAAGAAACACTTTTTATTGTGTGTAAACTACTAAAACATAACTATAATTAAATATGGTACTAATCACAATTTCCCATGCATAATCCGTACACACGTATACATATATACCAGCTAATGGAATGAAATTCACGTTACTGCATTGAAGTGTTAGCCATTTATACTGAGTATTTGTCTACTTTTAATTATTTCAGTAGTTAAACGTTTTAACTATCAGAAAATTATTTTTGTTGTTTCATTTTTCAGGATGGTATTCCTGATCCATTAGACAAAGATGATGATAATGATGGTATTCCAGATAGTATGGACTATGATTCAGATGGAGATGGAACAGACGATCTATTCCAAGATGTTGATAGAGATGGTGTTCCAGACAGTGTTGATGATGACATGAATAATGATGGTATTCCTGATCACAAACAAGATCATGATTGTGATGGTATTCCGGATATTGTTGATCCAGATGATGATAATGACGGTTATTTTGACACTAAACAGGTAAGTTATATGTTGATATGTATACTGACTATCTCGTCAAAAGGCGATTTTGCGTCTTTTGCAAAGGAATGAAATGCACAAATGTTTTCAACAGTCCTCTCAGCTGATTAGCTGTCGCTTAAGATTAGGGACATAATTTACTTTTCGACGATTTCATTGATTTTTAGAGACAAGTAGCTATAACGGAATGCTTTTACAACCAGTAAACACTTTCGAACTCATTATTCGTTCACCTTTTTACAAGTTTATATCAAAACATTTAACAATATTTAAAAACATATTTTTAATTGTGAACTCTTTACAGTTCAGTTTCTATCCAACCTTAATTGGCTTCAGAACTGACTTAAACAAACCGAATAACCTTTTGGTAAAGTTGAATTAGTCAGTGGATTTCACTATATCGTACTTTTCGACGGAAGATAATTATTTTTATCAGTTCCTTTGTGTCCAAGTGGAAAATAGAATCTCAGCAGTACGTCCCCATTGTATTCTATTCTCTATCATCCTTTTCTAGTGGACTCTAAGAGATTTCAGATTTATTGTTTGAGGATAGAAGGCTTGGAGACTATGTTAATCCTTTTCTAGTAGATTTCTGGGGTTGTTCAAACCCTTCTTCAACGAATCAGTTGAGGTTGCAGACATCACTTCTTCTGGGAGTCGGTTCCAAGAGTTTATGACTCGATTTGAGAACCAGTACTCAACAGCAATATGATTTCTCCTTGGCTTTTGAATTCTCCTGCTATGTCCTTTAAGGTGTTCCGATCTGGTAGGAAGGAAAAGAGAGAATAGGTCAGGTCCGTAGTCATTATTTAAAATCTTAAACATTGTGACCGAATCTCCTCTCTGCCTACGGTATGACAGTGAGAAGAGATTTAAACTTTCTAGTCTTTCCTCGTATGTTAAGTTAGCTATGCCGTGAACTATACGTTTTGCCTTCCTTTGAACACTTTCTAGAATGTGTGAGTCCCTTTTTAGACAAGGACTGGCGGCCTGGAGCACTCACAAACCTTTATTTCTTCTTTACTCGATTGCCTTCAGAAACCCAACTCATTGGTTTTCATTCCAGTTCCACTTGAAAGTCTTGCCTTCAACAGAAAAAGTCCATGTAAATAAGAAAAAAAAAGTAAAATGAAACCATATAACCCATCACTCACTTAAATAATTGTTGATTTCATGAAATGAAAAAAAATGAAACATTGGTCTAAGCTTTCTTAATTTTCTTCCTCCTAAGATTTGAAGTTTCGAATGAGTAATTTACTGTCTGCAAGTGAAACCTTGAGGCAGTTAACAGTGTTATTTTCACTGATACCTATTCAGTCGATGTATAGCATGATAGAAATTACTGATATAAGTATAAAACTTGGGCACTGTGGTAGAACATAACTCCATTATGAATAAGATTTTATTTTGATTATGAGCAATAGTTTGTGCTCGAAACGTCATTAGTTAATATTACTGTACAACACTGTGTGATTTATCAAAATAAAATCTTATCCACTATGGAGCATGATAGAAACATGAAAGAAAACGTCAGTTGGATAGTTGCAATCATCTTCTAATAAGAGATTTCTTAAATGAAGTATACATACTCACATTCTATATCTTCAATCACTGTTTGTCTAATTGTGAGGTATGTTCTTCATGAAAAACTGTTTAGTATTTTGACATTTCAGGAATTTGGTCAAAGTAACTAGCATAATAAAAAAAGATTCATAACAACATCAACTACTAGCTTGTATTATTCAGTAATATAAGAATTATATCAAATTATTTAGTGACGAAACTGTGCATTCACATAGCTTATAAAATAAAAAAGTTAATAATTCAGGAGACTTCTGGAGAAATGTGTCAAAAACTAGTATATACAGTTAACATAAACAAAATCATGAAATCAATTATCATACTTTTCCATTTTTGCTGAGCTTCACAAAATATCTGAATGTAGATTTGGTTGTACTCAAACTAATGCAACCAAAAGATTGTAACGACAGAAGACAGGGGCCAGGCAACAGATTGTTTATTGAGAATATCAACAGATATTTATAGATTTTCATGTACATTACTATTAGCGTTATTGTTAGCAGAGAAGCAACGTCTTATGATTGGTCTTTTTTCCTGCTGAAGGTTATTCTATCATCTCTTTGTTGCCGTTTCTTAGACAGTCCGGTGGTTTATCTGCTAATCATATCTACCCACGCTAAGTCCGCTGTGATTGGTTGGTGAGTTTCTCAAGGTTAAGCTTTGTTATTGTTTTTTCTCATGACCCCGACTTGGGACGTGAACACTGACGTCAACTGTTGTCTACAATTTTGGCTTGTAGACAACTCTCAGCACAATATGAGTCAGTATTCAGCGTGTATGGAACATGAGAGCAGAGCTTCTAATTTGTCATGGAATACAGTGGACTTTTATTCCAGTGACAATAGAAGGAAAACTGCTCGTTATTATAAGTAATTAATGGTTTTCACTGAATGACAAACGAAAGATTGTTCTTAACTGACGTTGAAAATTTATGGTATTGTGGTGAAAGCTGACTGCTAGCCAATTTGGTAGACAGTAATTTACGTCAATGTTTACGTCCCCAATATTGGTCGTGAGAAAAATAAGAACAAAGACTGATTCAACAACCAACCACAGCAGACTTTGGGTAGGCGGATACAGTTAGCATATAGATGATCTGACATTCAAGAAACAGCCACAAAGAGATGAAAGATTAACTTTCAGTGAGAAACAACCAGTCAGAAGACTGTGTTTTTCTGCTAACAATAATCTATAATAATGTACATGAAAATGTATAAATATGTGTTGATTTCCTTAATAAACGATCTATTGCCTGGCCTCTTTTATTCTGCCATTACAATATGATTGTGACGAAGAGCTTTCCAATACCAATTTTTATTTTATTTTTTTATTATTTTCGATTACAGCTTGATTCGACACTGTATTTTTGGAAGAAGTATGGAATTTCCAGCATAGATATCGGTAGCCCAAATTTTGCAGGCCGACCATAGATATCAGATGTGCGTCGGTAGGGGATCGAACCTCGGACCATGTGCATGGTCAGCGAGAGTCCCAGCCACTGTGCCACCGACGCACCGATATTTGTGGTTATTTCTACAATCTTTGAGAACAACCGATTTTCTCATTGACTTCAGAAAGCTTAACAGAATAGTGTTTCTTCCGATATGTATACCTGAATGGGTATTTTTCGTGAACTGAAAATTTTTAAGTTTAAACAAACAATGACTGATGGTCGTCTCACAAGATATGGTTGTAGTGGATCAGTAACTACTCTTATTAATAACCTATTAGACATTTTCCATCGTGGTTGTAAGTTCTGATTTTCAGAAGAGACACTGTGGCATACTGTAATGCAGCTACATCCAGCTGATGAGTTCAAAAAAGGACAGAATGTAAGGTTAGAACTCCGCTACTAACTAACATTAGTCAAATAACATCGACCAATGCTTCTTTTTTGCAGTAATTCCTTTTAGACCTGTCAGTGAAGGAGTTGAAGATAGCAGATACGTGAAGATTGTTAGCCATGAGAAAAACGAGTGATGAAAACAGTATATGTTGGTATAATGAATGCTGATAGAATAAGTCTGTGACAGGAGATTTATGGAGTTTCAAGTTTCGAATTTCCAGTGGGGCTGATAGTTTTGTTTTTACAGTGCTGACAGGCAGGTTGAAGCTTAACTTTCCCTTTTTTTCGAGCTTACTAGCTGCCAATAATCTAGGCGAAGTTTAGAAGCACGTTGACCGGTGTTTATAGGGTCATATCACTGAGGAAAAGTGGTTGAAATCAATGTCGAATCATCTGACCTTTAAACATTTTATAGTTTATTATACAACTTCCGTCTTCATACTGTTTCTTTGACGCAGATTTATATTTAGGTAAATACATAAGCAATTCTGATTATTAAATACTGATGTTTTATACAACTTACATTGCATGGCTTCGCAGAGAATATTTATTAGGAATAAATGTGTCATCTGAAGTCGGTCCCTTGAGGATATCTCGAAATTATTATTTGAAAAAGAAGAAATCTAGTATATTCGATCAATATATTTTGCATAATCTAATGATAATTCTACTTGTCAAGCATGTCTTAAATAAACATATTGTCTAATGAAAATAAAACTTTCATTTAACTTTCATATTAGTGAAAGAAAGCGTAAATGACTTCATTTCAGAAATAACTGAACTTCAGACAACCCTGAAAAATCTCACAAAACTATGGGCATTCAGTTCTGCTCTAGAGTAAAATGCATCACATTTAGTTCATTTTTACAGAAAAGTTAGTTACCTGTGAACAGAACAATTAAGATTAAATGACTACGTCGCTGATTAGCTTTTCAAGTTTGACCATGGATTGATATCAGTTAGAGAACCATTGAAAACCAGAGAGAATTGGAGGGCTGTTTCATCCTAATTTGGAACTCATCGACAATACGCATCCACTGGGTTTCGAAACCACGACCTTCCATACCTTTCTGCCATTGGGACCTGATTCAATGGTTCTCTAATGGATATTAATCCGTGGTCGAACTCGAAAAACAAATCTAATCTTTACAGATCAGCTCTCGAAAATTTGATGATTAATTTATTTCATGTAGGTCACATTAAATTTCAAAAGATATTCAGAGAATAACTGTTAAGTAATACATTTTATTCACTGTATATTTCAAGGAGAGACTAGTGACTCACACTAGTTTTTACATCGCTCTATAAAGATTTCATACAGTGTACCTAGTTAAAACAAATTTTTATTTCTGAGGAGTAGTAATTAAGGAGATGTCACGTTTCAATGTGACTTTATTGGAAGCTGAAATGAATAAGGGTGGAAAACACCTCACTGGTTGCTTCACTAGATTTCAGTGTAACCCGTGGAGGAGTGATAAGATTATGGGGTTAATTCTAAGACGTTAGATACTTGATGAAATAATGCTAAAATCTGTTTAATTCCCCTTCTATTGTTGGGTCTTTCAAATTCTTATATGATCACAGTGACTATCAGTTTAAAATGTACTCAATTTTTCGTCTGATTTTTCCTTTTTTGTTTTATAAAAATAGGATAGTGATAATGATGGGATTTTGAATGAATGGGATGATGATGACGATAATGACGGTATTCCAGGTGAGTGATATTCAGTCTGACAGCAGAATAATTCTGTCTGTACACAGGAATTACTACTTATAATAATCGCAGATTTTTTATATTTGATTTCCAAATTATCATCATCTCACAACCAACAGTATATTCCGTGTCGCCAAACTATCCAGATATATAGAATGAGAACCCGGGATCAACTGTCCGCGTGGACTTAAATAGCTTAATTAGATTCTGTATACTATGTCATACTATGTTTAGGTGACTAAAATATCCCATACGCCTCACTACTCAGTATCATGTACACGTAACGCTGGCGTTCCAAATCTATTAATCACCAAATAAAGAGATTACCACACGTCATAATAACTACACTTCCTGCCAGTTTTTATATTTTAATTTCACAATTATGTGACTAAACTCGCCATAACATAATACAAAATAATAGGGCTGGATATATCCATTTTGTGTTTTAAAACAAATGAAGACAGCTGAATAGTGACTATCATTCGCTTATAAAAGAGAACCATAATTTCGATGTAGATTTCATCACGTAACTTGAAGGTCGCGGGTTCGATCAATGATCGGGTGTGGATGTGGATTGCTGAAGTGTCCTATACTCGAACGAAACAAACTTCCAGTGGTCCCTCATTATTATTATTATAATAGCTTTATTCTGAGACGATTTTTATACAATGTACAGACTTTACAGAGGAGCTTATTGCATGATATTATCTGTTCGTCCAGGATCTTCAAAAAAGGATTCCACTGACAGTAGATCATGTGACACAGTTCTATCTGACATGAAGTGCAAAACAATCCACCATTATGATATCTCTTCTTTTCTTCTTTCGACAAATACACAACAACATTTTGTTGTCTACCAATAATAAAAAGTTCAGGAGTACATTTTGTTAACGAAGGCCACCTTTCAAGAATAGTCATTTCATGCACTGAGATGAGCTGCCATCGACCATAATGCTTTTTCTCATGTTTAGTAAAAACTTACGAATCAATATGCTGTAAACATTTTCAAAAACTCTCCAGAGTAAACAGAACTATTAGAGGTAATATTTTACTGGATTTAAACAAAATAAATAAGAGGAGCTACATGCAATATATTGATGGAGGTCCTTTGTTAGCCCAAGTTTTAAGCAGGCCGCCTCGTTTTGAATTCTTCCCTAAATGATGTTGGTTATTGACAAAATTTACATTGACACTGCAATTACTCCAATTCCCTACAAAACCCATAATCTAAAAGAATTGTAATTGATCTATGGGAAAGAGAAATACTGCAGAGTAGTGAAATTTATAAAGCTCCCTGGCCATTAAAGACAAAAATTTACAAAATGAGCTATGTGATCTGGTAATTCTACTTTCCTCCATGTCTTTTAATAGTTATTTTCATTCCACATATACATGCTAATCACTGAAAATCTATCTAAACAAATACATGAAAACTGGTGTCAACTGCTGACATAACCCTGCTAGTTTTTTATGATGAAAACAAATACTAAGTAGCTTGTTTTTCTTTTCCTTCTCATTACAAATATTTCCAAAGTTGTTTGTTAGCAATAAATGTTTCAGTTCCCCTTCGACGAATTATATAATCAGTATTATTATTTTAATGCACTGAATAATTCTGTCTGAAAAAGCATTTACGATAGAAGGAAGATCAATACGCGAACCTGCGATGATCCTGTGAAATGTAATAGAATACGCACGTTAATAACTTTTTCATCCCAAGTGGAATATAAGGCTTCAGGATTTTGAATTCTTAACAGTGGCGGTGCCATTTTCAACCAATCCCGTTGCTAGCCTCATACCTAACCTTTCCTTTTTTCCGGGCTTACTGCCGGCTGGTAAACTAAGTGAGTTAGTCGGGAATTGGATCACCACTTCCCACGAGATTGGCGAGCATTCTACGACTAGAATGACGAAAAACATGAAGACAAATAACTATTTGTAGTAAGCATAGTAAAAGCAGTATCAACACTAGCAGCAGTATAAAAAATGTGAGACCGAAAATGACTTCATGCGTCACATTTTGTTAATAATTTTTATCCTGAAACCAAAATGACCACTGTTTTCACAGATTTAGTAAACACACTTGCATATCTGTATGTTTTGGAGAATGATTTTAGGTACTTTAGGGGGATCAATTTTCTATAGTTGATTTGTAAGGATTAATTCTGTTTTCACGAGTTGATCATGGATGTATATCAGTTCGATAACCATTGAAAACCAGCATGGAGTGCTGGACAGCTGTTTCATCCTAGTTTGCGATCATCGACAGTGCACACCCACTGGGTTTCCAACCCAACACCTTCCGGTTACAAGGCGAACATTTCTAAGCGATTATATCACATACACACCAACGATAACAAGCACCAACCACTATCAAGGGGAGTAGGAAGTCACTTTTTCACCTATCCAGGCAGCACTGCTTAAACTACAGATGGCACAGATGTAGATGTAGAAGGCAGAATTGGAAAGGCAAGAAAGACTTTCATTAATTGAAAATCAATGTGGAAACCTGCTGCACTGCGTATGGGGAACAAGATTCGGATTCTGAACACTAATGCCAAATCATTGCTTCTATATGATTTTAAGACTTAATATATCAACAAAAGCATTTCCAAAAGGTTTTAAACTTCTACTGACTGTTACCTTTGTTCCTTACTGAAGATTAGATGGCTGGAAAGGATTGGCTACAAGAAACTCCGGCAACAGAACAATCACGAACCAACTGGCCATCAAACATTTGGCTGGAAATGAAGATGGATCGTGCATTCACTGAGTGACATAACACTCCAGAGGGGTTCTTGAGTGGGAACCGAATGAGATACTGCGAGTGGAATGAAAGAGATAGTGCAAGAAGCAGGTGAGAGCTTATGGGCAGCGGTGAACCTAGCTAAAGAGGGCTTCAGAGAATGCAATGAAATTGAAATGTACTTTTCAAGCCATATGTTTCCCTGGGGACCCACAAGAGGACAATATTAATGTTTCGTGTTCCATATCAGGTGTTTTTACATCAACTGGTACAAAATTTGGTGGCTGATATTGTGCTTTCTGAATTGTCTACCTCCAAACATGACTAATCATGACGTAAAATCTTCTCATCGATGAAAAGAGGGATTAGGATATTAGGAAAATTACGAGTTTTCTCATAGTTGAAAATAAATCTGTCTGAGAAGTGCAAAGTTGTACAGAACCTTTTCCAGTTGTCAAGTGGCTAAAATTATCCAAAAAATGTTTCATCTTCTTTAGATATTCCTCAACAACTACAGATGAAAATCTACATAAAAGTTGGTATCACCAAGCTATGGTGCACAGAATTCGTTATTTAGTCTTGGTAAACGATATTTAGGTTGAACGTTTGATTTGTTAGTTGTGTACTGAATGTATGAATCGACGACCAAAAGTCTCATACACTCCAACATATTTTGTGTATGAGCACACCTCACACAATCCAAATTAAATTAAAGAAGCATGATACTGTAAGATGAAGTATGTATTAAATAATTTTTGAGAATTTCAGTTCTTTTATTTCTTAACATTTAATCTTTTTCAGATGTGGATGATGAAGATTCAAATGGTGATGGGATAATTGATTGTCAACCACGTGACAGTGATGGTGACGGTATTCCAGATCACTTGGATGAAGATGATGATAACGATGGTATACCAGATCAAAGAGATCCTGATTCAATGTCATTTTTACTATACAAGCATAAACGTTTCCTTGAAGCTGTTCCAGGTAATAAGGAGAAAAAAAAAGTATCAAAACACAAATTTGTAAATTATTATTTCTGTAGTTCTGACAACAAACGATGAACTATGTATAGTAGTATCCTCTAGTGGTTTAGTATCCGTGTATGCTTAACAAGTAGAAGCAACTGTGCAGGTGTTTTTGGAGTCTCCATACTCAATATATCATTCAGGTACATCGGTTGATCAGTTGCCCTTAGGTATACTAAGTCCTACTTTATTATTTGACTGCTATGATTGTTATAAACAAACATTTTACATCATAAGCTGGAAAATCTTTCCAGACGAGAAATCTCTTGATATGTGATAAATCTTCAGAATATTTGTGCTATTAATATGTAAATATCTATTCTCACTAGCAAACGTTTAATTTTTTCAAGTACTGGTTTGTAGGGATTTTGTTCGATTGGTTAGAGGATTTCATCATGAGGTGATATAGGTTAGAGAACCAGTAGAAAATCTGCAGAGAGTACTGGAAAGCTGTTTCGTCCTAGTTTGGCACTCTTTACAGTACGCACCCAACCGGGTGCGAACCCAGGATGTTTTGGTTAATTTTAAGGCTTTAGATTCCTAGTGGAAAATAGGGCTTCAACCTAGATCTCTGAAGTTTCAGTAGCAATATTTTCACGGGATGGGGTTGCCATCCTCAAGTCCAACCTCCCCTCTTAACTAGGCTTACTACTGGCTAGACGTGGTGAAGGAGTGCGTCAACTGGGGATCGAACCCTGGACTACTTGTGTGGTCGACCAATTTTCTACCACTGAACCACCAACGCGTAAATGGCAAACATACATGAAATTAGTCACGATTTTGAGAAATTTCCATCTTTAAGCGGCTATTTATTTCCGCAAGATAATGAGCCAACTGAGTTTATGACTGAAATCATATTTGAAGTGCCGAGAATCCCCTTTTATCTCTCAACAAGATAATGCCAGCACTTTTAAGGAACGATCTAACAAAGAAAACTATCAAGTATTTCAAATAAGCACTTACCTATACATATGGTCAAAAGTTTACTTTAAACTACGTATAAGGGTATAGCCTAAAAACATCTAAAATTTAACTGCTCCTGTGGAGCCAGTTACATAAGCCACGCAATTAGGCGTGCTTCTCGTCGAATTTCCGAACATCACCCTGCGCGGTTAAGCAAAGGCCAAACAAAATCTTTTCGTAGCGCTATTCTGGCTCATCTTGTGGATACAGAACATAAGATTGATGTTAACCAGGCTTTTAGAGTTATTTACCGGATACCAACAAATCTCAACTCCGCTTTAAGAGTTCGATTACTAAATATTGCTGAGGCTGTTGGGATCCACATTAAAAAGCCTAACTTGTGCGTCCAAAAGAAGTTAGTCCAGACACTGTCCTTACCTTGGCCATCTAGGTGTGAATGATCCTCAATTTTTTGGAAATTTCCTCATTTTAGTTGATATTCCATTCGCTATTATATCTTTATTACTATTATAATTTAAGTATTTTTAGTGAACTGTAATTGCATTGATCATACTTTACACATCGATATTATTTAAAAAACACCAATATTGGTATTAACTACCAATCTTGAATATTTTGTGTATATAAACATATATATAACTGTAGAGCCAGAAGAGGAATTTATCGAAAAGAATATTCTTTGCTCGATTATTTTGTGTTTTATAGATGTCTGAATGAATATTTTTGCTATATTGAAATCTACGAATTAATAACAACTGGTTAGAGTTTATTATCGTGTGAACAGAAAAATAACAGAATTACAAAGTAGCACTTTTTCGAGTGTCTGTTAAATTTAATTATTAGTAAATAAATCAATAACATGTAGTTTATCCGTAGTTCATTACGATCAGACTTTTGTCAAAACAGAAATAACAAGTTCTACATCGACCCATTGAAGAAATATTTCAGTGAACAGATTTGATCTCAACAATATCACCTTAAAAGATTATAGAATTAAATTGGTGCCTAAATGTGACTTTCATCATGGGAATAATTACAAAATGGAAGACATAATTAGCATGCAACCGTGTGAATGAATAAAGGAATGGAAAAGGTACCAAATAAAACCACTAAATGAAGACTGTGACAAAGGATGTCTGCAAGTAGTAAAATAACTGAAATGAAAACGTGAAACTGCAATCTGACTTTTGGATTTACTACAAACAGGATAATTGTAATTACAAAAACCGAAGTATTCCCCTTTAAATGAAGGAGACCAATCGATGTGTTCTTCTGTATAGCTTATGAAAACTTCCGTAAGTTACGTATATTTAAAATTTACATTCCAAGAATATCAAACCCACACATTGTAATGTGATAGAATCAGTGGTACTATTCAACAGTAATGACATACCAAAAATACAAAACTACTTCAACAGTTCCATCTGGCAACTATGCAGTCCAAACGTTTATCAGATACAAATGAGCCACTGTATAACAAAATTAAATGACAAGACACAGTTGTTAATTCCATAAAAACCAATAAAAAGATTCTCGATAGAGTGGAATCAAAACCGTATCTGCAAGGATGAGACAGAAAGAAATCACGTTTACAACAAACAGTTCATGGTCAGGCAGTTACTCCACGGCATAACCTTGAATCTATCCGAAAAAAAATGCAGTTGTAAAACAACACTTTATTACCAACACTACTAGACAACCAGAAATTATTAACTCCTAGAGGAACATAGGGCTTCAGATGCTTGTCTCAATTGCGTTCGGTTCTCTGCCAACCTTTTCACCTGGTTCCACGTCTGCCCACATGCTTTCATTTCCTCTTCACATCACCTCCTCCATGTAATCGTCACACTGACGACCAACTCGCTGCTTCCCGTTCGGGTTCTAATTGAGTGATGGCCTGACGTGTGATGTCACTTGATTGTTTTCTCAGAGTAAGGCCAATCCACCTCCATTTATTCCTGGATATTTGTTGCACATTCTGTTCCTGGTCGGTCCGCTCATCGCCAGAGATCCCTGTTGCTGATCTTTTCTGACCGGCCATCTGATCTTGAGTAATGAGAGAAGGCGGCTATTGATGAAGGTCTACAGTTTGTTTGAAGTACATTAAAACAAGGGATCAATCAGAAAACGAAGACAAATACGGATTGTATCGACAGGAGATGTACAATTAATAGAACGGTGATAAAGCAGGTCAGGAGTAAAGAGTAATAATTACAAAATCAGTCAAAATATTCAAATCGGTATTAATATTGTAAATATAGTGTTCATGAAAGGATTTTCAGACTAATTATTCTGCTATAATAATATCAGTAAATTATTTTAATAGAAACAAAAAATATATATTCTATATTTCTAAGAATTTAAAATTACCCCTCCCCAAAAAACTATATGTCCTTATGTTTGCTATATTTTGTCTACTTATAAATTAACCTACACAACTTTTTAGATAACCGTCTGAACAAAATTCGAATTCATATGCCAGTATATGTCGAAAAATTCCCATATGGATTTACTGACTGTGAAGCATCTAGCGACGTACAATACATGAATGGTGATCACAGATTCTTTATCACAAGATGTTTCGAAGCACTTTAAAAAAAGTTTTTTAGCACCTCACTTCCAGTCGTTTAATTCTGTTTTGTCTGTCTGTCTACAGTTGTTTTTATGCATGAGCAAAACGTAGATTTGCGTGTACAATTACTGTGTTACATTTGTGGAATTGATGTTATCTTGTTCTAAATTTGAAATATTTTATGTAAAAATGTTTTGCTACTTAATAGGAAGACACTGGAAATTTGTGCTAAGCTAGAAAACGTTTGAATACTAAGAAGCAATGGATTTGAATTCTTCTGAGGTGTAGGTTTTCTTGGTAAAGTGTTCACCGGAAAAACTTCCAACCTCTGTTACCAAAGTTTACAATCGTAGTTGGATTTCTTAAATTTATGTCACGATTTTTTTACAATCTGTAAGTGAAATATGCTGTGCATTCTTTTCATGACATAATTTTTAGGAGAAGATGCTGTGATGGAACGTAAGTTAACTGACATAGTGAAAATAAGAAGACATTAGTAGCTTATATGAAGAACTTCAAGTTTCTTTAATTCACTAGATTATTACTGTTAGATTTTCTCTAGATTTTCAGTGGAATTTAACCTGTTCTACTAAAAGAGTGTTTTGTTTTATACAATCAACATATTTCCACCTTAAAAAGTGTGAAATATTCGCATATCATGAATTAAAAGTCAATTTCAATGAAGAATATTCTTTTCAATAATTTCTCTTCGGGTTCTTACAGTTATAACATGTAATGTTTGTTGTCGTTACAATAATGGTCAGTTATGCGGCGGATATATTTCTTTTTACGTAGAATAATAGATTAGTTATGGGTAGTAGTATTTTTGTAGTATAGGATAGTATTTTTGTGACAAACGTCGTGCTACGCTGAAATCTATTACAAAATATTGAAAAACGGGAGACAATGGTGGTGATTGGTCATAATAGATTTTTAGAAAAGCTAGAGACCAAAGCTCAGTATACACATTTCCTTAGCTTCGTACGGATGAAATACAAACGTAATCTGATCAGGTGCTTAGCATTTACAGTGAGGTCCATTTGTTCCGAAGAACTTCAGGTCATCCGAGATATTCTAAGCGAGAACAGATATCCAGAGAAGTTCATTAAAGCCAACATAGGTTACAATAGTCGTAAGCGTGAACTGCCAACGGTGGAGATAAAGCCTCTATTTTTACTTCTACAACTCAAGGGAGGTACTCCTGTGGAGATTCTGTCGCAACGTTTAACCAGGGCGATAAATGAAACTTTGTACTCTGCACGTCTGTGTCTATCCTTCAGTAGCCGTCCAATGTTCACCCAGCAACTCAAAGATGTCTTTCCTAACCTTAGCTCTTCTTCATGCATATACCATTTCAACTGTTCCTGTGGTTCAAGTTATATAGGGCCCACGATTAGGCAGGTTCGTCTACGGGTTCGAGAACATTTACTAGCTTGGTTCAGCAGGGGGTAAAATTAAGCGCATGAAAAGCTCGATCCTCTCACACTTGGTCAATACTGGACATCGTATCGATATCAACACAGCTTTCAGGGTTATATACCGAATTCCGAAGTCGTTATCACGTACAGTTCGCTTACGTCTCCTACACATAGATGAAACTGTTGCAATACGATCGACTAAACCAAACTTTGTATCCAAAATGAACACGTCCAGACGCTGTTCCTACTGTGGCCAAACTTGGATTGATGATACTTCTTCTCACCAAGAGTGCTCCTTCCCCTTAACCCACTTGGCTTTTTTCCCTTTGCTTATTATTACAATTATTATTATTCGTCGTAATTTATACCCTTCATTCTAATTTTTCATTTATACTATCCGGACTTACTATTACTAATATTAGCCCTTTCCTCAATAAATGCCTCCACCTGTTTCATTTCAAATATTCCTTATTTCATTATGAACCTCTCATTGCAGTCTTACCATCTCCGTTTTAATGTGCACTACTTTGTACTAGCCACTCACTCACCTGACACCTTTTATAACCTTGAACTGACTTGTGAATTTTTCCTACCCCACATTCTACGAACCTACTGTGTGACTAATCACCACCACTGTCTCTCATTTCACAATATTTTGTAATCGATTTCGGCCTAGCACGACGTTTGTCACAAAAATACGACTATTTATTTTGACACCCCATAACTAATCTGTTATTCTACGTAAAAAGAAATATATCCACCGCATAACTGGCCATTATTGTAACGCCAACAAATATTACATTTGATAACTGTAAGAACCTGAAAAGAATATTCTTCGGTCAGATTTACATTTTTAACTGATTTTCAGACGAAATTACATCAACAAATCGGATACAGTTAGGGAATTGTTTTCTGAATGCTGAACCTACAGATTCTAACTGTGTGAGTAGCACGTGTTTCTCCGCGTTAATGAAGTTTACCAGTCGAGAGAATAAATAAGGAATCTTTTTGTCCCTCATACACTGATCTTTGTAGCAATTAAATTATTCCTTTATTCATTCCAAGGTAGATGAAAGAGTTTAAGGATCTCACAGAAACTTTCACTAAATAATAACGTTTATTTAATTAATTGTAAGAGTATGACACTTTAGATTTGTCTAAACACTGTTTAACACAAACCAAGAAGTTAAGGATACCTACCCGGTTCCAGTTTGATATTTTCTCCGTAGTAATGACTCAAAATACAACCCGTTATCAATATGATCAAATTTTTTGGCGAGGCTTTATACACACTCTATGATCACTAACTCACCAAATGATGTGATCACCCAAATGAAGACATAACTTGGTGTTCACAAACACTTCGTTGCACAGATCAATGTTCTTTGAAACAGTTATCCGGAATTTGGAGTTGAAATGATAGTTTTTTCCTACTGTGTGAATGTAAAACATTACAGAAAACTTTCTTTTAGCATGACTTTGTATTCTGCATGAAGTTTATCGTTGCTAAGATATGAAAAACTTACTGTAGATTTTCGTGTGTATAGTTTTCTTTGGTTTATTGTAACAGCTGATCGTATCTGACCATACTTAAAAAGTGTAATCTCCACCATCAAGTAAATATAGTTTCTAGATAGGTTGTAAATAACAAGCCTGAAGGGTAGTGAATTATCAAGAAGACATAAGAATTTTTCCAAGAAGGCTTTTAAAACGACTATATATTAAGAACTACTGAAAGTGGTAAGTATTTCAGCTCACTCAATGAGTCCTCTTGTAGTTTCACGAAACAGACTGTCATGAAAGGCTTATACCAGCCGAAAGTGTTGGGTGATCTGAACATTGAAACTTTATTTCATTAAACCATTCATCTTCAGTTATTCTGGAATGGTTTAACCTAGAAAAATGAATATTTTAAGCTTCTATAGCTGATTACTTCAGTGAACTTGTAACGCGTAAAATCAAATAAAGTATGTAAGACCGATCGTATCAATTAGTGATAAAGACAGTTTGGTCCTTAACGAAAACTATGGTAGAATTCCGTAGTGTCAGAGTTTTTGCCAGAAGACATTTCAGCATTGATCAAAACATCGTCTTCACTGACCTTCACGGGAAAATAAAACTGATATATATTCTTTGTGATCACTTGTATCAATAATTATTAGTCAGTTGGATAATGTATTAGTATTACTTTTAATACCTTCTGTAGATTTTTTTGTAATTAGGAATGCGGTTTATCCGACCGTTGTCCTTATTTTTTATCGTGCCTTTTCTTCTTTTTGGTTTTCGAAACTGCCAATTTTATCATCAATTTGACTGTTATTACTTGCGCTAAGAGTGAGTCGATTTCGTCTGTTTCAACTTTGAAGATACTCTTATAAAGTGACATAAGTTCCTTTGGTGGTGAAAATCCAAGTTGGAAGAATGTCAAATTCACACATTTTCTTCCGTCAACTGCTGTTATTGATTTAAGTATGAATAGACTCACCAGAAGTGTAGTTGTTACAACTCAAATATTATTCGGTGACATATGAAGACTACCTATACTTTACATTATATTCAGGAAAATATTTCCAAGAGATATCCAATTTTTCTGGGGAATAAACCTTCACTCTATTTCTAACTATTGATAGGATTGGAATTTTACTCACTGTTCGATTAACAATCTTATATTTAGCATGAATAATGACTGAATCAGTGATTCATTTTTGATACAATCAACTTAAAAGGATTTAAATGTCAAAATTAAAAAAGCAGGTTATTGTTACAGAATTCCGACTAGAACGTTAATTTGGAGATATACTAAATACCTAAATAAACAAAATGGAGGGTGAATTAGCTGAATATGCTATTCTGAACTTCTCATAAATAAAAATCTTCATAACAAGGAAAGGCGATAGAATTAGGAAAAGGATCATTGTAGTGAATAGCATAGCTAAAAGTCACCTTCTAAACTAGATTTTTTTTTTGGGGAAAGTTACTTAGGTTGTATATTCATAAGCAGCCTTTAGTCCATTTAAGTTGTGATAAATCAACTATATTATGTTGGCTTAACTGCTCTAAGGTAACTAATAAGTTAAACTATAATTCTGAGAAATATTTATCAATGATTAAGGTTCATGATACACTGACAACAGTAATTAGAAATGAATTCATCAATTCTTATTCCCGGTTGATGCAGATATTCAGTACTACTATTCTAAAGTCCTTTACGATAAAATTCAGCAATGTCAAGAGCCAGTCTACAGGAAACTCTTTGGCTAGGTTACCTGCTTGTTGACACTTATTAGCAATGCACATTAGCAACATTGATGAAGTCAGTGTTTACTCTGAGAAATGAAAATGAATCATTTAGGCTAAAAGTGGTTCTGTGTAGAGCCACTTGACAAATGTAAGCTGTCAACTGGATGGTCAACTGGTTTATAACTTTCTGTCGATTGAATACAGTCTTGAATAGTCTACAGGACCGTATCACTTAACTTCTGATCATAAACGAGGTCGGTTGATTTTAATTAACCCTAAGGACTTATCAATTGTATCACGTGACATATGGACCCCGACTTTGTCTAAAGCATAATTAGTTTTTGCTTGTTTGTTGGTTTGTTTGTATTAGGTTTCACGTGTTATTCTATGTGTCTGTTGTTTGTGAGATTAGATTTAATGTGCATAGTTTTTTCTTGTGTTAACCTCAATGTAGCCTATTCTAGAAATTAAACCTCTTATTGATGAAACAAGTTTTTTTAATTCTAGTGCGTTTTCTTCTTTTCTCATTTCAGCTCATATTGCCAGAAATGAAGCGAACTTGTTGAATGTTGATCTAGGTGATCCAAATGATAAAGATTGTGATGGAATTCCTGATCATATTGACAATGATTTAGATAATGATGGAAAAATTGATAGAACACAAGATTCAGATATGGATGGTTTATTGAATCATGTAGATGACGATGATGACAATGATGGTAAAGTTAACAAAAAAAATTTTTATCGCTAGTTTCTGAGATTGGCTTAAATTTAAGTCAATTAATATTTGGATTAGTGAACATTTTACTGGTTAACAAGTTCACCTAGAAATTTGCATATTCAATATTAATACTCTGTTACAGTATAGATAGATAGTAAATGTCTCCTTGCCTTCAAGATGTACACTTCAAAGGATATAAATGAGCTAAACACTTTTTTCAGGCTTTCATCATGAGCTGACATTAGTTAGAGAACCATTGGAAAACCTGGGAGTACTGGACAGCTGTTTCGTCCTAGTTTGGGACTCTTCACCAGTAGGCACCCGCCGGGATTCGAACCCAGGACCTTCCGGTTACAAGGCGAGCTCGTATACCATTAAGCCACTCGGACCCGATCCAATGGTCCTTGAATTCTAGCTTCTGCCAATTCACGATATAGCGCGACCGCTAGCCAATGTCTTCGGCGAGTATTTGTCCTCACACCCAAACTGCTTCACCCTACTGGTCACGACTTCCCACTGGAACCCAGGTAACTACCTACCTGATTAGGGCCAGTCGCCAGTGAGCACCTCCAGTGAGCTCGCCTTGTAACCGGAACGTCCTGGGTTCGAATCCCGGCGGGTGCGTACTGCCGAAGAGTCCCAAACTAGGACGAAACAGCTGTCCAGTACTCCCAGGTTTTCCAATGGTTCTCTAACTAATGTCAGCTCATGACGAAATCCTGAAACCAATCAAATCCCTACAAACCAACACTTAAACACTTTTTTAATGGATATTTTGATAGTTCAAGAATTAACTGACAGCCGAATGACAAATTTGCCAAAATTTCATAATAGGCATATGTAGTTAGTGTCTGGCTTCAAATTGTAACGGTTGAAGATAAGAGATTTGATGAAGGAATGTTTATTTGGAATTAGACATCTCTATACAACGAAATTATGTACACCTCGTCTCCAAATCGCCATTTGCACAGAGCTTCCGTGCTGTGCCTGTTACTTCTACCCTTCCTATTGTGTTTCTTTGTCTTCTTTTCATGTCTCCCATGTTTCTCTACAACGCGGAATCATTCACTGCCTTTGAAGTCAAATCTATCACTTCACTATTGGATACTTTTATGTCGATGAACGTCTCTTTATATACTAATGATAAATCTTATCAGTAGCATACGCCATAAAATCACTGAAAAATAAAACAGTACTGAATATACGTTTCATCCTGGTCTGTGAGTTTTTAATAGTATGCACCTATGACCCCAAATGAAAGTTAGTTGTTTCCCAAAACTGTGTTGAACCAAATGGATTCCTGTATTGGAAGATAAATGACCAAATGAAGCAATTCAAACCTCCCTGAAAATTAAGGTTTGATGATATTAGATGGTTGGAGGCAATCGGTTGGAAGCCTTGGACTTAGTTCCATTATGGATAAGATTTTATTTTGATCAATCAAGTGATATGATTATGAGCAACAGTTTGTGCTCGAAACGTCATCAGTTAATATAACTCTACAACACTATGTGATTTATCAAAATAAAATCTTATCCCTAATGGAGTTATACCACAGTGCCCAAATTTTATACTTAGGTTTCGTGCTAGTTGGCAGTCACTAGTCGGCAAGGCGTATCTGCAACCTTGAAGGAACTCATGTCCCTTCTGAGATTCGAACCCACGTCAGCCAATGCTGCAATCAGAGACGTTACCACTGAGCTATTCGGGCTCACGATCAACCTCCTGTAGGAGTGTAGTGGATATTTTGATTTGACACTAGTAACTATGTGTGATGTAAAAATTAAGGTGTTAAATAGTGATAAACTCATTACAAAGAAATATGTGAATACATATAGAATCCTTATTGACATCTTTCATAAGAACAGTGTTGAAATAACTCAAGCTTTTTACACGAGTAAGCGTGAAAATCTCACAACTCCTTTCATCAATGTATAGCATATAATCACAGTTTAACTTGCTCACCAAATCACTATAAATAGTAGTCTTTCACTTATTTGTCTTAAGAACTGTAGCAATATCTTCACAGATAGAAATTCCTTTCTTGAAATAGGTGAAACCATTTTTCTTCTAAGAAGCTTCGGTCTGTCAGGAATCACTGGCGGAAACAAGATTTTCTGTGAAGCTATTACTAATTTAACTATCTATTCTTAATTTCAGGTTGAACCGCAGATTGACATCACTTAGAGAACCATTGGAAACCAAGATGCACTGGGCAGATTTTTCGTTCTAGTTTGAGACTCATCGGCTGTACGCATCCACTGGATGGTGGCTCTAAAATCACGAATTGTTAAAAGTTAGAATTTATGAGCCATTGAATCGGGTCCCAGTGGCTAAATAGTGTACGAGCTCGCCTTGTAACTGGAAGGTTTTGGGTTCGAAACCCAGTAGGCGCGAACCGTCTATGAGCCACAAACTAAGATGAAACTGATATCAATCCGTGTTCTAACCTGAAACAGGTGACTCTAAAGAATAGCGGCCCAAACCGAAACGACCTTTGAACCAAAAAGTGACCTTGAACAAGGAATCAGCTGACTGTATCATTTTCGGAAGTAATCATGGATGTTTTCGATTACTGTTTGGATAACGGACTCATAGCTTTGTCGAAAATTTGCCAGTGCGGAGGAGGTATGCATATACAAATATAAGCAGAGGCCATTGATGGCTTTGTATACAGATGTATTGAGTGACGAAGGAGGAAATCGGTTCGAGATGGTTTGTCGTTGTTTTTTAGTTTACAGATCCCTTAGGAACTTTTCTCTCAAGGTCTAAACTACCTTTGGCGAAAATTTTAATGATCTGTAACTTCTGGGTCCTGAAAAGAGCAGTCACAGCTACAGCTTATGAAACAGAAAATTCAGAGGTGTCAGCAGTGCAATGGTACAACTACTGCAGAGATGTTTCCTCCTGGAAAATGAACACCCTGACTCAAGTTCTCGGGGGAGTTGGCAGCATAGTCCATATTCATGAGACTGTACTTATAAAAAGGAAATACAACCGCGGGAGATTACAAGCAAACCAGCAGTGCATACTGGGTATCTACGACACGACACTGCGCAAAGGGTATATGGAAGCGATTCCCAATCGCAGTGCAGCAGTATTAGTGCCTATTAATAAGCGTTTGGTGTTGCCGGGGACGACCATTCATACGGATGAATGGAGCGGATACCGTCAATTATCGAATCATGGGTACATTCATCATGTTGTTAATCATACGGACGGTTTCCGCAATCCTTTGGATGGAACCCACACCAGTTCCAGTGAAAGATTTTGGAGTCGTCTAGAAAGACGTATAAGAGCGGTTAATGGATCGAGAAATCCCATGATTCACAGTTACCTGGATGAATTTATGTACCGAAACTGGTTTCATATGACTGTGAAGACTCCCATGAGAAACTGGGAGGGCGAAGTTTAAGAATAGGGTCCCAAAACCTTCAACGCTCAAATGACCTTGAACGCATGCTAGTCATTGGCTAACGGTTCCTGTCATTATCATAGCTGAAATATCAACCCTATTCATCAAATAAGGAGCAAGTTTCACCCAGATAACACTTTTATTACTGTTTGGACAATGTGTTAACATCTCGTTGGGGTTAGGATAGGGGTTAAGGCGAGTATTGTGGTTAGGGTTAGGTTTAGGGTTTAGGGTTAGGGTTAGGTTAGGGTTAGGGTTAGGGTTAGGGTTAGGGTTAGGGTTAGGGTTAGGGTTAGGGTTAGGTTAGGGTTAGGGTTAGGGTTAGGGTTAGGGTTAGGGTTACGGTTAGGGTTAGGGTAGCGATTAGGAATAGATTTTTCGTTTATTTCAAGTTCTTTTGTTATCCTTATTTCCCTTGTATGTAGTCGCCAACGCTCTTACTGGAACCATAGTAACTAAAGCGAGGGCTTAGGAGAGGACTACACAGCAATAGAAGAGAGATGAACCATTCTCAAAACAACACACCTTCAGTCTCTTTGGTGAATACATCTACAGAAACTAGTCCAAATTAGCAACTGTTACTCTTCATCGCAACTGGAAAGTATTTTTAAGTCATATCAGAGAAATATAATCCGTTTAATCTTTTTTTCATGCATTTTTGTGTAAATATACGTAAAATTTTTTGCAAAAATCGTCCTATTTTCTGATTGGTCGACTCAAGGTCATTGTGCGTTCGCATCGCTTGGGACCCTATTCTTAAACTTCGCCACTGGGAGGTTTTTTTGCAACATATACGCGAACGCCATTCTTTGTAACTGTTTATTATGATTGCATTACTTCTATATAAATCGTTTTTTACAATTATGCGCCTTTCTTTTTGAGCCTTTTCATTGGCCGAAGTTGTCCCTGTCAAGGTCATTTTTGCGTTAAAAGGTCGTTTCGGTTTGGGTCGCTATTCTTTAGAGTCACCCTGAAACAAATGGAATCCGTGCAATCTAATTCTTGGAAATGTCTATTCTTAGTTGTATTGATCGAAATCTATAGAACATGTGTACATTGTGCTTATTAAGCTCAACAATTCGATACTGTAGCTTTTCGTGGCACAGTTTAATATAAGTCAGTCTGCAGAACACTTATTTCATCCAAACAGATACGCGACTTTAGGCTATGCAGGTATTTTCAGTTTTCTTTACATCATAACACAACTGACTACTGTTACCTTTGAGAATAAGTCTTCATAGGTAAGTCGGCTTACACAACAACTAATGACAGTATTTAATGCTTCTGGAAATCCATAAGCAAGTTGATCACTAATGTACTCGTAATCAATCTTAAAGAGAATGACTTGTGAACTTTAGGACATTTTAATCAAACGTCCAGTCGACTAGGATACATTTAGTCATAGCTACCTAAGGATAAGGTATTCTTTTGTACTATGTGACCAAAATTTAAGCCTCTATTATGCCTATCAAAAAAAAGTGTAGAAATTCTTTCCTTCTGAAATATTTTTAAGTGGGAATCTGTTTTCTACTCCATGGTATACACAATCAGAGGATGAAAAAGCATCAAGTTCGTATAAATCCATAAATAACTGTAGATGAACTCATTTAATATCTTCATTCGTTTTCTTCATTTCCCTATCTTAGGTATTCCGGATCCCTTAGATCCGGATGCAAACGGTGACGGTATACCAGATTGTCGACGTGATGGAGGTCTACACTATAAACTGGTGAGATCACCGTCTGGTCTAATAAAGAAAGTGTTAAGAATTCGTGAACCAACTCAAGAAGAACAGCACATGGCTTACATGGTGAATGAAGCTAAACGTAAATTGATACGTATTCGTGCTAAACTAGGTGAACCGGTGCCAAAGAATACAATTCAAGCTGTACCTTCTGTTACCTTCAGTAATGCATATGGGGATAATCCTGACAGTCCTAAAGATAACAATGATGGAAAAAAAATAAAGGCTAAGTCTACCAATACAAAAACTGTTCCGACAAATCCAACCATAAAAAATGATCATTCACACACACCTTCAAGTGGAACACCAGCATCCAAACACTCAACAAATAATAAACCTGCAACTGGTGGCATTGGAGGTGGGAAAAAATCACCAACACAAGGAGGAAAAAGTAATCCATCCACTTTGAAACAATCAACACCAACAGCTTCAGCAGGTGAACATGGTGTAAAATCAGCTAATAAACGACAAAATCGTAAATTGGCAAATTATGTACCAACTGAAACCGTTGATTCACTATATGCATTGAATAAAGATATTTTATTTGACATTCCAAGTATTGATGATATTAGTGATGGTAGAATAGAAGAAGATGATGATGGTGGTATGAGTGTTAACTTGGCTGAACCTAATCTTAAAACATCAATATTTGGGAGTTTTTTACTACCCGGAGCAGCAGCTGATGAATCAACCGGACAACGTAGAACAAAAGCGATAAAAATGAAACAAAATGAAGGTGTACAAACGATAACACCTGATAAACTAAAAGTTAAAAAGAAAAAGGTTAGAATAATATTGAGGTTAATGTTTTGGGAGTTTTACTTTAAAGCAGGTTGTACATTATAACAACAACAAATGAATTAAGCATCTAGAAGACAAATTTCGCGAGATGATATCGTTGTAATCTCTTTACAACCGCTTTACAACTAACATGTTTCACAATAACAAAATAGGATAAAAGGCATGACACCTACACAGTTGTATAAAACAAAAGTACACACTAATGATCAATCATATTTAAATAGGTCAAGTAGTCAGTTCATGGCAGATGAAGGTTGAAGTCTATTGTTTTTTTGTACACATAGTTTAGGATGTATGTTATCAATCCCCAAAAGTACTTCCATCACCTTCAACAACCTTGAATTAGAGTTATGTGAAATAATTTTGAAACAGTCATTAATATTGATTTTGTGGCCTGACATTTGGAATGGATGAAGATGATGGATTTCTATTCAGACTAACTGCATTGGGATTTTCTATGTTTTAATAATCATTTTGGAACATTCTGTTGGTTCTACCTATACAGATGTCACCGCAACTGCAGGTGAACTTGTAGACACAGTTTGAAGTAGAGTCCACAGAATATCGTCCTTTAATCGTAGGTACAAGGATCGAAAATGCTTGGCAGTCGATAGTAATGAATGTTTCACATATATATATATATATATATATATATATATAATACTGTTCGCTTAGACTGATAATAAGTCTGAGGTCAAATTTTCGTCACAGTTCATGAAATTCTGTTTATTTTGTTTTGATGTCTATTCATGCCTGGAGAAGGACTAGAAAGACAAGATGACAGAGTTGACAACCTGATTACTCATTTCAGGCAAAAGTTCATTTGATTGAGAAGATTTCATCATGAGCTGACATCAGTTAGAGAACCACTAGAAAACGCGGAAGTACTCGTCAGCTATTTCGTCCGAGTTCGGGACTCTTCATCAGTACCCACTCACCATGGTTCTAACCCTGGACGAAACAGTCCACTCCAGTACTCCCATGTTTTCCAACGGTTCTCTAACTGCTGTCAGCTCATGATGAAGTCCTGTAACCAATCAAATCAAGTCCCTAAAAACCAGCACCTGCATTATGAGGATGATAAGTCATAATACAACTTACACCGAGGTAAACATGATACGATGAAGATGTGTGTGTGAAATAATGGCAGAACAGTGAAGGACAGATTAAGAAACAAGACTGCTATGTAATAAGTAAAATAGATAGTCGAAAGTGGTAGAAAAGGAAACAGAGGTCAAAGATACATTCAGAGGACAGAACAAAAGGTAGAAAATGGAAACAAAAAATGACCGAGGGTATGCAAGGTGAACTGGAAAATCTATCTACACTCATAAATTACGCTTCAATCGTGGATGTTTTCTGCTTATCGTAGCAATCTACCACTACTCTGCCTATTTACCATCTGGAAAGTTCTGATGGAATCGATGATGTGGCCAGTATCAAGGATATATCTACTAATAACATTTCTGAATGGCTTTGAACCGAATCAAAATCGAATCTAACTTGTCTAAACAATATGAATTCCGTTTAATGTGAGATGCATCTGATAAAAAAAGTCATTTGTGAAATTTTTCTTCTGAATGATTTCAAGGCTACTGAAATCAATCTTGTGACTTTTTTGTTTTCTAGGTTAGTTTGCATTTTCATTTGACTGATTATTTTGGACCAAAATACTCGGTCTTTGTGCACCGTGGATTCTATCACCATCATCCAAAATAAAATCTTCTGACCAGATTGTTTGGCCGAGTATTTCTCAACTTTTTCTAGTTCCATAGGGTTTCAAATAGTCAAATATAGACTCTGTGATGTTCATTTATTCTGATAAAGATTTCTCAAACAGTTTCCACTGGGTCTACATGCTACACAATCAGGTCACAACAGTGAATATTGAAATTATTTTACTACAATACAAATAAAGAGGATAATCATACTTCAAAGGATAACACAAACATATTGGACAATTAGTAGCGTTAAATTGTTATTCTGAATCATTATATGCACTAGAAGGAATAGAAAAACAAATATACGTAGTTTGCCTAAGTGCTGGGTGTTTACATAACAGCACATAACAAGTGATTTGACAGTATAATTGTTAGCCATAGTTAGCAGACTTAGGCTGGCATTTGGTTAGTAGACTTTCACACCAGTTATTTGTCACGATTAACAGCAGCGAACTACTAATTATATCATACACAATCAGTACAATAGGAAAGGCTGATAACTGGAAAATGATATTGCATTATTTACGCTGAGAATATTAAAAGATATAAAAATACTTGAACATATCACCTACAGGCATACAGCCCACTGAATAAAGTCATCTTCATAGTTTAGCGATTTTCCCCAGTTATTTCTATAAAGTGATTAAGCATCTACCTTAATTACGAAATTGAAATATAAGGTAGTGCTATTCCTTCATCTTTTTCTGTTCACCTAGACAAACGACAATGATAAGTCCAAAAAGGATTCCTGTGATGCTCATTCATGCCGGAAGTCTAACATGAACCAACCAAATAATCAACCAGGCAAGAAACATGTTAAGTCAGGCTCTATCAAAGATTATTTGCATAAAAATGATGACGAATCGCTAGACTCAGATGGTGACGGAATACCTGACCACCTGGAAGATGACGATGGTGACGGAATACCAAATTACTTGGAAGACGAAGACGGTGACGGCATTCCAGATAGTATGGAGGGCGATTCAGATGGCGACGGTATTCCGGATTACATGGAAGATGAAGATGGAGACGGTATACCAGATTATTTAGAAGATGAAGATGGAGATGGAATACCCGATTACTTGGACGGATGCGTTCACGGGAAACATTACGGTAAGTCTAAATTAGATAGAAATGGTGATGGAATTCCTGATTATTTAGAAAGAGATTCACATGGCGATGGAATACCTGACCACCTGGAAGATGAGGATGGTGATGGGATACCAGACCATCTTGAGGGAGACTCAGATGGAGACGGAATACCCGACCACCTGGAAGATGAGGATGGTGATGGGATACCAGATTATCTGGAAGATGATGATGGGGACGGTATCCCAAACTATCTAGATACGAGTCATAACAAGAGGCATACGAAAGTCCCGAAGCACATTGACAAGGATGGTGATGGAATACCAGACCATCTTGAGGGAGACTCAGATGGAGACGGAATACCCGACCACCTGGAAGATGAGGATGGTGATGGGATACCAGATTATCTGGAAGATGATGATGGGGACGGTATCCCAAACTATCTAGATACGAGTCATAACAAGAGGCATACGAAAGTCCCAAAGCACATTGACAAGGATGGCGATGGAATACCAGACCATCTTGAGGGAGACTCAGATGGAGACGGAATACCCGACCACCTGGAAGATGAGGATGGTGATGGGATACCAGATTATCTGGAAGATGATGATGGGGACGGTATCCCAAACTATCTAGATACGAGTCATAACAAGAGGCATACGAAAGTCCCGAAGCACATTGACAAGGATGGTGATGGAATACCAGACCATCTTGAGGGAGACTCAGATGGAGACGGAATACCCGACCACCTGGAAGATGAGGATGGTGATGGGATACCAGATTATCTGGAAGATGATGATGGGGACGGTATCCCAAACTATCTAGATACGAGTCATAACAAGAGGCATACGAAAGTCCCGAAGCACATTGACAAGGATGGCGATGGAATACCAGACCATCTTGAGGGAGACTCAGATGGAGACGGAATACCCGACCACCTGGAAGATGAGGATGGTGATGGGATACCAGATTATCTGGAAGATGATGATGGGGACGGTATCCCAAACTATCTAGATACGAGTCATAACAAGAGGCATACGAAAGTCCCGAAGCACATTGACAAGGATGGCGATGGAATACCAGACCATCTTGAGGGAGACTCAGATGGAGACGGAATACCCGACCACCTGGAAGATGAGGATGGTGATGGGATACCAGATTATCTGGAAGATGATGATGGGGACGGTATCCCAAACTATCTAGATACGAGTCATAACAAGAGGCATACGAAAGTCCCGAAGCACATTGACAAGGATGGCGATGGAATACCAGACCATCTTGAGGGAGACTCAGATGGAGACGGAATACCCGACCACCTGGAAGATGAGGATGGTGATGGGATACCAGATTATCTGGAAGATGATGATGGGGACGGTATCCCAAACTATCTAGATACGAGTCATAACAAGAGGCATACGAAAGTCCCGAAGCACATTGACAAGGATGGCGATGGAATACCAGACCATCTTGAGGGAGACTCAGATGGAGACGGAATACCCGACCACCTGGAAGATGAGGATGGTGATGGGATACCAGATTATCTGGAAGATGATGATGGGGACGGTATCCCAAACTATCTAGATACGAGTCATAACAAGAGGCATACGAAAGTCCCGAAGCACATTGACAAGGATGGCGATGGAATACCAGACCATCTTGAGGGAGACTCAGATGGAGACGGAATACCCGACCACCTGGAAGATGAGGATGGTGATGGGATACCAGATTATCTGGAAGATGATGATGGGGACGGTATCCCAAACTATCTAGATACGAGTCATAACAAGAGGCATACGAAAGTCCCGAAGCACATTGACAAGGATGGTGATGGAATACCAGACCATCTTGAGGGAGACTCAGATGGAGACGGAATACCCGACCACCTGGAAGATGAGGATGGTGATGGGATACCAGATTATCTGGAAGATGATGATGGGGACGGTATCCCAAACTATCTAGATACGAGTCATAACAAGAGGCATACGAAAGTCCCGAAGCACATTGACAAGGATGGCGATGGAATACCAGACCATCTTGAGGGAGACTCAGATGGAGACGGAATACCCGACCACCTGGAAGATGAGGATGGTGATGGGATACCAGATTATCTGGAAGATGATGATGGGGACGGTATCCCAAACTATCTAGATACGAGTCATAACAAGAGGCATACGAAAGTCCCGAAGCACATTGACAAGGATGGTGATGGAATACCAGACCATCTTGAGGGAGACTCAGATGGAGACGGAATACCCGACCACCTGGAAGATGAGGATGGTGATGGGATACCAGATTATCTGGAAGATGATGATGGGGACGGTATCCCAAACTATCTAGATACGAGTCATAACAAGAGGCATACGAAAGTCCCGAAGCACATTGACAAGGATGGCGATGGAATACCAGACCATCTTGAGGGAGACTCAGATGGAGACGGAATACCCGACCACCTGGAAGATGAGGATGGTGATGGGATACCAGATTATCTGGAAGATGATGATGGGGACGGTATCCCAAACTATCTAGATACGAGTCATAACAAGAGGCATACGAAAGTCCCGAAGCACATTGACAAGGATGGCGATGGAATACCAGACCATCTTGAGGGAGACTCAGATGGAGACGGAATACCCGACCACCTGGAAGATGAGGATGGTGATGGGATACCAGATTATCTGGAAGATGATGATGGGGACGGTATCCCTAATTACTTGGATGGTGATTTGTCTTCTCATTACGCAGGTGTCCTATCACACAGATCTATTTTAGACGCTAGTGTTTCTGATGATGATGGCGATGGGATTCCTGATCACTTGGAAGGAGATTCAGATGGTGATGGAGTTTTAGATTATCTACAGGATTCAGATGGCGATGGTATTCCAGATTATTTAGAAGATTCAGACGGGGACGGCACTCCAGATTACTTGGATATTGATTCTAATACTCAGTTTTCTCCGAAGGCATTCAAACACTTACTGGTTAAAAAACGTGTTGATACTAACAAAGATGGTATACCAGATTATTTGGAAGGTGATGAGGACAGGGATGGCATTCTTGACTATATGGAAGACTCAGATGATGATGGAATACCTGATTATCTTGAGGATGCGGATAATGATGGGATTCCAGATTACCTAGACAATACTTTCAGTCCCAATCGAGTGATTAACTTGAAAATTGAAGATAATAATAAAAATGGCATACCTGATCACTTAGAAAGTGACTCTGATTACGACGGTATTCTGGATTATTTGGAGGATACAGATGGAGATGGTATACCGGACTATCTGGAAGATACTGATTCGGATGGTACACCAGATTATATGGATGAAGATGCAATTACTCAGTTCTCACCAAGAAAAATACGTGGTAGAACTACTGGTAAGAAATTCGCTGATGCCGATAAAGATGGTATACCAGACCACCTAGAGGGTGATATAAATCATAATGGTATTATTGATTACCTTGAAGATACTGATAATGACAATATACCTGATTATCTCGAAGATTCTGACAACGATGGCATACCAGACTATTTGGATGAAGATGCAACAACAAAGTTTTCACCTAAAGTTATTAGAAAACTAAAACCAACAAGGTTTTTTGCTGATATCGATGGTGATCACATACCAGACCATTTAGAAGGAGATAGTGATGGTGATGGAATACCTGATTACCAAGAAGATACAGATAACGATGGTATACCAGACTATTTAGAAGACAGTGACGGTGATGGTATACCAGACTACATAGATGAAGATGCTACAACGCAATTCTCACCAAAACGATATCGTAAATTACGTTCAACAATGAAATTCGAAGATGACGACGGTGATGGTATCCCAGATCATCTACAAGGTGATTCAGATGGTGACGGTGTATTGGATTTTCTTGAAGATAGTGACGGTGACGGTATACCAGATTACTTAGAAGATACTGATGGTGATGGTGTACCTGACTATTTGGATGAAGATGCAAATAGCCAATTCTCACCACAACATTTTACTGATAAAAATAGAGATGGTATACCTGATCACCTAGAAGGTGATTCAGACGGTGATGGTACACCAGATTACCTTGAAGATACTGATAACGACGGTGTACCAGACTACTTGGAAGATTCAGATCATGATGGTATACCCAATTATTTGGATAATGATGTTGTTGATGTAGAAGTTGAAGCAGTCATTGAAGCCTATGATAAAGATACAAATAATAATGGCATACCTGATTATTTAGAAGATTGGGATGGTGATGGTAAACCAAATTATTTAGAAGATGAAGATCATGATGGGATTGCAGATTTCTTGGATAAAACAGATAATCGTTTATTAAGATTTAAAAATAAGAAAAAGTTTAAACATCGAAGAAGAAATGATAAAAATGCTAACTTCATCCCAGATCATTTAGAGACTGATTTAGATGGGAATGGTATTCCTGAATATAAACAAGACACTGATTGTGATGGTATACCAGATTATTTAGATGAAGATTACCTGCACAGTCTTCCTAAATCATTAAGACGCTCAGCAAAGAAAACAACAACAAAGGGGAAAAAGAAATCTATACACAAAATTAAAGTGGTCAATGCAATGCAAGATACTGATAAGGATGGAATCCCCGATTATTTGGACAGTGATGCAGACGGTGATGGAGTGCCAGACAAGGAAATAAAATGTACGTATAATTTTTACCAAGATATTTTTCTTTGTGTGTTTTGTTTTCCATTTTAAAGTTAAATATTGATAAAAATGGAATCATTATATGATTACATTTTCGAGTAGGTACCATCTATTCTAGAATGGATAGTGTAGACAGCTTAGTGATAGAACACTGAAGAACCAAGCAAGTGGTCTAGGGTTTGATCTCCGGCCGTCGTATGCCCTTACCTCGTTAAGCTGGTAATAAGCCCGGTAAACAGGGGAGGTTTGGCATGAAGCTAAAAATCCCATTCCGTAAAATACACCACTGCGTCGGTAGCACAGCGGTAAGGACTCTCGCCAACCGTGCACATAGTCCGGGGTTCGATCTCCTGCCGACGCACATCTGATATCAATGGTCGGCCTGCAAAGTTTGGGCTACCGATATCACTTGTTGTACTGTGTGTTTAACTTCGCATCTTCTTTCTTTCTTACGCTACAATCTAACACTAGTAGCTCCCCTTGCTCACTTTTCAATTCATGAGTGAACTGAATTGCCGCCACTTTTGAGTTGGTGTCATAGAAAAATCTATTCATATCCTGGGTTTTAAGTACAGGGAATGTATCATTTACATACATTCACCATATCCACTCAAAGGTGGCGGCAATTCAATTCACTCATGAATTGAAAAGTCATCAAGGGGAGCTACCAGTGTTGGACTGTAGCGTAAGAAGGAAAGAAGATACGAAGCTAAACACTAGTGTTTACAGGGAACTCACACATTCAAACCGATTTCGGATTTCCAATCATCTCACCCTGTGTCAGTAAAGATAAAACTGGTGAAATGTTTAAGTAATAGAATAGAAAAACTACGTAACGAGGAAAATCTAAGACAGGATGTGAGGTGTATGAGAGAGGCTTTAAACCTTGATAATTACCCTGATAAATTAATCAGGAAGTATGTAGGAAAATGTAAAAGTGAAACAAACAATAAAAGTAGTGATAGTGATAATAATAATAACAACAACTACATTAATGACGGCTTGCTTGTCAAACATACACAGGATAATGACAACACCAACAATGGGGAACGTGAATCATCAGTAGTACTTCCATACAAAGAAGGAACTTCGGAAACCTCCTGCAGAATCCTTAACAAGGCAGGAATAAAATTGGAATTCACACCCCATAAACTCATTTAGATACAGGCTCTGTCAGTTAAAGGATTCTGTGGAGCCAATTTAACAAAACAATTTAGTTTATCTAATACCCTGTTCGAATGATTGTCAGGTCAAATACATAGGTCAAGGTAGTAGAACAAGGTCAATCAGACCAGCGGAGCACAAAAACCTAGCGAAATCTAGACTGGTTGGCCCTAATAAGATAAGAAATGTTTTGAAGAATAGTTCAGCTATAACATTCACTGGACTCAATTACACACAGCACAATCAAGCGATAGGATGGGATAAGATGACAGTTATAAAGCCTAATATAACGGGATGGAGAGAGATTGATAACGGAAGCTTTGCTTATCGAATCAACTGCAACCATGTGTGATAGGAAGGATTCAACACCTATCCTAGACATCTGGAGAATTCTACTACCCCTACAGCAAATAGGAGAGAACTATAAACCTCAAGTTTCGAAGTCGTGTCATTATAATTGATGTGATTATAAACAATAAATTGTGTTCGAAACGTCATCCAGTAAATAATACTGTTTCACTGTGTGATATATCTCATAAACAAACTAATATGGAATCGGATATAAATTTGCTTTTATTTTTGCACCCTGCTGATTTTAGTCAATATATTATACTATACTGTAAAGAATTTTGCAATACTACCCCTTAAGTACTCACTCTGAGCTTGTTCACAACTGTTTATTACTTCAAAGCAGTTTTTGCCCTGAAGTGAAATCAAATAGGGAATTACAGAAAACAAGGAAGCAGTGCCCAGTTGAACATTTGTCGTAATACACACACATGCACATACAACCTTACGCACTGTCCATGCCTATGTCACTACGTTCCACAGTTAATAAGTTACTATTCGTTCACCAGGTTGCATTTCAACGACTTATGGTTTTCGATCTCGCTTACAGATGTAGTTTATGAAAGTTGTTGTAGGATGTCGAATCTTATCAAATGTATCATAAGGAAAAGAATTACTATCTTAAAGAAACATTCTGTTAAAGGACTTCAGCTACTTATCATTAATATGATTTGGTTTGTGGATCATGTTACCATCCTTGTAGTTTAAATCCTCAATAAATTATTTTTATTTGTTTACTGTGGAGATTAGCCAGAGCATACTGAGAGGTAGATAACGCTTAAAAGTCCCAACTGTCTACAGTGCGTGAACTTCGCGAATGGCTACGGACCAGTGAGATTATTTCACCACACCAGAAAACACCACAGAATTTAAACAACATCCCAGTGAATCTGATTCGGCTTTAACTACTGGTGATGTTTAGCGTATTTCTTTTCCAAACTGTAGGAATTTACTCTTTGTGTTATTCAAATTTTAATGTATGTCAACCCATGATACCGCCTTATCTCAAAGTATAACTAAATCAGTTTGCATTTTTTGACCCCATAGTTGGGAGTGCTAAAATCAGGCTGAGAGTGAAAGACTTGTTGTTACACTATTCAAATGCATAGGATTATGAATGAATCAGAGTTGGGATACATTTAAACGAATGCATTTGAATAGCCAGAAAACATGTCCTATACTACCAGAAGAAAATCAGGAAAAGTATGGTTGCAAAACTGTTAAAAATATCAAGATTAGATTTTAAAATACTGACAAGGATGGGAACAATACCAGAAAACCTTGGAATTTTGAGAAGATATACTGCAAGCATTAAGACTGTGTCATGACCAGAAGAATAGGATGTTTTACAAGTAAACGAAATTAAGCCCTTAATCTGATTTTATGGACAGCTACTGAGAAATAACACAACTCCGTATCAAAAGTCTCAGCTATATGCGTTAGAGATACACGGTGTATCGACATATACATATATCCACAGACATAAAGTCGCTGAAGTCCCTTATTTATCAGCAAACTATATTGAATTGAATTTATAATCAGTAAGAATTTCACAAATTTCATAGAATCTTACCTTTGTTGCATTTTTTCAGTGGCTGATCAAAATAACAATGGGATCCCAGATCATCTTGAATTGATTGATTCAGACAATGATGGAATAATTGATTTGTTCGATAATGATGACGATAATGACGGAATTCCTGATGATGAAGGTATTTCGTACTAAAAGTATATGTAATTTAAAGCAAAAAACTTTTACCCCCACTTCAAAATACGCTACCAAATGATGCTGAATGGCTTATTAATATTATGCATTTGTATATCCTGTACAAGAAGTGTTTCTAATGTATGCACGATTTGAATGATTCATCCGTCTTGTGTCAATTCCACGTAACTGAACCACAAAAATGCTGTTCATACTGTTCGTCAACGCTCAAGATATTTACATCTATATTTCGTCGAATAGCTTCCTCCTGACCTATCCCTTCCAATTTAGATCCACTGTATACTCTGTTACCAGTTATCCCTCAAATCTTCTTTTGTTTATTTTCAATGAAAATGAATAACTATCTTAGCTGTAACCTCTATTCTCTCCTGTCTTTTTATTCCTCTTCCTCTATTTGATTTCATAAAGTTTTCTCCCTTATGACTACTTCATCTCATTCTTCTCCCCCCCCTTACTGACCTCTTCGTCGACTCCAATCTACCCAACAAGGATAATAGCCGTCTTCAAGAAAGAAAGAAAGAAAAAAATAAGCACTAGTTTATCTATTTATCACTTCACTTCTACAAATTTTTAACTGTTTAACCGCATGTCTTATTTTTGATCTGATGTGTATATTTGCTGCGTGCCTCAGTGTTCATGTCTTTGCTTCCCCGCCCTCCCCCAGCCACCTCCCCTTGTATTTCTGTTCTCCATATTTGTTCAGTTTACTTGTGCCTATCGAATGAAATTGAAACAAACAAACAAACAAATAATAAATTTGCATGTACTAACCTATGTGTATTATTTATTGATGTTTATTTTGAGAAAAATGAATCAATTCCCCTTTGTGAAATCATGAAATCAGTTATTTGTCTAAATATTCCCTAGGACATTGAATATGTCCTACCAGTTGATGCTCATCTGATATTTATTATTATTGTTCACCTCCCCACCCCCGCCAGTTCCTCTACTAATGAGAACGTTTCTAGTACTATTCTTTATTTATTTTTTTAGTAGATATATGACTAGAATTCAATAAAATAGCTAGCGAATGTTTAAAATCAAAAAATTTGATAAGAATCCAACTTCAAATTTTGTTTAACTCTTTAAAGAAACGATACACCAGTTTACATTTACACTAATAATATGATACTTATATAGCAATTCTTTAAAAAAAAATACAGTCATCGACTGTGTAATAAATACACAAACATATACTTTTCGCAATAAATGTTTATAGTTTAGTCATTTGGTTAATTGTAGCTGGGAATGGAATCCAGAATGTGTACTTCAATCTGTTTGAGACTTGCCAGCTAGATGTAGATTCAGCTGGCAAGTGCATATTACACAGAAATCTACTACTAGGCATATGCATTAAGCTGTAAATCACATATCTTGGAAAGAAATGAAGGCTGACTTAGATCTGATTGGATGAAGTGAGATTTCATGGCATGAACGGATAGTTGTTTCCAATGGTCCTCTAATCGATATCAGTTCACATAATGAAATTCTGGAAAATTATAAACATAGACAATGGAAGTAATTTTCACAGTCAATGCGTTTTTTGTTTGGCAATTTCTTTATTATGATTACTGTATGAATACAGATGCAGAGTTGAAGCTAACAATGTGAATCAGTCCAATTTCTTAAATAACTTATAGTGTTGTTATTGTGGCAGTCATAACTGAAACATGACATTCATCGGAACTCTTCATCCTAAAAGTTCCATATGAAATGCTGTTTCTTGGAGTTTATAGATGAAAAGATTTGAACCAGACGTAACACATTTCTTAGGTCACTAGACCGTATAGTTTCAAGTATTGACAAAAAACTGGAATATTTCAAAAACAGAGTTGAATGGCTTCACCTCTGTCTTAACATACAGTTGGGTGATTTTATTTAGTGAAATTATACCTACAAACTTCCCTCCTATCATTCCCTTTCACTACTCTACGCTAAGGTGTAGAAACAAATTAGTCGTTTACTATTACTGTCATTATTATCTTTAGGAGTTAAGGTTATCATTAAACGCATACTATTTTGGTCAAATACTATTTTTAGAATGTGTTTTGTATTTTTTTCATTTCTCTCCTAAATTAGACGATGACGATGATAATGATGGCATTAAAGATCACCAAGAAGATGCAAATAATAATCAAATATTGGATATTTTTGAAGCTAAAGACACAGATGGCGATGGTATTCCTGATTATCTAGATGACGATGATGACGGAGACGGTATACCTGATTGTGATGATGATGACGATGATAATGATGGTGAGTAATTCCTTTCAGTAATACGTCTTTAGGCAAATGATGATATATCATCTTTCCTTATCTGTATACATATCTTTCTGTTATTTCTTCAACGAAAGTATAATAATCTGGATAGTTCAGTCAGTCGTAACGCTTCTCATGATTATTTAATATATAATGTGTGTTAGAATGAGAAACAACGTATAACTTCCCCCAAGGTTGTAGTAGTATAATACTGGTGTTTGTCATATTGGAGAAAAGCCAATTTAGCGGTTTCCCGATGACTTCTCGCATACACCTAACACTGAATACAACTAATCATAGTGTTTTTCTTAATTTAGCTAAGAAACTCTGCTGTATTCATTAATGATTGAACTTCAGACAATACAAGAAGGTAAACTGTAAATTTAGATAATATTCAGAGAAAGATAGTCTTTATAGATTAATTTGTTTGGAGTTGTGTTATGTTATCACAGCTACTAAGTTCTTCCACACTTTAAGCTTTTCTGTCTATTCAGAGCGTTTATTCCTATAAAAGCCAAATTTTGAACTGGAAAGCAGACTACTTATATTGTCAAAATTAATAATGCGTATTAATAAACAACTGGTATGTGTCCACCATGTGTATTCTGACTACATAAAAACTTATAAAACAGACCGTAAATATATATATATAAATATATATGAAATCCCTATTCTTCTGACATGATTAACGCTAATTGGCGAAAACAATAGATTATTGCTGGGTGACGTTTCGAAGATAATTTACTGTTAATAAGCCTACCAATTATCGTAGGATTAAATTTGCCTACAGACTTTAGTCCTCACTATCATTACTGACGATAGTGAGTCTAGACCCCATCAAAGTTAAAACTCAGGTGACTTAACGCCAACTTTATCTGTATCTAAAATTACAATTACGCAAAGATAACAATAAAAATGCAGTTGTCCTTCAAGGGAGGACAAAGACATACCGAACAAGATTCACGTGTGGTACAAAGTAGTTAGTGAATTACATTTACGTACATATTACGAATAGAATACAAAACTCGTCCAAGGTCAACCACCAGTGGTGGGAGTTCACATTAAAATAACCAATAATCACATGATAATTACTGTTATTATTATTATTATAGTCAGGAGAGACAAGGTCAGGTCACCTTGATTGGTTGACATATTCAGTCTATCTATCGACATTACAATTATAACTACACAACTCCGAGACTTGAGTTATGATTAATTTATCAGGGTAATTATCAAGGTTTAAAGTCTCTCTCATACACCTCACATCCTGTTTTAGATTTTCCTCGTTACGTAGTTTTTCTACTTTATTACTTAAACATTTCACCAGTTTTATCTTTACTGACACAGGGTGAGATGATTGGAAATCCGAAATCGGTTTGAATGTGTGAGTTCCCTGTAAACACTAGTGTTTAGCTTCGCATCTTCTTTCCTCCTTACACTACAGTCTAACACTGGTAGCTCCCCTTGATGACTTTTCAATTCATGAGTGAATTGAATTGCGTTCACCATTGAGTTGATGTCATCGAAAATCTATTTATGTCCTATATTTTAAGTTCAGTGAATATATCGTCTACAAACCTCCACCATACTTTTGACGTGAGGCTGACTATTTCAATCTCTTTTTTCCCACCAATCCACGATATATCTGTCACAATCGGCGACACGGACGTCCCCCTGGCAACTCTCTCAGTTTGTCTGCATGTTTTCCCTTGGAATTTCAATACTGTAGAAGTCAAGCATAGCTGCACCCCTAGCATTATGTCTTCTAGCGGCACTTTTTTTCTAAGTTCAAGTTCTTGTTCAGAAATGAGTTCGTTTCTGACTGCCTCTATAGCCACACTTATTGGTACTCTTGTATATAAACTGACGATGTCGGAACTAACCAATTTTTCTTCACTATCTATTATTAAATTGTTTATCATCAAAATTTATGAGTCTAGATTCTGAGTGGCTTCTAAGTGGACTGAATACAGTTTATAAACAGGCGAATTTGTAAATTCAACTGTAGGTTCAATATCTGTTTACTTATACACTGAAGCATCTGAAAATACATGTAATAGAAATGATTCAACACATGTCCACCAGGACATCTGGAAAATTCTGCTACGCCAAGAGTTAATACGAAGGAATAAGGAAAGCCATAAAACTCAAGTTTCGGAGTTGTGTAGTTATATTTTGATATGATTCTGAAAAATAAATTGTGTTCAAAACCTCGTCATCCAGTAAATAATACTGTTTCACTGTGTGATATATCTAACAAACAAACTATTAAAGAATTACATACTACCAAAGTTTCGCATTTATATTAAGTAGACTATAACTTATTCTAGAATCTCCACTAGCTAATTCACAGCTCTTATCACATGTTCACATGATATTTGATCATATACCATCTACACACATTTTTATAGATACCTCTTTCAACTTAGGTTCAAAACATTCCTGTGATAACTAAAAACAACTTTCAATACTTAACACTCATCACTGTCTTTGTGTGCGTCAGTGGCACAGCGGTAGAGTGCTTGCTGGGGCTCAGTCCCCGGCCAACGCACTCCTTTACCACTCTAAGGTGGTAGTAGGGCCGGAAAAGAGGGAAAGTTGAGCATGAGGCTAGCATCCCCATCCTATAAAAAGCAACCACTACTGCTACAGAAACTTCAAGCCTCTAGCTTGAAGACTGGGAACGTAAAGGAATTTTAAAAAATCAGTCTTTAATGCTGTTAATAAAAAGAAGACAGGCAGTCCAGCGAAGAGGTTCTTTTCGGCCAATAGCCCTTACAAAATTTTATTTCATTATTAATAACGCATAAAATAAGTTTCTCACATGTTCACTGTGTATCACTTATTCTACGTATACAAGAGCTTAACTTTATACTAGAATTAGTGATATCGATTGTCTGTACTATCCTCTAAGGTCAATTCAGAGCAAGCCTTTTGTGTCAATATTTGGTTTTATTTTAGTGTTCATCAATCAATTATACTATGAAGCATATGGTGATGATGACTAGCATTTTATCATAAACTCGGCTTAGATAACATAAGTAGGGTTTCAAAGTTATTGATATAGCCAGTAACTAATCATGTATTAAATTTACAATACACACATGCCTTTGATTGGTTAGTGAAGTAAATAGACCTAGTGTTACCAACACCTTTGCAAGACTTCAATCTGAACATTTTATTTTGCCAGCATTATAACAAATACGCTGTCTACCTAACAACCATATGAAGTATATTACTAATTGCTGCCATTTAATACTAGTAATAATAAATATATTCTTAAGAAAAATCAAAAGACTAAGTCTTGATTGGGTAGTTTCTGTGACATATATCAGTCAGTGAGTTTGAATGCATCGGTGGTTCAATGGTAGACTAATTATCAGCCACTCGGGAGGTCCACCTTTCATTCCCCGTCAATACGTCCCTAAACACCGCCTAGTTTACCAGTCCACAGTAAACCCGGAAAAGACAGAAGGTTGGAAGTGAGGCTGGTAAGTTCACCGATTTAAAAACAACACTCCAGTGGTGCTGTGAAAAGCTCAAAAGTTTGAAGCATGGAACACAAAGTAACGTAAAATATGAATTTCAAAATAAAAAGATACACTGAACATAATATTATGAGTTCACCTTATAATTTTTTATCTTTCACAATGACCTACCATGTATCTATCATATTTGTATATCCAATTATTCTATTCATCGAAACCACTTGAGTTTTTCTTAATAGAAAATGAAGATCAGAAGTTCTAAGTTCACCGAGTATTTATGATATAATAAGATTTAAATTGAATACCAGCATGAATGAAGTTAATCAAATATCCTGAAATGTTAGAATTATGCACACAATTTAATAATGCTTTCTAAAAATGAAAATCAATAAACAATAAGGTTTTACTCTTCAGTCAGGTCATCATACTTTTATCCGATCAATAAAAAAGTGTTTCAGTTTCCACAAACTTCATTAAAGACAACAATTTCAGGAGTATATATTTTATATTACTCTCATAAAATAATGCGTAATTTCCTCTGATATCGATTTAAGTGAGGATATAAGGGTGTGCAATTAGTTGTGTTCTCTGAGCTGGTTGGTTTAATTAAGGAGCTTTCATCGTCAGTATCTTCAGCGCAAGTTTTAGCTCCGCAATAAAACCAACTAGCTCAGAGAACACAACTAACTGCGAATCCTTCAACTGAGCTACAAAGCTTCTCTGATATAAGGGTGTATTTATGAAGGGAGGATGTTTGAGAATGAGCTGATTTCAAAGTGAACATAATGTTATAATTCTTACGCTGGTAATAAACTTTATCTGTAGATGATATTTCAACGTGGTTGTTAAGCTAACTTGTTATTGGAATTCATATAAACTATACTAATTGGAAAATTTATTTATTTAGACTTCAAAGTTTCATTAAGGTTTGGTAGAAAGTTACAAGAATAAAAACAGGTAAGTTTTTCTTATTTGAGGTTTGGCAGTAAATTACGACAAAATAACAAGGTCAGAAGGTGAAATCATACTCTTGGGTACACTGTAGTGTACAAAACAGTAATGTACTTTTTAAAGCAATAAACACACCTAGATAGTAATGTCATTCATTAACTGAATGGTGAATTTAGATGAAATCCACTCTGCACTCCGTTCTATTTTATAAATTCCTAGTATGACACATGCTACTGATAAAATTTATCAGTAGTATATAAAGAGACGTTCATCGACGTAAAATTTCAAGTAGAAGAGTAATAGATTTGACTAGAAAGAGAGAGAATGATTCAGTACTGCGAAGAAACATGAGAGTTACGAAAAGAAGACAAAGAAACGCAATACGAAGGGTAGAAGTACCAAGCACAACAACACGGAAGATCTGTATAAGTGGTGGTCTGGAGATAAGCTGTACATAATTTCGCGATATAGAGATACTAAATTCCAAATAAATATTCCTTAACCAGGTCTTTTGTCTTCTACTGTAACAATATTTATAAAGTGAATTATCTTCAGCAATGAATTGTCTTTTACTGATGTTTATGCATATGTTATACCTCAAACACACTTTTCGATCATTATGATGGCACCTTCGTTGTTTGGCTTCTAAAATCTTTAATAAAACTTTAATTTCTTTTAATGTTTAAAGGTATACTGGATATACATGAAGATGAAAATAAGAATAAAATTCCTGACTACTTAGAAACTGGAGACTCTGACAATGATGGTAAATTTAACTTTATATTTCGTTTATCTTTTATGATCCATGTTGTTTTCTTCTAATAATTACTAGGTTTTGGCTAACACTATGCGAGGATTGAATAACACCAATCAGTATACGAATGATGCATTTTATACCTGGTCTCCTGTTTTATAGGATTACTTCAGCGTTAATTAGCCCACCACTTCAAAATAAACGACATTTCTTTTAAATTTATAAGCACTGAAGAATACATATTGCCACTTGCGTCTCATGTATCATGAAATAAAAAGTTATTGTGTTTGGTTAATGTCACAACATAGTAAGGGAGAAGACAAACAGACAACCTGTGTCGTTGGTAATGTGTTGTACATGTTATGTTGAAGGTTATTGATACTGTCAGATCTTAGGGTTCGAGTTACTAAGCCTAACAGTCCTGTTCTGACTAGAAACCTTTTTAAAGAGGTCCCCTGAAGTGCTTTATGAGTATTCGTAAGAGGTTAAGTTAACTGTGATGGGTATGAAGGCAGTTGCTCATGGATGACATAAAATAATGCTTGATCTATACCGTGAATCAATAAGAGACAGAAAACACCTACCAATAGAATTTCATCCATTGAATACATCATAAAATGATCCCTGCAATATCAGGCAAACTTCTATCCCACCAAACATAGAGCCTCTCTGTCAATGTGGGTAAAAATGGCTGAACATTCATGAAAAATCTGTCCTTCGCTATTTGGTTATTTATCGATTCTTTAGCTAACGTTAATTCAAAAATAAGGAAGATTATCTAATAGTAAGTTAGGTAGAAAGAAATACAGTACTGTTCCCTTCAATAATATTCTTAATCAATTCCATCTGTTTATCTGCCTATATCTAGGAATAATTGATCTTCTTGACACAGATGATGACAATGATAATATACCAGACTATTTGGACAGTGATTCCAATGGAGATGGTATAGAAGATGATAAACAAGATCGAAGTCGTCTCAAACTTACTGTTTCAAAGAAATTGTCTGAAACAAGTAAATACGTTTGTTGAAACTTAATTAATACAACATACATTTTGTATGCACATGACACATAGTACTGCTAGGGATCAGTCCTATAGTACGTATCACCAGAATGTCAAACAAACTTGACCCTGGCGAACCGTGGTCGGTGGCACAGTGGTTGGGACTCTCGCCGACCATGCACATGGTTCGAGGTTCGATCCCCTACCGACGCACACCTGATATCAATGATTGGCCAGCAAAATTTGGGCTACCGATATCACATGCTGAAAATTCCATACTTGTACCAAAAATACGGTTTGGAATCAAGCTATCATCAAAATAGAAAATAAGTATAGTAAGTGTGAAAGAGAGAGAGAGAGAGAGATAAACGGGAATCAAATAAAAACACTGTTGACTGAGTGTCTCTTTAGCCTGCTCTTTTGAAATAAACAAAGGCATTTCGGTTATGCCTGCCCATTTCATCTAGTCTCCGTCTATGCCTCCCTGATATATAAGCATATCCGCCTACTACTCGGTTACTGTGTGATGATGATAAAAGGTACAAATGTCGAAATGGAACTTCATATGTGCTGTACAACTGTCGATCTAAATTAGGTTACCTGTGAGAACACTTTGTTTCGACGTCAGATTCAGACTCAGATAAGATCTGGATGTGTTATAATACAAAGAGACGAATTAAAGACACATTTTCTGAGCAACTTGGTAGTATTATGGTCCATTTTATTATAATATCATAAGTGTGCAGCATTTAACAGCTCAAAAAAAAGCATGAAAGAATCAGTCAGTATTTCTCAGATTTACAGTTAATATCCATTCTTGATGAAAACCCTTGAAATGTGTTTAAGATACGACACAGTAGGGAACAAATGCCTGTCGCTAAGCTCTTTGAATCCGAGTTAAGATAATTAAACTGTGAACAAATCTATGGCGTTTGTGCACCCAAGTTTTAATCACCGATATGAAATGGTTAAGGTGGCTTGTGTAAAGGATAGGAGACTTTCAATGATAGAACTCAAAATCGATTAAAGTCAAGCAGATCTACTTACTCTAAATTTCTATCAAAATCAGGAGGTATTTTATTAGATTTTACAGATAAGTGAAGAGACTTACTAAAAAACGGACTCTTTAATTCATCTTCTCTTTTCAATATCTTAACGGGTGTCTTTCGTAAATTTATCTGCCTATGTACATAAAATCCCAATTAGTATACCATTAAATAAAAATAAGAAAGGAGCCCCGTTGTGTTGCTGAAAGTTATTTAATAGTACAGTTCATTACTACTCTGAAAATACTTCTTACTGACTACTGTTGAATTTACCTAAGATGGTATCAGTATGACAGACGCGTGTTAGTGTGATAAAGTATAATTTACGAAGAAGCATAGATCACCAGACAGTTTAAATCAGTGCTCTGAATTACTTGTCTGCTATACCAAACTGACCAGTTAGAACCAGCTACTGACAGGCCATCAGTTTCCCTTCATTCATCTCTTATAGTTATATCCATATATGAAAATAAAAGCTAATCACGTCAGTCAGTAGACCGGTAACTTCAAGGAATGCAGTTTGAACTTTGTCATGATCTAGGATTTCGTTTTAAAATCATTCGTCATTGTATTGTACCCAACTACTTATCTGCTTTTTTTTATTCATTTCAGTAAGGGGAAGCAAATCGCCAAGTAAATCAGCCTCGTCTAAACCTAAATCAACAGTTAAATCAAAAACCATAGCATTGCCGAAAAAGGTTGGAAAACATACAGTTGGTGATGATGACGATGAAGATGCCGACGATGATGATGATGACGAAGATGAGAAATCATCTAAAAGGAAAGATAGTGGAGTTGGAAGTGATGACGATGATGACGAGTCAGATGATCCTGAACATATGTCAAAAGCTCGATCTATAGTTCTTTCCATACTTAAACGAATTGAAAACATCTTTGGGGTGGAAGATGATGATAACGATAATGAAAATAATGATTCAGAAGAAGAAACGCATGACCACTGAACTTTATTTTCTCCTCCTTCTTTTTTTTTTGCCAGAAAAATCAAACACTTTATAGTTCCATCAAAAAAAGAGAGAGAATTAACTTAGATAAGAAGACAAAAAAATAAATAAATAATAAACTACTTTTAGTTCATGTATTGGTTTAAGAGACATACCTACCGTTTGTTTATATTGTGTCTATGTGTGAGTGATGTACAATTTTCGAATTTACACTTTACATGTCTACATTTTTTTTAAAGAAAAAGTACAACACTTCCACGTTTTATTAAAGACCTTTCACTAATTATTATATCACAGTAATTAACTGAAACCTTGAAAACTCCGCTCAATAGCTTCTATTTTCGTTCAACAATAACAATAACAACATCACTTTTGTTTTTATTTTCGAGTCATTTATCCACCTAATTTGTAATTTATTTCTCCTTATTATTTTAGTTAATAAGTAGGAGTAGAGATAATAGTAGATTGAAGGTTTAATAATTTTTAAAAAAAAAGAATTTGACAACTAGAATACAATAGAGAAATCAATAATGAAATGCAGAAAGTAACTACAATCAAATCAATTTTGATTATCTACAGGCTTATTCGCCTTTTGTTTGATTCTGATTCTAAGATTATTATTATTATTATTATTCTGTTGCTTCAACAGCAGCCTAGTTTATCATTCAGTGATTGCCAAAGTTCATAAAAAAGAAACAGATGGATTTTGTGCTTTACTCTTCTTCTCTTTTTTTAAAAATTCCCTCCCATCAACTTACTTTCTGACCTTCAGTTCTTCTGTTATATATGTATTTATTCGTCAGCAGTATACCTTTACACTTTCTTTTGTTGTTATTCCCTTTTATCTACTACAGAAACCAAACTTATTCATATATACACAAATTATTACAGAAATGAAATATATAATTAATTTAGTTGAGTTTGAAAAGTAGCTGGACTTCTTTCTCATTTTCCCGCCAAAAAATGTATTGATTTATTATAACAAAATGTAATCGTATTTCAGCTTTTAATACTATTATTGATGTCGTTGACTAATTTTACAACCGTTTCAACAGTCCTTTACAGTTGATCTCCTTTAGCTAATTGATATTTATTTTTTTAAAGGGGTTTTGAGCAGTTTGAAAAAATTTAGGCATTGGGTTTTGAGCATATATTATTCAGGTGATCTAAGGTCATAATAATTCCCTTTAGGGGTGACTTCTACTATCGATAAGTGAATGTGAACTGTATATGTCTCGATTAACAGTCCATCAGAATAATAATATTCATCAACTTAAGGTAGCTAATTAACCAATGAACGAATTTCAGTGTCAGTTGTCTTTGTTATCAGATTTTATTATGCCGTAGATATTCGTTATATTTATGTTAACACCGCAATGTTTAAATTGTAGTTATTAGTAATGTTGGTGTACATGAAAAAGTGCAGATAAATAAATAGAAAAAGATTATTAAAACTTAGCTCGAAACTGTGTCGTATCTATATATTGCAGTAGAATTTATCAATGAATATATTGATATCTAAATGGAAATAATATTTAAATTAATAGCGAAAATAACCGGTAAAATGGTCATTTACTGAAAAGCTACGAATGAATAAATGTACACCATCATAACAAACAATTTGTGGGAACACATCATAGATGTGTTAATGGACTTAACCCTAGGTGACTTCAGTGACTCAGGAATTGACTTGCTACCAGGGAATAATCTCGTTGACTTAGAATACGCAGACGATATAGTCCTTCTAGGCGAAGACGCTGACGAAATGCAGAGTCTTCTAAACACCTTGAGCCGCAATCTACGAATGTTTGGCATGCGATTCGCTCCCGCCAAATGCAAGATGATGTTACAGGACTGGACTACATCGACGCCTAGTTTAAAAATAGGAAGTGAAGTGGTAGAGCACGTTGACCGCTTCACTTGTTTGGAAAGTTGCGTCAGCCCCAACGGGTTGGTGTGTGACTAAATCTCAGCACGAATACAAGGGGCTCGTTTCGCATTTGTTAGTTTACGCCGTCTCTGGCGTAGACGAGATGTTCGACTATCGACCAAAGGGCGGGTGTACTGCTCATCAGTCCACTCCGTCCTCCTTTATGGTTGTGAGACCTGGCCACTGAGAGTGGAAGACATGAAAAGACTAGCTGTCTTTGATCATAGGTGCCTGCGTTCTATTTCCCGTGTAAAGTGGCATAATAAGGTGAGCAACATGGAGGTTAGGCGTAGAGTTCTAGGTAAACAGGGGAAATCAATCGACGAAGTCGTGAGATGGTTAGGTCATGTGTTACGTATGCCAAGTCATCGCCTCCCTCGACGAGCAATGTTAGCGGATATAGGGTCAGGCTGGAAAAAAGCTAGCGGCGGTCAAATAAAAACTTGGCATCAGTCAATGAAATCCACAACAGTTGGTCTAAGCCACGTAGAAAGGTGTAGACTTCCAGGCTGGGGTCCTCGGGACGGTAAAAATCTATGGTTGGAAACAATTGGTGACATGGCTCAAAATCGTTCTCAGTGGCGTAGATGCATCCACTCCCTGTGACTTATGATCTTCAATGAAACTGTTTTGTTTTTCTTTATTACTCCTTTGTCTCACACCTCTGCTGACTGTTTCTATTATGCTTTTCTTGTACTTTCTTCTCTTGCTTCGCGTGCTACACGGAGTGTGGCGACTTGAACTTCCGCACATTTGTGCAAAGTTCTATGTCGAAAACAGACAGACAGACAGACAGTAGGCGGGGCAAGACATTGGCTAGTGGTCGCACTACATCGCGAATTAGCAGAAGTTGGAATCCATGAGCTAGCCATTGGAACGGGTCCCAGGGGCTTAATAGTCTACGATCCCGCCTTGTTACAGGGATGTCTTAGTTTCAAATCCCAGTGGGTGGGGTACTGATGAGTCTCACACTAGGACAGAAAAGCTGTCCAGTACTCCCAGGTTTTCCAATGGTTCTCTAACTGATGTTAGCTCATGATGAAATCCTGTAACCAATCAAAGTATCCAATACAGTGCTAAAGAAGGTTAGTCGCAAGCTCAAATAGTCTCTGACTGCAACGCTGGGTGACGCAGATTCAAATCTCAGAAGGAACATGAGTTCCGTCGAGGTTGCAGATATGCGTTGATGACGAGTGCCAACCAGCACGAAACCTAGGGCCAAGGCTTCTTACCGATTCCTTTCAACCGTTTAATAATTAATTGAGTCATTGGCAGGTATCACTTGTTACTTCTAACATCTTAGAGGTCTCTATCAGAACTCCAACACGGTTTTATCCAGTTGAAAACCCCATGGGTTGGTGAATATCTTAGTGTAACTTCCTAAATTGGTTCTAATACTTCAACTCGGTTACTGTTGCATTTCAGGTTAGACATGCAACATTTAGTAAATAAAGAATAGTATTACGTCAATCATATACAGAGAAAGAAATTCGACGTTTTGTTTAATTGTCAAGCACCTACGACCACGTGCGTCGGTTAAGTCTATGACCATCAAGGTTCCAAAACTATCTACTCTCCGCGTTGGAACTCAGAAGTCCATGACTTCCAACTCATTATATATATATAGTGATATCGCAATTCAATATCATCGGCGAGTTGTTATTCTCGAAACCAGTGATTTCCTAATGTGTCAATCCATAATGATTAACGGTGCAAAAATGTTTACAGCTAATTCCTTTTGAGGAGAATTACATTAATGCGGTGAGTTGGGGAATATGACCAACATATTGGTGTTATACATATGGTGAAAATGATCACGAGTACTGTACAGTATAACTGTAAGGTCCGACAATAAAGCGTCTTAGTTTCCATATGCATGGTTCCCTTAATAAATTTCGATAAAGAAAGAAAGAATTTACAGGATAAAATGATATCACTCTATTTCACCGGTCCTCATCATTTGCGGATCTCCTGAAATAACAGTGATTATAAGAGAATAAAAATATTATACTTCAATATTTGAATGGCAGTAGAGAAAATGTTATGAAATTCAACAAAACGTAGGCATTACAGGTTTTACTTTAAGTCATCACTAATACGTATGCACTTTAACGTAGAAAACGAAGGGGGTGGAAAGGATAGCAAAACTTGATAAAGTGTTGGCTTATAGGTTTACATAGCAACTAAAGAAGGTTACGGTTCATAAAATTGAAACTGGCTTAGTGAGCTGAAATCACTCACACAAGGATGTCATCATGTTCTTCATTTGACTTAGTATATTAAGCTACAAAATTATTATCAAGACGAAAATTTGAACATGGACTACTGTTTATAATGGCGTTAACAACACAAATATACTGCTCTTCAAATTTCCTTTTGTTTTTGTCTTTTTTTATTTCAGTGTTAATAAAATATTCTGAGTATCTATAATACGTATTGAGTTATCTATGCTACATTCATACGATGTTAGCCCGTTAGAAAAAGTTTCAATAACTAGGCTGGGTACTTTTATAGACCATTTATTTTTACAACAATTAGTTTATTATGTTCAGCTAAATACCTATGCTCTGGTATAATGTCTGCCGTGACCAGCTACCTCTGTTTAACTATTAGTAGAAGAAGACAGAAAGAGCATTATAGATGCAAGTAATAATGAAACTAGCAGTTTTGATATCTCATCTGCACAGATGCATCAAAGACATTTTCCTGATTTCCATAACTTGCATCTGTGAGAAATGCGACTAACTTTGACAGAACTGATTAAAGATGACTTGAGTGAAGAAGTAATATGTCAGGAATTTAGTCGTTTCTTTATCTAAATACCTGAAATCATCAAATGAAATATACGACGAGATATGTTAACTACATATAAAAAGGTGTACCCTTGTAGCATGTAAAAAGAAGACAAACATATATTCAAAAGAAAATAGTGTTTTATTAATAGATTTTCTTGCAAAGATGGGAATGAATTAGTTTCGCTTTGTAAATTTGGAGTATAATATATATTTCTGACAGCATTTTACAGATATATATGTTATATACAGTAAAATGTTTCAGGACACCAGGACGCCAGATGTTGATGACGAAGACACAGAATTTTTCTTTTCTGATTCTGAAGGCTCTTTTTCACCAGCAATTCTTATCTTATGCTCAGCTTTATATCTTTGGAGCTCACGGCCTTTCGCCTCGAACTGTTTTGACAAAGTTTCAATACACTCAGACATCTAAATAAAATATAGTGTTGCATCATCAGAAATGTATAAGACTTACTTTTTGCACACTGGCTTCCAGATCTGGAAGAATATCTTTCACCTGGCGTTCAATTAACACATTGTCTATCATTCGCATACACTTTCGAGTAGGTTCAACAGACTGTAGCACTTTGATGACCATACTGAAATGATTGATATATTGACAAACGAGTTCAGAATACACAGTAAAAGTTGAAAACGAACTTCATAAAAGCTTTGTGAGTGAAACTTTACATTTTGTAAGTAATCAATATAAGTAATTATTCATCTGACTGCATTTGTGCAACTGTCTTGAAATGAAACAGGGTATCACTGTTGAGATTACACTTAGTGTTAAGAAAGTAAGTCACTCGACTACGCTGTAGGTCCTGATCGGCAGAGATGGGAGTGAAATCTGCAACTCATGTCGAGTCACAGTTTCCTTGAACAAGCAACATAGGCTGTGTTAGCTTGGGAAAGAGTTTAAGTTGGTAAGAACAAAGCACAGCAACACGAAGTCATTAAAAAGTCAGCCTGATAGCATTATGGTGATTTTCTTGGACAACCAACAAACTAGCCACGGTACCTTGTCACCCCGAAGAAGTTAGTTTAAAAATTGTCAGATTCAGAAATAGTTCTTATTTACTGATAAGGTCTTTTAACCAGGAACAAATCCATAGCAAAAGCAACGGGAGAGAAATCGGCAGTAGGTAACACCAGACAGCTACTTGAGCTCATTCTGGAAACAGGTTGTAAACAACTGCTAATAAGGGGAACAGTTTCAGAGAAGAATGGTACCTTAATTATCTCTCAAGATAGACAACTAGAGCGCTGAAGAAAACAGCTTGAGGAGTTATTTAACTGGCCTATATCGCAGCATCCAAAACCTACTTGTGTAGGGTGACACCTGCCTCCCAACTGTAACTTATGGGGGGATTAGCTTGACCAAAACAGTATCCAAAATTCTAAGGTGAAAACTCAGTCAGTTGGTCGGTCAGTCCATAATATTCGCCTTTATACAGGTCTGGTGTCTGTCTGTCTGTTTTCGACATAAAACTTTGCACCGATGTGCAGCACTTCAAGATGCCACACTCCATGTAGCACACAGAGCAAGAGAAGTGCACATTAGAGACAGTAGACAGAGATATCAGAAAAAAAGGAATAATAATAATAACGAAGAACAATATAGTTTTATTAGAAATTATAAGTCACAAGAAGTAGATGCATATGCGCCTTTGAGAACGATTTTGAGCCATATCACCGACTGTCTCCAGCCATTGGTTTCTGCCGTCCCGAGGACCCCAACCAGTCACGAAGTCTACACCTTCATACGTGGCTTAGACTAACTGCTGTAGATTTCATTGACTGGTACCATGTTTTGTTTTAACTGCCGCTAGCTCTTTTCCAGCCTGACCCTATATCAGCTAACATTGCCCATTGTGGAGGAGGGCGATGACCAGGAATACGTAACACACGTCCTAACCATCTCAGTCAATCTAACTTCACAGACTCGTTGATTGATTTCCCCTTCTAACCTAGCATTCGACGCCTAACCTCAATATTACTCACCTATGATCAAAGACAGCTAGACAGGTTTTTCATGTCTTCCACTCTCAATGGCCAGGTCTTACAGCCATAAAGGAGGACGGAGAGGACTGTTGAGCGGTACACCCGACCTTTGGTCAACAGCCGGATATCACGTCTACCAAGCCAGAGGCGGCGTAAACTGGTATATGCGAAACTAACCTTCTGTATCCGAGATGAGATTTAGTCACACACCAACCCGTTGGGGCTGACGCAACTTTCCAAATAAGTGAAGCGGTCAACGTGCTCTAACACATCACTCCCTATTTCTAAGCTAGGAGTCAATGTAGTCCAGTCCTGTAACATCATCTTACATTTGGCGGGAGCGAATCGTATGCGTCGGTGGCACGGCGGTTAGGACTCTCGCCGACCATGCACATGGTCCGAGGTTCGATCCCCTACCGACGCACACCTGATATCTATCGTCAACCTGCAAAATTTGGGCTACCGATATCACATGCTGAAAATTCCATACCTGTACCAAAAATACGGTGTGGTATCAAGCTGTAATCAAAAATTAAAATAAAACATTCGCAGATTGCAGCTCAAGGTGTTCAGAAGACTCTGCATTTTATCAGCGTCTTCACCTAGACGTGGAAGGACTATATTGTCTGCATATTCTAAGTCAACGAGATTATTCCCTGGTAACAAGTCAATCCCTGAGTCTCTGACGTGAGCTAGGGTTAAGTCCATTAGTATATCTATGATGAAATTGGATAGAAATGGGGATAGTGGGCATCCCTGACGGACGCCACTAGTCTTCACCACTTCAGATAACAACTCACCGTCAGCCCTCACCTGGCTGCACGAGTTCGAGTAGAGTGCCCTGATCAGTGCAATGTATTTTCTCGGCATTCTCTTCACAACCAAATATCGCCAGAGTACCTTTCGGTCGGCAGAATCGAATGCTGCCTCTAGGTCAAGAAATATAACAATTGGTTAAAGGATTTCATCATGAGTTGACATTGGTTAGAGAACCATTGGGAAACCTAGGAGTACTGGACAGCCACTTCGTCCTAGTTTGGGACTCTTCATCAGTACGCACTCACCAAGGTTCGAACCCGGGACCTCCTAGTTACAAGGCGAGCTCGTACACCACTAAGCCACTGGAACCCGATCCAATGGCCCATGAATTCTAACTTCTGCCAATTCACGGTATAGCGCAACCGGTTGAATTGGCAGAAGTTAGAATTCACGGGCCATTGGATCGGGCCCCAGTGGCTTAATGGTATACGAGCTCGCCCTGTAACCAGGAGGTCCTGGGTTCGAATCCCTCCGACGGGTGCAAACTGCTGAAGAGTCCACAACCAGGATGAGACAGCTGTCCAGTACTCCCATGTTTTCCAATGGTTCTCTAACCAATATCAACTCATGATGAAATCCTGTAACCAATCAACCAAATCCCTACAAACCAATACTTAAATATAACAATTGTTTGACGCCGGTAAGAATGTCTCTGTTCCAGAATCTGTCGAAGGGTGAAGATATAATCAATACACCCTCTTCTTAGTCTATAGCTTGCCTGGTTCTCTAGTGTTTGTACCTCCCGAGCACCACAGTATATCCATTACAGAGCCTAGAATATTAAATACCATATTAGTCAAGTTAATCCCCTTGTGATTATCACAGGAAGACTTGTCTCCCTTTTTGTTTATCGGGATGATTAATGACTTACACCAACCCAACGGGACTTCCTCTGATTCACAGATTCTGCCTAATCCCTTAGTTAACTCAGACAGTAAACTGTCTCCACCGTACTTAACTAACTCTGGAATCATTCCATCGGGTCCTTCTGCTTTGCCTCGTTTCAGATTAGTGACAGCCTTAATAACCTCAGTTAGGGAAGGTGGACCTCTGTCTATATCTCATTCAGGGGGTTGTTGGATGTTCGGTAAGTTGAGTGTGGTTGTAAGCCAATTAAACTGCTTCTCAAAGTGTCCTTTTTTCAACGTCCTAGTCGTCTATCCTGAGAGCTAATTATGGTACTATTTTTCTCAGAGATTGTTTCATTAATTGTTTGCCTTTTACCACCTATTTCCCTGATAAGCCTAAATAGATGTCTGCTGTTACCTACCGATGATGCCTTTTCCATCCCCTTCGCTATTGTCGCCCACCACTGTTCACGGTCATTACGAAGGCTTCTTGTTAGTTTGTGTTTGAGTAGATTTCGCTCTTCATCATAATCGGAGCTCTCCGGAATCAGTCTTGCGCCAATCAGTTAGGAAGAGGTGGTAGAAATCCAATGCCTCTTACTAACTTTAGGTCTCAGGTTATTAACAGTATTTACAGCTGCGTCTACAGCTAACTGTATGTTGTACCAGGCTGCCTCCCGGAAAGTCCTGCTGCCGACCTCTGATACACGTTTCGCTATTTCTTCCTTAAATACGGACTCAGAGTCTCGATCTAGTTGGGGACGTAACTATTTCGCTGCCAGCAATGTCTGTTTGGTCGTAAGCACAAACGTGCACATACACACACATACATACATACACGTACACATACGACTATCTACTATCTACTCGGATCCAGTCAAGAAATGATTTTTCTACCGTAACACTCCAAGCTATCTCTAAACCTGCGAGTCTTCGCGAACTAGTTGAGGGTCTCCTGACACACTTAAAGTGAATTTCGCAGATTCACTTTGTTGGCTGGGTGAGGTTAAGTGAATGACCACACTCGGGTCTTGTATGCGTGTCTCCGAAACACAACATATAGCCATGGCTCGAGACGCCAGAGTTCTTGCTAGTGATACCTGTTGTCCGATTTGACAGAAGGTCCTGACGTTAAACGCTCCTACATGACGTGGCTTTAAGAGGCTGTTGGGGGTGTTTCTATGGCTGTCGTCGTTGTTTGTGGTCACAGAGTGAGGTGAAGATGCCTTACTAGCCTGAAGAATAGTACCATCTGTAGTAGGGAAACAAGATAATGGTCTGGTGTAAACAATCCCAAGGAATTCTACTACAAACCTTACGCCCACGCAACAGGTGTGTTTTCTCTTTCTGACAATCAGAAATTAACCTTCATGGTGTTGGCAGCTAGGAGGTAGCAGGCTTCCATCAACGCATAAAATTGTTTTTCAATTTCTTGCTTTCTACCACCTCACAGATAGTCTGTTCACCTTCTTTTAACTCTGTAGTCATTGCTGAAAACTTAAGGTAGAGAGAAGTCATTTCTAGTCCACCTAAACTACGCAGTCAACTTCGTATTAAAGCTACTAAACCTTATGCTTAACCGGACAAAAGGGCTCGTTAGCCAGACTCTGGAACCTCGTCCTCTATGAGTTGTATCTAAGGCACCAATTAAAAACAGTGGGGTTGGATAACACGAAGAATCTACAAAATCGACGAAGATAAAGGATAGCGACCCATGGAGAATGAATGCACTATTAATCCTCAAACCAGCAAATGCCATAAAAAGGCACAAATCGGTCCATAGCACAACTTTAACCTTAAATTTCTCGAACCAAACCATCAACTAACCAGACATGCAATAGTTCATACACGTGACTGTCCCCAGCCAACAAAAAGTGAGTCCTTTACAAAGATTCATATAGGTATGATGGGAACAACCTAAAACAACTTCTAGCCATACCCGATAGACAACAGAAACAACTTGTGGCAAGGCCTGAACACAAGTTACAATCTAGGGCTGATTTTGGAGTGAGTCAATGTAAAAATCTTAAATAAATGCATCGAAACCACCCAAAACTCCTAAATTACCTACGAGTTCCCAAAACCCGAAATTTCACGCGAATACCATGAAATATCTCCAAAATATATGACAATCCACAAAACCCACAGGTTTTCACCAAATGGTCAGGAACTCTATGACTGACTCAAAATTCTGCCATAAATCATCAAAATTACCACCCAAATACCCCCGAACCTTTCACTGGTTGTTTGATGGATTCAATATGGATTATAGCAAGTCTGCGAAACGTTTTCGCAAGACGATACGAAAATAAATTTCATCTGTTCATTGAAAACCAGAAAATTAACTGGACAAATGTACACATTACATAATAACGGGGTTCTAAATCTGTCACTCACTTGTGCTCACGTTGATCGAGTTCTAGATCATTAATTTTACTACCGATTGTCCTCTGCTCATAACGCAGACGATTGAACCCTTCAACTATTTCCTCCTCAGTCTGCACTTTTGGTTTACTGGTAGATGACGTCATTTGTGAGAGGATAGAACAGAATTTTCCAGCTTCAGTAACGACCCTTTTAAAAAACGCGCGTCTCCTGGAGATTTCAGATTTATTGGTTGAGGATAGAAGGCTTGCAATCTATGTTAATCCCTTTCTAGAAAAATTCTGTGGTTGTTAAAACTTATCTTGAATGAATCAGTTTAGGCTGCAGACACCACTTCTTCTGGGAGTCGGTTCCAAGAGTTTACGACTCGATGTGAGAACCAGTACTCAACAGCAATATGATTTCTCCTTGGTTTTGAACTCTCCTCTAAGGTGTTCCGACCTGGTGGGAAGGAAAAGAGAGAATAGGTCAGGTCTGTGGTCATTATTTAAAATTTTAAACATTGTGACCGAATCTCCTCTCTGCCTACGCTATGACAGGGAAGAGATATTTAAACTGTCTAGTCTTTCCTTGAATGATAAGCTGGTCATGGCCAGAACAATGCGTGTTGTCTCCCTTTGAACCCATTCTAGAATGTTTGAGTTCCTTTTAGGCAAGGACTGGAGTCCTGGATACAGTTTTCTAGCCGTGACCTCACCAGAGATGTGTATAAGAGGGTTAATATATCTCTGAAAATTCTAGTAAAGGCTCTAAAAATTGTCCATAGGTACAAGAAACTACGTACATCCGTCGCGTTACATTGAGCTGTAGTATGCAGAATAAGATGGCAGTTTAATTCTCAGCCGAATCCGATAATTATGGTCAGAAGTGGTCAACAGAAGACTGAGAACGTCACTAGCCAGAGCCCATCCTGCAGCTAATTGGGTTCCCATCCATCGAACAACATGCTCTTTGGTGCAGTCAAAAGTCGATAGATACCCTTCTCATGTTAACTCCAACTGTGTATACAAATTTACGTGTATCTGCGGGAGCAGTTACATTGGGAGAACAGAAATAAGGGCACACCTCCGATTTTCTGAACATGTGCCGAAAATCCTACGTCTCAAGGGAACAAACTCTTATAGTAGCGCTATTACCAGACACTTCTCGACACGAGTCATGAGGTGGAAATCGAGAAATCCTTCAAAATTATCAGTAGACAAAGGAACTCTGTTTTCCTCAAGTTTGCCGAAGCAATTTCTATCAAACGCTTGAAACCAGATTTATATGTTCAGAAAGAAGCAGTTATTAGTCTTTCCTTGCCTCAGCAAATGGATTTCTTTTTTTTCTAATCTGATTACGAAATCTTTGTCTTTAACCTCACCCTCCTTTTATAATCTGTGATTTTGCTTGTCTCTTGTTTCTATGATTTGAGTTCAACTCAGTACATTGTTACCTAGCTTATTAGTCACTATGCCTCTAACGCACATCTCATCTTTATTATGTAACTCCTTTACCATTTTCTGTATACATTTATTTTGTTTTAACTTGAACTGCCTGTGTAAAAACTATATAAGCGCAATTTTCTGAGCACTGTTTACTAATTGTGGAACTTTCTGTTAGCTGACAGCGTGTAAAATTTGCAAGTATGTTAAAACGTCCCCGTACTTAAACCTCAAAATTTATTTAGGCTGTAAGCAGATGATGAGAAGTCAACGAAATAAATGATGGTACCATATTATTCTGCACAAACCACTGTTTTTGTTCGCTTTGTTTGTTGTTCAAATTTCATCATTGTATTTCGTACAATCAGTCAGGTACTGACTAGATATGCTTTACTTTCAGAGTAACAGGTGATGACTTTAAGAAGATACAGTGTGTGGCTCGCAAAAATCAAATGAATTTTCTGTACTAAGATATAATTCCTGATTTCTTCATGTCCCTCACCTCCCTTTAAGAATTAACTTGTGGTGTTGTTTTTGGACGTTGTTTCATCAGCATTCAAGTTATTCTGGTTGTATTTTATCCTGTTTAATAATCCTCAGTGTGGCATTAAGAAAACAATATTCAGCAAAGAGACTTTACTCAATGATTTAATTATCAAGTTATCCTGTTTTAACTGCATTTGCATAACGTCCTAAAACTACTACCGGGCTATTGGCTTGGGTGACGAAGAAAAAGTTTATTCTCTAGTTCTTTACAATTTCAAGTTATCGCTAAAAAACAGAACGTATTTTCAGAAGAAACGTTTTCCACTTCCTACCTCTGATATAATTAATTGACAGCCACGATTTACTTTTGTTAATTAATCGGTCTAGAAAGTTCGTTTTAATCTCTTCCTATTTGAGCGCCATAAAGCTACTGAAAACCGGAAAGGCAGCAAGTTATGAAAAAATTATTCCAGATGCGGATCCAGGGTCCTCACTGGATACCTCACATTCTCACTGAAGTAAGTTTAGGAAGAAGGGGAGGCGTTGGATGATTGGAAAAAAGCATTCTTGTCGAATTAATAAAGAAAACGAACATAAGATTTTGCGAAATCTGGCGTGGAACAATAAGCTAGTTGCTTAATGACTTAATGAAATCTCACGAGTCAACATAGTCTGACCTTGTCTGTCTTGATTGTCATGTGTTTATTGGTTGCCTAAATATAAGTGAATACATCTTGCAAATGTACTTAACATAATGTATAGTCCGTAATTGTATTTTAGACCAGTTTGCAGCTTCTCAGGATGTGGGGGCACAGCACTTATCCAAATATAAGCTGTTGATTGTCTCGCCATAACTATCAGCTAGAAATAAAACGAAGTATGGGTTGGCACCCAACCATGATGGTGATCTTAATGAAGAGTTTACAATTAAAAATTTATACAGGCCTGTTCTGTTTGCTTGTGCTATAACTCAACCATTTATATTTTCGAAAAGTGCTAATTTATGATATTTCACGATTGTAGTCCATGCCATATCTGATCGCGCCTGCGAAAATGACATGCTTTTCATTCAAACTTACCAGTTCAAGCGAAATATAGATTATTATTATTCTTACTTGATATTGACTTGTATTCTGTCTTCCTATACGTATATGAATGTAATTCACGCATACTTTTTTCCACACAGAAGTGAATTCCGGCATCTTATTGCCCTTACTTGAATGACAGTTGTTTCGTATTGTTTGCCTTCGCGTAACTATAACGCTTATTTTATATTTCAGATGCAGATAAAGTCTATGATAATCCACCTGTGTTTTAACCAAAGCAAAGCCTAGATTCTGCATTGACCACCGAAATCTGTGGTCAAATGTTATCTCACAAACGCAGCAACGACAGGAGGCGTCGGTTGGCAGAGATCTGAATGAAGCCACTACTTTCAAGTAGCTAGGCAGAATCGTTTCAACAAATGAGGATGTTGATGCCAGCCAAAATCAGAATGGCAAGACAGACATTCATTAATATGTTTTCAGTGTGGCAGTCTAACGCGTTATGTATAAGGAAGAAGATTTTCAACCTTAATTTCAAGTCTGTTTGAGATTCTCTGTGGTTGGTGGATCACCAAAAATTCCCACTCAGCTGCTGCATACAGCTGCAACAGCTGCCTTGGCTCCATATTAAAGATGGTCAGACAGAAATGATAAGCAACTAGAGAAGCTAGAAACAAACCATTCAAGAATGCGTGGCCAAGAGGTACACCGAAGGAAGTTGGGATGGACTGAGCACACGCTGTGGGTGCCACATGGTGACATTTTGTGCTAGTCCCTAGATTGGAACCCGAATAGGAAACGATGAGTTGGGCGTAGTTCAGGGGTGGCATTAACGAGTTCTTGTGCAGATGAAATGAAAGCCCATAGGTCATCACAAAGAAAGCCAGGGGGTACTGCACAGAGCAGAATGGAATGAAGACGTGCTTCTGAAAAGCTCTGTTCCATTCAGAAATCGATGGAAAGTAATGTAATATTACCTAAATATCTTTTAATTTCCTGCTTCATCCGACTTTTTCTTGAGACAGAAGATTAGTAATGACATTTAACCGAGAAGGACTGCCGATTCTTCTTCTTCGACTAAAACCTGAGTATTGGATATTGGTTAGTAGCGGCCAATACTTTCTCGGGCTTATCCCCAAGGTTAACCCCAAGGTTAGTTGTCCGCAGTATTATTTCTACGTGACATTGGGTTCAAAAACGCAAATGAACTTAAAATTGTCAGGATAAAATAGTTCCGATATTGATTAGCAAATATATTACAATAAAGTCTTTTAAAATACTGTCTCTCTGCAGTTGCGAATGCTCTGAAACGATATATCGTTATAACTTAAGTTGTTACTGTCGTTTGATACTGTCTCAATTATCCCCTCTCTCAGGCTAAGACCTTGAGCCCAAGTAGATTTGTTAAGTTATAAGTAACTTAGTCATTTAAATTCGCGCAGTCAGCATTACTGGTACGTACGTACGTACCAGTAATACGTACGTATTGCACCAGGTTGTGTAAAGAAGTATATATCTCTTTTATTATACCCTTTGGGGGAACATTAGTGATATTTCAGCTTGCACGCGCTCCTTGAATACGACATGCTTTTTTCTCTCTAACAGGAAATATTCACTTTTGTGAATTGTTCGCTTGGGAAACCCGATCTTCCTATCCGACGAATTTCATTCAACCATTTCTTCTTCACTGAGCCTGTGTGTGGTACTTCCCACTGTCTCGAACTACTGCCAAAGCTTCAGATGCTGCTTCTGTAGCAACATCCTCCTCACTCTTTCAAATATATAGGACTTGTTGGTCTGCTACGTAATTGCTGCGAAGCCTAATAGCCCGAAAGTTACAGGTAAAGTGAAAAGCTTTTACTTATATACTTTATCCTTCTGTTCTGTGCTTTCTATTGTCTTTTGCTTTTAGTATATTGGACAAAATAACTCCACTGTCTCTTATTATTTAATCATCAGTATTAATTTAGGAGTAATATGACGATAGATTCTCACCCTAAAATAAGTTATGGGACACCATACTCCGTAGTCACCAGGGCTTCGGCCAAATTAAGCAAACAGGTGAAGGTGATGGATTCTCGCATACCGGTCTTGAAGACCAGGGCAAATATTCCCTGCTCGTACAGATTGCCCATGTCGCCACAGTCCTACAGTGAAACTGTGCAAAGCCAACCAAGTGGATGTGGCTCC